TTGCTCTCTCTGATTTTCCTCTCTAATATTTTCTCTCTTCTTCACAATTTCTCTAAGAAACTTGCAATCTCTTATAGAAATCCTCTATCAATTAAGTTAATTTTGAGAATTTGATCATCATACTACGATTCTTAGTGCAAAGATTGTAGTGTTTGTCTATTGTATCTCAAAGTGACTTTCCAGTTTCAACCCAAGCACCGTGGTGGGGGAAATAATCACTTTAGGAAAGTGTTTACACGCCTTAGACAAGTATCCGATATTGAAGACTCACGTGGTCCTTGGTATTCTCATGTTCTTGTTGGATTCGTTGGCTTGGAGTGAGGCAAGTGTATAATCTTTCACATTAGTATTTTAGTTTGTAATTTCTGAATTACATTGTTTCTTTAGTGCTTGGTTTGTAATACTTTAATTAGTATTTGTTGTTGTATAATTTGATTGAAATTATGCACTGTTTAGGTTTTGTTCCACCATCTATAAGTAATTCTTGTTTTGTTGAATTGCTATAAAACCTAACATCCCTTCACTGTCTTTCTTGGTTCAAAGGAAATTTCAAGGCTTTGAATTTCAATCGCCCATTTGATCATTCGGCCGGATGATTCCATGGTTGTCATTGGCCGCTTGATTGGTTGGTCTGTGTAAACCACTATCGGATGCGCTAGAAAGTAAGGTTTTAACTTCTTGACTGCCATGAAGAGGGTAAGTCTAAATTTTTCAACCATGGGGTACCTCAGCTATGCATTCCGTAGAACATGACTGATGAAGCAGACCGGGAGCAAGGTGTCACCTCTTTCAGCAAGGAGAACAACACTGAGCGCATGGTCAAAGACGGCTTGGTACATGTACAACACTTCTTTTGGCAAAGGACTGACCAGCCTTGGCAAAGAGTGCAAGTGTTCCTTCAACTTTTGGAAGGCCGCCTCTGCATTTGCCCCCATTCAAATATAGTCTTCTTCTTGATTGCTCGGAAGAAGTAGAGACACTTGTCGCCTGACCGACTGAGGAATCTCCCCAATGCCGCCAGACAACTTGTTAATTTTTGAACTTCTTTTACAGTGCGGGGTGACTACATGTCTATGATCGCCTGTATTTTTTCCGAGTTGGTCTCTATCCCCCTTTGATCTATCAGAAATCCGAGGAACTTCCCAGATTCAACTCCAAAAACACACTTCTTGGGATTAAGCATGACCTGGTACCGCCTGAGTGTGGCGAATGTTTCTCGGAGGTCTGTAAGATGGTCTTTCTGAAGTTTGGATTTGACTATCATATCATCAATATACGCCTCCACATTCCTTCCAATTTGATTAAATAAAATTGTATTAATCATTCGCTAGAAGGTAGCAGGCGCATTCTTCAAACCAAATGGCATCACAGTATAGCTAAATAACCCTTGATCAGTGACGAATTTCGTCTTCTCTTGATCTTTCTTCCACAAGGGTATTTGATGGAAGCTTGAATAGGCGTCCATAAAGCTCATCAAGGCATGACCGACTGTAGAGTCAACCAGACTGTCGATCTTTGGAAGGGGATAGTTATCCTTTGGACATGCCTTGTTCAAGTTTGTGTAATCTACACACATGCGCCAGGTACCATTCGGCTTTTTCACGAGCACAACATTGGCAACCCAATTAGGGAAGTAACACTGCCGAATGAACCCAGCATCTAAAAGATTTTTCACCTCGGCGGCTGCCGCCTGGCTTATTTCTTCACCATGGTTCCTCTTCTTTTGCCTTACCGACTTCTTTTTAGGATCCACAGCAAGTTTGTGGACGGCTAGATCCGAGCTGATGCCTGGCATCTCGTCCACTTAAAAGGCAAAGATGTCTTTGAACTCTTTCAATAGGTTGTGCAGGTCTACACCCAATTTAACAAAATCAACCGTCCCCACCTTAACTGTACGTTCTAGACGAGTGTCATCTAGAACAATATTAATGTGTTCTCCAGCCGGTTGGGGACGGAGTTCATCCGGTCGTTCTTCGGTCAGTGATTGCTATTGCTTTTCTTTTTTCACAGCCACCAGCTGGTCGGCCTTTCTCTTTTTTCCGCCTGTTATGAGAGCAGGCGCTGCTTCCTTGATTTTGTCAAGGTCTATATTTTCTCCACTAGGGCCGGATGCGACCATAGTGGGTTTGACGTCAGAGAGATAACACTCCCTAGCCGTGTTTTGGTCTCCCTGTAGGGAGCCGACTGTTCTATCATCCCTTTTAAAATTGAGAAGCATAAGGGAAGAATGATAACAGCTTTGGATTCATTTAGGGTGGGACGACCCAAAATCATGTTATAGGCGGTCAACTCTTTAACAACTAAGAACCGGACCACCAAGTGGCGTCCCTCTCCCTTTTCTCCCAGCCGAATGGGTAAGTCTATTCGACCTTATGGATGCACAACTCCGCCCCCAAATCCCACTAAGGGATGAGAGACCTTGTGCGTGCTCTCATACCTGTACTTGAGTTTGGTCAAGCACTTGTGGCTGATGAGATCAGAGGAATTGTCGGTGTCTATGAGGATTCGGCCAACCTTTTGGTTGACCACTTTGCATTCGATGACAATAGGGTCATCATGCGGCCTCATGACATTGCCCCTGTCTCCTTTAGAGATGAAAACTTCAGGGTGTCCTTAGACGCCTTCCCTCGAAAACAACAACTAAATCTTTAATCATCTACTATCTCTGACCAAAAGATCTGATGTACTAAAAAAAGAACTGCAGATGAAACATAAGGAGAAGAAATCAGAAACTCAAAATTGTACTATGTAAAGGAGTGCTAAAAAATAAAATGAATATAAATGCAGACATACCGTCTTCTTCTTTTTCTTCTTTTCGAGGAATGACTGATGTTTGTTGGCTAAAACATTAGGAAGTACTAATAAATAGCATCTTTGTTGATTTTTGTAATTAAACTCCAAAAATCCATTCTAATTTTATTGATATTGTTTTGGGGTTTTGGTAATTTTAATTTTTCAATTGTTTTTTCGGTTGGTTGTATATTACTTGATGTTTTGGTTTGAGAGAGAGAGAGAGATATTAAGGTTTGATTTCTGGGTTTTTGTGTTGAAGAATGGCTTAGTTTCAACATGAAGATAGTGTTTGTACTTTCTCTTTTCTCTCTCTCCATTTTTTTTTTACATTTAATTTTTTAGTCCCCTAAATTTTGTTTGATTAAGTTTTGGTTTAATAATCTTGGAAGTTTAGAATTAAACTCAAAATCTGTATTGAATTATTGTAATTGATATCAGATTTATTACCGTCTACTAAACGAGTGGTTATATTTACTACATTCCTACCAACCTATAATACGAATCACCAAGCATTATTATAATTTTTTTGAAAAATATATATACAAGCACCTTATTTTAAAACACTTCTCAAATGATAAAAAAATAATTACTACTTAATAATATAATTGACCCGTTAGACTTATTCTAATAATTTTTACGAGATGTTAATCAAACCGTATAAATAAAATACCTTCCTGCCAATGAACATTTACATCAACAAATAAGGATTTATATCGAGTAGTGAACCTGGGGCATCGCCCGGGGTACATACTAGTATATATATAAAAAAAGGAATATTCATCTGGTGTGTGACGCCCAAGCAAAAAAATCACTTTTAGAGTTAAAAACCCGAATCCAATCTTAAAAAAAAGCGCTATACTTTTTACGGGTTTGGGCATGACATTTAATGTTAAGTCTCGATCCGGCTCCAATTTTTGGTCACCTTTAGTTACATGGTGTGAACAACACTAATATTTAGTAATTTAATTGATTGGGGTATCTTTTATATAATTGCACATAATCATTTATAACTTCCACATCTCCTATTGTTTTTCTTTCTAAATATACATGCTACGTATATACCGTGCGTTAGCAGTTTTAGCACGGATACACGAGAGGAAAGATTTAATAATAATAATAATAATAATAATAATAATAATAATAATAATAATAATAATAATAATAATAATAACTCGTACTAGTTTTGAAATGTAATACTTGAAAAAACACCTGTTTTGAAAAGTGTAACACTGAAGTCCTATTTAGTCATTTTTTATAATACTAAGGTGGCTAACGTGCGCGATACGCGCACACCATTTATAAGATTTATCTCAAACTTTTAGAAATGTAGGGAATAAAGGCAAAAAAAAAAAAATTAAAAAAAAAATTAAAAAAAAAAGAAGCTAAAAAGCTACCTAACAATGGTAAAAACAAAAGGGGGGGGGGGAAATATCACCCATGTGATTTGCATATATAAATGGGAGTATATATGTAGTGGAAATTTTAAGGGATATAGTTGGCCATTTTTTTAATAATAATTTGATTCGATATAAATTTATTTATATGAAGTGGGTTTGTGTTAGATTCATAATAATGTACCCTAATTTTCATAGTCCGTAATATATTTCATTACAAATAGTGGGATTTTGTTAGATTTGTCACGATATATATTTTCAGAATATCAACTTTTTATAGTTTTTGTTTATATTAAAGATATTAATGGTTGAAGTTGTGCATTGACAAACGTGACTAAAAAAACGTGTCAACCCAAAAAAAAAACGAAACAAGTATATAGCGGAAAAATCCGCGCCTAAAATGATACAATATGTCAGAAGTTATTTTATTTATTTATTTATGATCTGATATGATTTAAAATTAATTTGTTAACAGTTAATGAATTAATTGTTTTTAATTCAATGCATAACTTCATACTCCCTCCGTTCCTTCATGATAGTCTCTTTTGGCCAAATTTTAGCCCCAAAATGCTCACCCCATTTGCTTTTTTCAACAATTATAATACGAGTATTAATTTTTTTACTAAAATTCCCTCCAATTTGCAACAATATATGTAGAAATTTAGGTTTTCCATGTAAATTTTGCATTCCCGTATACTTTTATTACTCTCTCTCTTTACTTTTTTGCATACCCCATGTAAATTTACCTTTTCAATGTACTTTTACCACTACTTATTTAAATTTCTTAATTCCCATAAAATTTTATCAAGAGATACTATCATTAAGAGACGGAGTGATTATATAAGTGATAATCCTTGTCATTAATTAATAATTTTGTAAACCATGTTCCAGCAACTCCTTTCCCCATGTATGTCTCGTGAATTCGTGATCCTTAAGTAGTAAACAAAAACAAACGTCTCTCTTTCACATTCCTATGCACCCATCTTACTAAACTCTCCATCCCAACCCCTCTCTCCTCACTCAACAACAACTATATAGGCCGACAATTCAAAAATAACAAAACCATAAGTCAATCAGTGTTATCAATCCTTACACAATCCATTTAATTCCGCATTTTTTTAACCTCTAATTCCTTCTCCTCGATTTTTCCAAACCTTAAAAAAAAAACTCCCCAAAGTGACCTCAAAACAAAGAGGCAGAAATGTACAAAAACACACTGCCCATCATAATTCTATTCTTAACGGCGATCTCCGCCGGCGCCGACGATTTAGTAACATGTTCAGAAATCGTGCCGATGCGAAACCGCTACGATAAGATATCCATAACGGATTTCGGCGGTGTCGGTGACGGTAAAACGGTGAATACCAAGGCGTTTAGGGAGGCAATATATAGGATAGAGCATTTGGGAAGAATTGGGGGTGCGTTATTGTATATACCGCCGGGTGTGTACTTAACTGACAGATTTAACTTGACTAGCCATATGACTCTTTACTTGGCTAGTGGTGCTGTCATCAAAGCTACCCAGGTACTTACCTTTTTATTTACTCGATTGTTCGTCTCTAATTAGTTACTCCATTTTATTTTCGTACTAGATGTTAATGAACGTGAACATTTGAACATACACATTAGAACAAACTAATAATATCCAACGTGCTAGTATTGTGAAAAGTCGAATGGAGCAATTATTATGAGATCGAGGGAGTAACTTATTTGTGTTATTGCACAATGTGTGAGTTACATGGGTTTAATTTGAAATTTGAATGTGGGGTCATGGAGTAGCATTTTGGTTGATTAATAGCAATTCTGTAGTTCCATTACCAAATATTTAGATGTTATTGGGAACAAAATGCTCTATATCATAATATAAAGTTGGAATTGAGAGGATAAAATGGTTCATGTAATTTATACAGAATAATTGACTTGAACTTAAAATGAAAATGTCAAAAATAAGTTAGATCAAGACATTGTAGAGTAGTATCCGTACTTGGTATATAGGAAGATAAAGTATAATTTAATTTGGTAGGGAGAACAAAGCGATGATTATTGCTTTATGATTTGATTTTTGTTGGATTATGGTCCTTCAAAAAGTAACTGGACTTTTGGTTTTGTTATGATGAATTTCTTTTTGTTCTAGAAGTTTATGTTATTGGATGTCATGATCAAATAAGTGGAACCGGACTTACTAGTAATGGGAATTCATTGTTAGTCTTAAAGCCGCATTTTGTAGATGTCACAAAGTCTTATGATGGCAATGTAGCCTTATATACTGAAACTCGTCTTTCAGGAGGTGGGATTACTGAATATGGGGTAAATGTTGTAGTCTTTAATTATGATTAAGACATTGAGGTCCAAATTCTTTTGTATGGTCCTCATGTGTTCTTGGTACATACTGCTAGAGATATTGAGGGTTGGTGGGTCAATTGAAGGGAATGCTTCCATGTGCCTTGCTTATTGGTTTTAAGCTGGGGAGAAAAGGATAATTGATCATTAGCCATTAGCCATTAGGTCTGGCTTATGTCTATGATTATGTTACATTGTTACTCACTCAGTCTCGTAATAATATGTCACATTTGAATAATGTGGTCAAGCTTTGATCATTAATATCCTTTCATATGCTACTTAAAAAATCTTATAAAAAAATTTGATTGATATTGCCATTTGATGATTTAGCTTGTTCTTGTTGCTTGGTTATCTTCCTTGATAGCATAAAGCACCTGACTGGTAATTCATATTATTGTCATATACATAGTACTATGGTTTTAACACTTATTTATGTAGATAACATGATTTATTATATGCTAGATAGAATATGTAGAGCACTTTTGTTTGGAAAAAAGAAGATAGAGTATGTAGATAATGTATTTGTGGCCCCTTATCTTGCCAAGATATTCCTTTGCAGTGATCAAAGGCAGTTTTTAGTAGTATTTGCTACTTTGCTTTGTGATAAAGTAACAAAATGCTCAATTTTGGTTCAGCCTTTCTCATAGAATTTTTGGCAATAAGACCTTTTCCTCTGTCCTTCTTAGTGCTTCTATCTTATTTTTTTCTGCTGACCCACCATTATTCGTAACTTGCTAAGAAGAAATAATCATACATCTGCTGGCATAGTGATATACGTGGCGTTATACAACAACTATATTGAAAGTTCTTATGCTGTAAATCATTATGTCCCAAAAGGCTTGATTATTGGATGTAACTTACAAAACGAATTGACTTTTTAAAAGTTTATGATGTGTTGTGTGACTCCTAACCTACTATGATTCCAATTTGGTATCCATGAGTTTGATTATTCTAACCATTTGTATACACGAGGCTGAAAAAAGGAGTTAAAGAAGAAATAGGCTTTAAACTTATAATGGTTTTTTACTTAGCTGTCTTGAAATTGAACACTGATTTTGGATTATGTTATAAGTGAAACCCAGGCCATGGCGTGTTTTTTCAAACTTTCAAGTGAGCTTAGCTGTCCTTTTTCTCATGTCTCTATTAGAACAGAAGATGATGTTCAGTTCTCCTCCAAATAGTAATGTTGTACAACTGCTTCTCCTTTGTGGTCTAGTCCTTTCCTTATCTGTGCCTTTAGTTTTTGCTCTCTGTTGAGCTTTAGATTCTAATTTGTTAATCCGGGTGATCATGAAAAACTACTCATGTGGATAGTCTGCCTATTATTGAATTCATACGCCTTTTAGAGCTTAATATCTATTTAAAGTTCAGAATTTCAGATAACACCGGTCTAAGACAAGGACCATGTAACACCACGATTAAACCCGCTGCTCTATATCTGGCAGGGTTGCACTTTAAGAGTTATGCATGAGCTTTGAAGAACTTAAGCTTCTCTGGCAGAAGCAGTTCATTTTATATCCATCCCTCACACAACTTTGATGCTGCATAACTTGTTTTAATTTGTAGTCCTATGCATCAGGATACTTCAACTTGGCCACTAGCTGATCCATTGCCTTCTTATGGAAGAGGGAGGGAGCGGGAGGGAGGGAGGTACATGAGCTTCATCCTAGGGGATGGGGTCCAAGATGTCATAATTACTGGTGAGTTCAAAAGATCTTCTCATGGATGAATATGTTTTGCAAAACTTTCATGTCTTAATGTCCCCTGATAATTTGGTATTTACAGGTGAGAATGGAACAGTTGATGGTCAAGGAGACATTTGGTGGAACTTGTGGAGAAAAAGGACTCTTCAATATACCAGACCACATCTTATAGAATTCATGAATTCCAAAGACATCATTATTTCTAATGTGATATTAAAAAATTCTCCATTTTGGAATGTTCACCCTGTCTACTGCAGGTAGATTTTGCTGTCTCCTATGCTAGAGCATGCTAAACATTTAGTCAGCCATTGATTTGTGTCATACTTGAATAAGCACCAAATAGCTTTAAATTTATGATTAAAAGTTAAACTAATTGATCGACTCCATAATAAATAGCCATTGTCATGGCTGTGATGGTCAGAATATTCTGGGTCAAGCCTTCGGTTAACACTGTAGGAATTGCTAGGAATTGGTCTACAGTCTGCATGAGTCATCAGTTTCGATAGGATGGGCATGAGTATATTAATTGCTTGTACTTGTTGGAGTTGGAATTAGGTTGGAAAGACAATTTGAAATTAGTAGAGCAGATAGATCACTACTTTGTTCATGATAGTGGTAGCATGTATTTTCAACTCTGCCATGATAGACCACTATCACTTGTTGCAAGATAATTTGATACTCATTTGGTTTTCTCAGCAATGTTGTTGTTCGATATGTGACTATTTTGGCTCCAGCTGACTCTCCCAATACTGATGGTGTTGATCCAGGTACTTGTCAAATTTTGCAATAATAAAATCTTCATTCCATGCGACATACTCTGTGTTAAACATGAAATTATATAAGCTGAGAACACAATGGGCACTAGTATTATACTTCGTAGTATCCAACTTTCCATAGAATGTGATATGCCTGATGCAACACACTCGTCACACTCTTCCATGCGACATGCCTGGTATCAGATATTCCTCTGTATTATGTTACTCTGTATCCAACTATCCTTAGAATGTGTATGTGTTACTCTGTATTATGTTATTGCTTGATGTGATATTAGATATCCCTCCAAGACAATATACTTCATATTACACATGAAACGAGATAATTTGGCAACATTGAGAGTATGTATAGACTTGCGATATCTTGCTATATCATGTTATCACCCGATCATCACTGGTGTTGGGCTGTTCTAAGTAAATTTAATTATAACTGTTTTTTACTTAAATATAGCTATCTCTGCAGCTTGCGTGTCTTCTGTTTCATAGTATCCCGATCTGCAACCTATCATACCCTTCCCAAGTGGGCTAATGAGTCCACCTAAACATATGGCTTGAATAAAATAAAGTTCTCAGTACTGCTAGCTTATGCTTCCTTAAAGTGTGGGTGAATAATAAAAAGGGTAAGGAAGGGAGAGGACTAGAGGAGAAGCCGTTTAGCACTTACCTTCAAAAATTTATTCCTATAGAAGGGGTTTTGGTAAAAAAAAAACACAGGGATAATGGATCCTAATTTCCCTCCAATCCCTGTTTCCCTTTCCATTCTATTTTTAAACATAGATTCTTAACTCTCCTTCCTCCTTTTCCCAACACATTCCTTCAGCCAAGTGCGCTATTGATGTCTCTTCTTGACAAATTCACTTTATCTCAGTTGCTCATGTTCTTATGGGTCCTGCATGTGTGTGGGAATAGGCCAAGTTTATAATAGACCATTGCTCTTCATGTATCCACTGTTGTGCATATGTGTTGAATCTTGGATAGCTTAGGTAGCTGTTTTGTTATAAAAAATTTGACATAAGCAATTTATTCCCCAACACCAGTAACTTTATGCATACTCCCTTCTATTTTTCCTTTCTATTTCTAAGCCTCCTGACTTCTGATTAAGTTAATTTTCCTAAAATTTGTTCTGTACATATCTACTTATCTAGGTATGATAACAGGATGATGCCATTTGCACAATCCAGTATACTAACTCAGTTTGCTTGATTTATTTTTTCAGATTCAAGCTCCAATGTCTGCATTGAAGACATGTACATTTCAAATGGTGATGATATGATAGCCATAAAGAGTGGGTGGGATGAGTATGGACTTGCCTTTGGTCGCCGTAGCTCGGACATCACCATTCGAAGGATAACCGGATCATCGCCATTTGCTGGCATTGCTATTGGTAGCGAGATGTCTGGTGGTGTGGAGAATGTGTTGGCTGAACATATAAACCTCTTCAATATGGGAGTTGGCATACATTTAAAGACCAATGTTGGAAGAGGAGGGTACATAAGAAACATAACTCTCTCTAATGTATACATTGAAAATGCCCGAAAAGGCATAAAGATTGCTGGTGATGTTGGTGACCATCCAGATGACAAGTTTGATCCAAAAGCTCTCCCTGTTATTCGGGATATCAAAATGAAGAACATATGGGGCGAGAAGATTTTACAGCCCGGACTGGTGAAAGGAATAAAAAATGCCCCGTTTATTAACATCTGTCTTTCTGATATCAACCTTTATGGCCCTTTTAAAGCGAGAACGAGACCATGGGAGTGTTCTGATGTCAAGGGATCTTCTCTAAAGGTTAGCCCATGGCCTTGCTCTGAACTAATTGGCTCTCTTGATGGCACCTGTTTCACTCACACTTAAGTTCAGCTGCATGTTTTTGTTGTATTTTAAGGGAGACTTCGAGTCTCTAAATATATAAATGAACACTACTACTTTTTTGGAACACAAATGAACACTACTACTTTATTACTCATTAGTCTTGCAATATCTATCTATTAACCTATACTATAAGCAAATCCTTTCATGACACTTGTCATTATCTTGTTAAAAATTTTTCCCCCTTTTCCGGGTTTTTTTTTTTTTTTTTTGCAAAATCTTTTAGTACTTTCATGTGCTTCCATTTTATATTCTTTGATCCTGCTACAACTAGGAAGCATATGTTTTATTCCTATCATTTATATATGCTCCAAATCTAGAGAGTCATACAACCACCGTCGTTATAATCTTTACAACACCCATCGAGAGTAGTATAACACCTCCATTCAAAACAACAATATACTGTTCGTCCATCCTGAGTTGATGGCGTGCATACATCGATAGTTATATCTATAGATCCAAATTCATGTTTGTGTTGCTCCGCTATCTTCGAACTTCCATGGTTTGGAGGAGGACCTACACATATTAGTGGATAAATTCCTTAAACACTAAAACAAATTGAATTACAATATAAATTTAAAGGATTTTTTTGAAAAAATAACACCATAAAATGCATTATAACACCAAACCACGAATTTTTGGGATGAGAGAGAGGGTGAACGTGTCGGTGTTGGAATTAAGAGGAAGGATAAGTATTTTTGGGATTTGTTATTTTAATGGATTTTGTTATTTAGTCTTTCAGTCGGTGTTGGTCTCAACAACTTTACTTTTGATTTTGTTCTTGGTTTTTTGCAAGCTTGAGTTCTCAATCTCTCGGTCTATCTCGAGTTTTTTGGTTAAGTTGGCAATTCCTGATCCACAATGAAGCTTTGGTAGGTTTCTCATGGTTTTCCCGACTCCGAAGTCAATGGTGTTATGCAATTGGTGGTCTTCTTCATGACTCCATATCTTGGTCCTCAACAAAGTTATTCAGGGTTGCTAGTTTGCTGTTAGTGTGTTTGCTTGTTTTTAGGTATTTTTAGCTCTTAGGTTGTAATTTGCTCTTTATTTATGAAGTTCTAAAAAAAAAAAAAAAAAAAAAAACCTAATGTTGAATCAACAAAAGAGTTATCCTTATCTTTGTCATATACTTATCTGTCTTTGTATGAAAGCTTCATTATCTCACCTAGATGTTTTTAATATGTTTATAAGATCTTATATCACATACACTTCCCGTCATCTTTGACCATTATCATCTTTGTGCACAACATTTCAATACTCTTACAATACGATTTGCCTATATATATGAGTGATCATTATGATATTATACTCCATTATTATTACGAACTAGTGAATTGACCGTGTACAAATCAATTATGCAAAAAACCATCAATTAGGAAATGTTAAACTCTTATATCATCAATATATATACTACAACATCAAAAAGGATACAACACCATCATCAATCATCATGCATTCATATTAAACATGAAAATTCAGATCATTCCTATTTTGTATTATATCTAATCACCTAAAACCCACAAAAATTAAATTAAAAAAAAACAGTCACATTTTATTTATCGTAATACTCCATAAGTCTATAAGTAGCAATATATTTAAAAGTAACCCAAAAATATGCCAATCTTTTTCAAAATATGTTTCTCCCTATCCTCATCATGCTCATACTCCTTAATCTCTTCTTCATTGACCGCCTCTTTCAACTCAATACCCTCATCCTCCTCGACAGTAGCAAATCCCACCTCGTCAACACCCTCCCGAAGCGTAGCAAATCCCACCTCGTTAACCCCAACGAACCGGCCTGGATTACAGTGGCGATGGTGGCGGCATCGGTGAGGGTTGAACCATTTTGTTAAAAAATAATACTGATTGACCCCGGAACCTGTCTGGACCGGAACACGGTTCATTCGCTTAAGGTGATCAAGATCTTCCTTAGAAAGAATCTCCGTCTCCTGTGATCTGGTGTGGTCGGGTGGTACAGAGGTTGACTCGATATGATTGTCATGATCGGATAGCTTGGTGGCGTGGGTAAGGTCCAGTTTTGTAACACGGAAAGCGGTTGAGAGGGTGAAGAGGAGGAATAACAAGGATAGGGAGAAAACGATGCGTTTCATGGTGGTTTTGTGAAAGGGAAAGGGTAGAGTGCTGTGTTTTAGAGGATGGAAGTGAATAAAAGGGAGGTGAGTTTATTTAAAGACAAGAATGGCGGGTGGGTTCAAATTCTTGGACTCTGTAAATAATTTTTTGTTAACATTATTTTGTATTATTTTATTTTTTGAACAAATAAGAATGGTTTCTTTTATAAAGGAGTGCACTACGGGATAGACTCATAGACTTTTATGTTACGTATTGACTACTACTCCGCACTCCGTAATTGTCAACATGTCAAAATTGTCAATGGTGCGGAATAACTAATCCAAATTATAACCATGGAACACTTTTTTTGAGCAAATAACCATGGAACACTTGGATTAGTGGTAATAATAGTATTTTGTGGGGCAATATCCTCTACGAGTGTTTCGGCAAATTAAAATTTGAAGATATGGGCCTTGATGGGCTTCAGATTAGGCCTCGAGTGTGGACATGCAAACTTCGCTTTGAGCATAGAGGCAGAGCCTCCAACGCTCAAGTTAGATACCAAATAATGAGTATTTTAGAAAAAGATAGTATGAGTGTGGTCTGTTAGAGTAAGAGAATGACCTTCCTTTACCTTTGCCCTAGAAGACAAGAAGAGTATATATAGTGGTAATAATGGGTTTTTATAGTGTATTTGGCTTATTTAGGTTTTTGGTGCCTTGGGCTTATAGGGGTAGAATTACCCTAGGATAAAATTATAGCCATTTTAACACCCAAACAATTAGCCCCCAAATCCAATACTATTTAGAAAAATGAGTTGGGTTAAATTTCAACTTTCTAAGTAATTCGATGAAAATAATTGATGAAAATCGTAAATAATCTATTGGAAAAGTCAATGTGGCTTGGAGTTGACAAAAATTGATCCGATAATTGACACGATCTGAACACAAAGTATGTATGCATGTCAGGTTTTTTTTTTTTTAATTTTTTTATCTATGTAAATAAACAAGTCAACACAAGTATAACCTCAGATCATAAAGTTAATATAATTCCGATATGGTACAAGGACTCGAAAATCCATAGAGCAGTACACCTAGCGCATAATGTATCATCCTTGGTAATTGAATTGAATGGCCAGCCTAGCTTCAAATCTTTCACCAAACTGTACTAAGGGATTACAAAGTTCAGACACATTCTGAATTGTGTAAGTGCAACTGAGACTTAAACAAATTGTACATATATACCCATTCTGAAGTCTGATATTACCAAGCTACGGTCAGTGAAATATATGGTCATAGGGAGCTTAGGACAAAGTTGGGCCAATGAACTAACGTAACGTATATTATTCCAGTATATAGTTGGTCTACTATTATCATGAAAATTATTATTTGGTAGGTCCATGGTATGTTTTTGGTGGGGATTGAATGCTTCTAATTATTACTATTAAAAAAAACCCCCTGCTGCTGTGACTCGGTGACATGTATTCACCGGTTCACCCTCTCTTTGTTTCACGTAATTTTTCTCGTGGATTAGATCTAGTAAGGACAATGATCTTGATCGGACTTCAACTTGTTTGTAGGCTAAAAGGTTAGTATGTATTCATCGCGCACATAGTTTATTTTTCCGCATTTAGTAAGGAGAATGGGTGACCCGTGTTCCACTACTTTATATACGAGAATAAATTTTAAATTTTTGAATAAAAATACGAGAATGAAATGAGTATGTATTAAATTGACATTTCCTTAACAACAAATTTAATTTTATTTACTCGTAATTGTTAGATGTTGTTACAAAGTGTGGTGTTATGTATACTTGTATTTATGTGACGTTGGATTATCTTATACTTACATATCAAGTTCAATTATAAATTCCTTATGTGTCCAAAGTGTTATGTTATGTATGTATATACTCCATATAAATCAAGTAATGGTGAGGGATAGATGAAGTTAATCACTTTAATTTTTCTAAATCAATGATGATTTTTCACTAGATTAATACTTTAATATTTAAACTCCTGCTAATTAAGTTTTTCAATTTTTTTTTATTAATTTATGTGGCCTCTTTGTCTTTTCGATTTGAGGGTTGAACTGTCACACAACATTCCAGCAAACGAAGGGGAACATTTTAAATTAGTATGATAGTGTTAATGGTAATTAAATGAGGAATTTTATTATTACACTTAAGGCCGGCTAATTTAGCTAGCATTGATTATACATTCATTCATTTTTAGATCAAGATTGGACGGTGCAAAACTTAGCTAGCATTCACACTTAGTGTAATCGTGCGTGTACATGCTCGTAATGGACCATCAATTCCAAACAGGCTAGTACTTCACTACTTCATAATGGAATCTTAAATGCTTAATTAATGCGTTAAACATATATATATATATTATACCGCAATTATTTTTAGGTAGATAAAATGAATTGTCCTATTAGACCGCAATCTCTTATAGATTAACTCGATCCAAGTTTACAGACTAGACACTTTTAGAGTAGTAGAAGGGTGGATAAGGGAAATCCTTAATCTCAAAGTATCCCTAGTAGGATTGGATTATACTCCCAACCTCAAGGTTGTACGTTGGAATGTTCAATCCTTACCACTAGAGAGATCAATTGCTATTAGAGTCTTTATAAACATTAGATTGTATATTAACAATAGCTCACATATGTAAGAATGTAAGATGGACCATATGTTCGAACTTGCTTTACATAATAATATCATAATTACTCCATATATTGGTTCAATATTATCATTATGTTGGTGATGTATGTAGTTAGTTCATTCTTCTGCCCTTAGTAAGATTTGATTATCACACAAATAAGATTATATAATTTTCTTTTTAGGTGTTTTTTCTATGTGAAGGGTACTTTTGATAACTCTTTCTTTGATCATCAGAGTAATACTTGTAGTAGTATAATTAGAACAATAGATAAGCTATGATGAGACGGTGATTAAACAAACAAATAATGTTTGACCGAATAATATTATGAATTAAAATGTGCTTAGATTATGCCTTTGATTGATTTTTGTAATAAACATGGAAATATGGAATAGTATATGGGTTATCATTAGTGTTGCCAACCAATGGATTCATTCGATTGACATTGCTAAATTCAAGGTACCTACATGGCTACATACGTGGGGAGGAACTCACGTGCAATCTAAACATATCGTACATTTGACTGAGAACTTGTTTATCACTTATTGATTGCATCTTTGACTTAGCATTCATCCCACAAAATAATTCTGATTCTTTGTTAAAAAAAAATACGAGTATTTATTTGTCATTTAATTGTATACAAGGGTAATGATAGATTGATGTACTCAATTTTTTATTAAAGTTGCATACGAGCATTCATTATATCTTTATACGTTATGATATTAATTTTAAAATGCATGAAAATATCATACAGCAATCGACATATATAATTGTTCAATATTAATTTGATACAAGTACTTCAATTAAAAAAAAAAAAAAAAAAAAAATTAATTTCTTGTAAATAGTCATAGATTATAGAGTATTACATCGAATCCATGAAGTAAAGACTTTTAATTTGCAAGTAGCAACTTCAGTTTCTAATAGCTAAATACTTTGTAATTTAATTTATTAAATTGAGATTCTTTTTTTTAATATTATAACAAACTCTTTAGATCTCATTGACTTTTTCCTTAGCTCAAATTGAGCATTCTATATGCAAATATGTAAGGAGTCTCATGCGTATACAATTCCATTAAACACATACTTGTATTTGACAAGAGCTTCACAATCATTAATCATAGACGAAGTAGCTTTTTTAATAGACCATTTAAACTGATTAGGAGCTTCAATCATCAGCTTAAGTTTCAAATTAAATCACCTCCCGGCTAGCTAAAGGCTCGATTTTTCTCAGTGACCTGGTTATATTCTTAATGATGTGCTATTTATTTGTTCTAGTTTTATTTCGGTTTCTTGGTAGCATGTTAAAGGGAGGGTAACAGTGTTGCTTATCACCTTACTATGGTAGTTCCTTTCGGGATTGAACAAGTTTGGGAAAACCATGTCCCGAATGAAATCTACCCGCATGTACTTATGGACACTTTGTTCCTAAATTGATATATTTCGTGACCATTGTTTAAAAAAAAAAAAAAAAAAAAAAGAATGAGCTCTCATGTGAAAGGGGGCCAGGGTGTGATGGAGTATATAAACTGATCTTGGACTTCAACCATCAACTTAAATTTTTGTTTGAAATGATCCTTTAACATGATATTAAAAGTCAACATGATAAAAAAAATAAAAATACTCCGTAGTTATCTTTCTAGGTGGTTGGATTTCAATTATCTAAAGTTCTTAACATTTTAAATTTATCTTATCTAAAATTATTTTTTTGGAAATCAACTCATTATCATATTGATAAGTTTAACAATTCCTATATGACTCTACTTATTAGCCTCATATTCATTTTAATTGTACGTTTGAAGAGCCAAATGTGCCAAACATATATGATGTAGTACACAATTACGCAATTAATCTAATTCTATAACACAATTGAAGTGTATAGATTAATGGGTCACGTACGTACATCCTGTTAAATTAATGATCCAGATGGATCCTATTAAATTGGAGTCAGATAATTAGGCAGTGTAAGCGTGTGCATCTAATTTTTCTAGATTAAAATAATTACATACAAGCCTTTCCCAGGAAGCTTCTTGCGGTGAAATCATATAATATCAATTAATCTAATTCCATAATACTTCGTACAATTGATATTGTATAGATTAATTGTTTTTATTTATTTATTTATTTATTTATTTTGGTGTGTATATCATAGTAGTATAGAAGTTCTAAAATTGCATGTCTTTTGTGCTCTTAACCCAAGACGATCCATAAAGACGATCCTAAAGAAGAAGAAGAAAGAAGGAAATTAAACATAATTTAGAATTGAATTTACTACTACAAATACATTGCACGGAAAAAAAAAATAAGAGTAAGAAATAAGGACCATCATGATTTAGTCAAGCTAAGCTAAAAAGTAAGTTATCTTATGGTCAAGTTTTATTAAAAAAAATGAGGATAAAATTTTAACCATTATTTGACTATAATTTTTTATAGCACAAGTGTATAATTGTTAGTCAATGTAGTTAAATAAATCAAAATCTTTGAAAAAATCTCAACCATGTAACCCGTCTTCGTATAAAAAGTAGCAATTCATCGCACACTTTAAAGCGTAACACAATATATACATAACAGTTTAGAAAAAGTGAATTATTTACGGTGATCTTATGTAGACAACAAAAATATATACTCAAATAGGAAGGTAAAAGTGAATAAATGTTACCTTAATTAAACAAAAGGAAAAGGTAGATTTATACTCGACTTCAATAATGAAGTTGTTGTATTACCTTGACTTTAAGTATGACTTTGTGGTGTAGACTTCTTTATAAATAGCAAACATGTGAAGCTCATACGTACTCATTGCAGTGGCAATAATATCTCAAACAAGAAACAACCAAAAACACAAGTTAGAGAGAGAAACATAAATTGCTTAATAATAATTTTTGAAAAATTAAGCTAAGCTAAATTATAATGGCAAGCAAGCAAAAGGAATTATACTTCGTGTTCATGAATTTTGATCCTGAGTATGAGCGTCTTCGAGCTGATAGGTATGATTATAACTTTTATATTAAGACTTGGTATTAATTATGTAATTTTTTCAAGCTAATTATGAGCTATTAATTAATCACATTTTCATCCTTAATTTGGTTGATTAATTAAATATTGTGGTGATTTAACAGGACGAAAAGAGGAGCCTACGAGTTAGATGTGTATCTAAGCAGGAAACATGATGAACTTCTTGCTCGAACGCTCCAACCTGGTTCATACAACAAGACTTTGTCTCTGGTTATTGTTGATGGTTTCGCAGTTGAAATCACTGATGATCAGGTATTATCATTAAGCTATAGTTATTATTATTGTTGATGACGAGCTTAATATAACCTACATTGCCCGATATATACATATATACCCCAAGTTACGGCCCTTACGGGATATAATTAGTAACTTTGAATACACTTATACACATTGTGGGTTGGTAAGAATGGAATTTGTAATATAGGTATTTCAACCTAACACATTATTGCCGGATATATTTTTTCCTTAAAACTTATACTACCACTAGATTTTGAATTGAATTATTGAAAATGATTAAATGAATACTAATTTTTTTTTTTTTTAGAAAAAAATGAATACTAATTTAAATCAAAACGAGTTTGTTTCGTTATTTATCTTTTTTTTTTCTTTCTTTTATTATTTTTAATATATATACTACGAGTATCTTTTATACTGTATGAATTGATTTATAATTGGTTAGAGATAAGATTTTGTATGAGATTTCACAGAGTTATACAGTTGTTGATTAGCAGCATTCTATTCTGTATTATTGTTGCAGCTTAATAATGCTGCCTTTTTATTTTTATTTATTTTTGGTGTACGTGTATCATTTTAATGTACAGGCAAAGTTGCTGAGATCTGCGACGGGAGTCCGGGTAGTGGAGAAGAATCAAGAGTTGGCTTGATTACTCATTTGTTCAGCTTCAGCCTCATGAAAATTTATCATCAATATAATTAATTAGCATATATACCAATATTATTGAGGCCTAGGTATTAAGAAGTAGGTTTAATTTGTGATTACTATTGTGTATTTTTGTGTTTTTTTCATTCCAAAGGGCCTATTCTTAAGGTAATATATGTCGTAAGTAGGGTATATAAATACTTTATATTTATGTAACGATGGGTCCATGGCATTATTATAAATTACGATGGCACTCATGTAATTTTTTTTTTATTTTAATTAAGTGATTGGTTGATTTGGAGCTTCTTGAATGGATTACTCTTTCCATAGTCAACACCTCTCTCATGTATTTAATTGCTTGAATGAGTTAATTAAGGTTGACAAATACCGAGTAATGAAATATATTACAAAGGTATATACTGAAATATTAAGGCTAATCAAGGACATGCTTGAATAAATTTGTGTTAATCTATCGGTTTGTTTTAATAAAAAAAGGTAAGGAATTGAATGATATAAATTCGCATATCTAATTACATGACTAGTTTGTCAATTATTTATAATTCACAATTATCGCAACAATTTCTTTCTTTGTTGTCTTACTTAGTGTACCGTATTGTTACGTTATGTTTGGAATAGTTCTTACAAACAATGTTACGTATCAAATTCTACGGTTGAAGCGGCCCTCTCCATCAATTCACACTGGTAGAACCATAAAACAACTAAGGTTGTGTATATGTTAATCATTATAAATTTTACCATTTTATATACGTTAAATGTTTTAAAGTTTTTTATTTTTATTTTTGTTTTTCAGTTCTCCTCCGTACTACTTCACCTTGATATCAAAAATCACAAAATATAAATAAAAAAATGATACTTCCTCCGTTCTTTTTTTATCGCATCATAGAGCTTTTGACGGCAAAATTTGATAGGGGTAAAATTACAAAATTATCCTTGTATTAGCAAAAAAAATAAGACCCACCAAAACCTAGAATCTGCAAACACAACATATAACGTGCTGTAATCCATTACCCAAAAGTCACCAAAATTCTAACTTAACTCCACCCATCAACAGTGAAACAGTGAAAATACAATACATTTACCCACCAAATTTCAGTTTTACTTTACCCACCACATTTCAGTGTTAGATTACCTACCAAAATTTCCTAAACTGAAAATTTAAACAACCACCAAACACCAAAATTTTGAAAATTCAAAATCACCCGCCTAAATTTTAGATTCTGAAATTCAGAACACTAACCCCCACAACTTTAACTTCACTATAAAAGGAGTGAGTAACTCAGTCCATCTACATTCAATGCTTTAACCAATTTTTTTATTTTTTTTCCCCTGAAGTAGTCCACTGCATGCAGCAAGAACCACACAGCACAAACAACACTTAACATCGTTTGTTCTGTCATCACAGCACACACAACACATTGGGAAATGGATTCTTAGGGGTTTGAGGACGTAGAACAGCTTTACAATTTGGAACAGTCACAACGGTTTCATGAAGATTACGAGGTACTATTTTCTTCTGAATCTGAATCTGATACTGATATAGAATTAGGAAAATATGGTAATCCAGCAACTGTAGTTATTAAATTAGAACATGATAATGTCATAGTAGAGAAAAATGAAAAAAAAACATTTGAATTAAGTGACAACCAAAGACAACATATTGTTCAAGAACTTATTCTAGCACAAGAAGGAAAAAGGTACTGCCCCGGGGGGGGGGGGGGAGATCAGTACCAAGGGGTTCAATTAAAAAATTAGCATACAAATATAATGTACATAGGACAACTATTGGTAGAATTTGGGCAAAAGCTAAGGGCCGATTTGGGGGAAATAGAGTGATTGATGTGTGCAGCAGAAAAAGACAAAGGGGAAGGAAGAGATTAGACTTTGATCATGCTATTTTAGCAGCAATACCAATTGAAAAAAGAACCACAATTAGAGGTGTAACACCCCCGATTTACTAGCTAATAATAAACAAGAATTAAAGAAAAATAAACAACCTTTAAATAAAACTGCAAAAGCATACACCTAAATCGGAGGTATTACCGCCACACTCAACAACTTGTCAAGTGATGAGGCTTACAAAACCCCAATAATTACAACTCAATAATCTAAGTGAGCTATTAATAAACCTTTACAAACTCGTTATAAAATACTAATCGAGACAATTGAGCTCCTTTAGCTACGATCTCTTGATCAACCTATTTAGACAAACTTGACTGCTCACCATTAAGGACAAATTCCTAAATAGATCGTCGCAGGGCCACCATAAGAAAAAGACATGGCTGCAAACACAAATAGCACAACAAACAACACACACGTCAGCAAAAAACTGAGTAATCATCACATATCAGAATACAGAGTATAATAGAATAATCAACATTACTAGGTCAATTAAACAATGTAGTTCAAAACTACATTACACATTGTATTTTGAAAATAACCTTTGTCAAATTAAACCCAACCTTGAATAATAATACGATCTTTTACTCAATTAACTCATCTATCCCATAAGTGTGTCATGTTCTTTGTTCTATACCTAGCCTTAGACATGAGTAATTCGAATAAATAAACCAACAAGTATAAAAACTTGAATACTCTCAATAACCAGAAAACACCTCTAACCATGACCAATATGGGTCAAATCCCACCGTAGGGGACCATAAAAAATATAAATAAAGATTGTACCTCATTCTTAACTCATGATCATTATCTCCTTACCAACATGCCAAGAACTAAGGTATATAACGCCTAGCCTCAAACCAAGAACAAAATAATAATTTTCAACCTTTTGATCTCATACATTGATCAAATAACCATTCACTGATTAATAAATAATATTTCAACAATGGCACAGGTTCCCAAATAACATAATAATTCGATTCACAAAATATCTCAACTCTTATAGGGCGAACATACTAGTTCCCAAACATAATCAAATCTCGTCCCAAAAATAATACTCCGCATTATTAACCCTAAACCTCAATATAACAATACTCTCTAGAGCAACAACATTAAAACCCTAGGAAACTAGCATAATAAATCAATGTGATAATTAAATCATATAATACCACACACTGATCATATACATATAATCTTGATCATAAGAATAGCAAATATAAAATTTGCACATAATAATATAAAATATAAAATACGACTCCAAAGATTTATGGTGTGATTACATATAATAATAAGAGTAAGCGAGCAACTCCAAAACGACGAGTGTGATTACCTTTCGTAAACAATTAAGCAAATATAAGAGCAAGGTACTCCGCCGATTCACAATTAACAACAACTCACGCACAAGATACTCCACCATCATGATTAAAACTCACGCACAAAACTTGTAATCACTACTACAAAAATGGCAAAAGAGACCTATAATAAGAGACCTGTTGGTTAATACAGCAGGTCTCTTTGATATAAGAGACCTAATATTAGAGATAACAGGTCTCTAAAATGTCAAAGGACCCACATGAGATTTTGGGACGAAAATAAGAGACCTGTTGGTTTGCTGAACGGGTCTCTTATATATGCGCATAAGGATTAAGGACCCACCACAACTAGCGTACTCTCGCCTTTTCTTTGTTTTTTTTTAAGAAAAAAAAATTCCCTTTTTAATTCTTATTCATTTATACAGCTCATTATTAGTCATGTTCATATGAATCTCTTTTCTTGTTCCCCTTTATACGTCTCTTTCTCTTTCACCTCATCACTTGTCTCATCTCATTTCTCATTTTTATTTCTCACGAAGCAATTAACTCCTCCTCATTAACGACGCTGCATCTTCCTTCAACACCGGCGTTGCCTTCTTCTTTTAACTCAAAGTTTGAGGCTTTCAACATCTATTATGACCATAAATACTCCAGATCTAGAGTCTTATGGTCAAATTTGCCTAAATAATTCTACAATTGAATTAGTCTTAAAAAGGTATGTTTCCATATCAATTTAATTCTGAAAAGTTTTTGGGTTGTTGACAAGGTGTTTCTATGGCAATGGTTTATGGTTTGTTTGTTTCTTTTTTAAAAAATAGGTTGCTATAGTTTAGATTGGGTAGTTTTTGGTTTTTTCGTTGGTGGCTAGTGTCTTACGGGATTGGGGTTTTTTCACTAGGGGTTGGTTTTTCACGGGGTTGGGTCGGTTTATGACGAGGTTGGGTCGGTTTATTACGAGGTCGGGATGGTTTTCACGGGGGTGAGTGTAGTTTATACGGGGGTTGGGGTGGTTTTCACGGGGGTGTGGGCGGTTTGTTAGAGGTTAAGGCTTAGGGTTGGTTTATAGGGGTTTGTTATTGATGGTATTTTCTTGGGTTTTTTTTTTAATGTTAAATTAAGTATATTATTTCCTTTGCAGTTTGCAGTTTAGGTCAATTGATTACTTTAATATTGATGATTTTTCTGGGTTTATTTTGTATAACAGATGATTTAGGTGCCCAAGAGTTGATTTATGTGGTGAAGATTGCATATGGGATAATATATGATTTTATCCCCTTAATTTTGTTATTGATGTTTAAATCGTGTAAGGTTGTGTTTATGTTGTTGATGTCTAGTTTTTAACCTGAATTATAACCCTTGAAGCTTTTTTTTATTGATTCTTTTAATGGTATACAGGTTTTTAGAGGCCAGATGACCAATTCAAGAAACTTGCTTAGCTGATATATGGAGGGCTAAAGAAATTACCAAAGAGATGGTTGGATTCACTTGCCGTATAAAATTGGTGGGAATGTTGTTAGTTTTGATAACTTATTGTAAATTATTATTTCCATTAGTTATTATTTACTTGTTCCATAAATTCTCTTATACATGTAAATTATTGTTCGTATATACTTGTAAATGTTACTACTAGTAAATTCCATAATTATATAAGTTTATGTAAATTTATCTAATTTTTTGGTTTTGTAATTTTCAATTTTAGTAGAATAATTACAAAATAATAAATATATATCGTCAATTTATAATTTTTTTTTTAAAAAGAAAAATTATAAAGAGACTCGTTACCTGACAAAACAGGTCTCTTTATGGCTATCAAAGAGACCTGTTGTATGAAATAACAGGTCTCTTCCCCTTCGTAAATATATGATGTATATACATGCGAAGAGACATGTTACCTTACATAACATGTCTCTTATTGATAACAAAGAGACCTGTTCAGTTGAACAGGTTTCTTTAGCAAAGAGACCTGTGAGCTAGAGACCTCCTCTAAACAGGTCTCTTATGCTATTTCTAACGGGTCTCTTTGGCCTTTTTTGTAGTAATGAATTTTGGGAAAATGTAATAATAATGGGTTTTAATCAAGAGTTATCATGGAGATTGGAAAAGGAAAGAAAAACTTTTAAGAAGAATCAAAATTTGGGGTTGTGAAATACACGCACAAGCATAAATAATATGGTAGGTTTTTTTTTCTTCTTTTTTTAATTAAAAAAAGAAATTGATAATTATATTAGGGTTTAAGATAATTTTTATAGGATAACAAAAATAGAGTATAAGAATTTATAAAACAATTTAAAATATCTTATTTTAGCCATAAAATATATCTGATAAAATCTTAATATATTCGGGTATTACAAGAGGGTTAGTTGAGGCATTGCACTTAAGTCATACAACAGTGTATAGGTTGCTAGGGATTGGCATACTTAGGGCACACACAAATAGCATAAAACCATCACTTAAGCATCACCATAAAGTTAAAAGAGTGCAATTTATAATGGATAGTGTCATTCCGAGAACGGTAAATGAACTTCTTAAGTTTAGTGTAATGTATAACATGGTGCATATTGATGAAAAATGGTTTTATATGAGTGATGAGACTCAAAGATTTTATCTTTTCTCGTGGGAGGATGACCCATACAGAGCAACTCAGAGTAAAAATTTCATGGAAAAGGTTATGGTTATGGTTGGGATTGCTAGACCTCATATTTGTAATGATGGGGAAATATTTTGGGATGGAGAAATTGGTGTTTTTTCTTTCACAGAACAGGTAGCAGCAAAGAAAAACTCAAAGAATAGAGTGGCAGGCACAGTTAAGACAAAGGCTTTGCAATCACTTACTAAATTTGTTATCAGATCAGTGTTAATTGATGAAATGCTTCCAGCAATCAGATTGAAATGGCCTTTAGGAGCATGCAAGGAAATATGGATACAACAAGACAATGCTAGACTCCATATCAGCCCTAATGATACAAATTTCTTAGAAGCTGTAACTATGGATGGTTTCAACATCAGGCTTATAAACCAGCCAGCCCAAAGCCCAGACTTGAATATTCTGGATTTGGGTTTTTTCAGAGCCGTTCAATCAATACAATATAAGGAATTCCCAAGAAGTTTAGAAGAGTTACTACAAGCAATTGAAAATGCATACAATACATATGATCCGAAGTCTTTGAATTTCACTTGGTTGCACACGCAGTACTGTATGCTGGAAATACTTAAGGTAAATGGCGGAAATGGTTATAAAACCCTCACAATGGAAAGAGAAGGCTTTAAAGAATGGGACAACTGCCCGTTCAAATAGAAGTACCAAATGAATTAATGCTTCAAGGTCTAAGTTTTATTGAGCAGGGACAAATTGATGTCAGTATTACCCAACCGACTAATACTGAACACAATATGTCTCAAGGTATTTAAGAAAAGAATTGAAGACAATTGCATTTTGAAGGCTTTAATAGTGGAAATAGCCAACAGGGACTGCCACACATAACCAACATTTTGTTGATACAATGGGTTTGTAAGTTATTTTAATTAACTTTGGTTATGTGTACTTTTGTATCACTACAAGAAAACAACTTCATTTCGACTAAAAAAATCCGTCGGAATCATCGGAAATTCCGTCGGAATCAAGCCTTCCGACGGAATCAAGCCTTCCGACGAAATTCCGTCGGAATAAGTCTGTCGGAGTGGCCCTAGTCAGAAATTCGACCTTTTTCGATGGAATTTCCGTCGGAAGGCTGATTCCGACGGATTTATTTCTGCCGGCACTTTTTTTTACTTTAATTGAAAATCCGTCGCAACGTTCCGACGGAAATTTCCGTCGGAGTTGGAGAGGTTTCCGACGGAATTTTCCGTCGAAAATGTTAAAAAAAATAAAATTAAAAAAAAAACAGCCCCACCCTGCCAGAAAAACCCCCACCCACACCCACACCCACCAGCCCAGGAAACCCCCCCACCCACACCCACCCCACCCTGCCCAGAACAACCCCAACCCACACCCACCAGCCCAGGAAACCCCCCCCCCCCCACGCACAACCACCCACACCCACCAGCCCAGGAAACCCCCCCACCCACGCCCACCCCACCCTGCCCAGAACAACCCCCACCCCACCCTGCCCAGAAAATCCCCCCACCCACAACCACCCTCCCTGCCCAGAAACACCCCCACACACATCCCACCCTGACCACCCCCACACCCACCTGCCCAGAAAAACCCACACCCACCCAGACCACCCCCACCCACACCACCCCAACTTGGCCAAAAAAACCCCCACCCACCCCACCTGCCCGAAACAACCACCACCCACAACCACGAAATCGCAAAAAAAAAAAATCGAACAAAATTCTAAAAAACGCAAATAAATTCAAAGATCCGAAAAAAATAAACAGAAACAATTGAAATCGAACAAAATAAATAAAATATACAATTAATCTGAAATTAATAAAAATTAACATTACAATTATATCAAAAAACAATTATAATCAGAATTGTTTAAAAAAAAATATCTAGATCTACAATGTTATTGTTGTTGTCGTTACTCTGTGTTGTCGTTGTTGTCGGTGTTGTCGTTGCTCCGTGTTGTCGTTGTTGTCGTTGTCAGACAAGGGGAAAGTAAAGGAGAGAAGGAGGTGAAAGAGAAGGGGAATGAGAAAAAGAGAAGGGGAAAGAACGAAGAAAGGTGAAGGAGAAGAAGAGAGGAGAGAGAAAGAGAAGAAGAGAAGAAGAGAGAAGAGAGGAGAGAGAAAGAGAAGTAGAGAGGCGGAGAGAGAGGAGGAGAGGAAAGAGAATTGAATAGGGTTGGGGGAAGGGAACCAAATTTTAGGGTTTAGTTTTTTTTTTATTTATTTTTTTTAATTTTTTTTATTCCGCAAATATGTAAGGTGTTTTTTTTTTAAAATAAGATTCCGACGGAATATTCCATCGGAAACTTAATCTTCTGACGGAATATTCCGTCGGAAATTTCCGACAGATTTTAATTCTGTCGGAAAGTCAACGTATCGACGGATAATCCGTCGAACACTTCCGACGGATTTTATTTCCGTCGGGATACAAATTTTTCGACGAAATATTCCGTCGGAAAGCCTATAAATTCCGAGGGATTTTTATTCCATAGGAAATCCGTCGGAACTTTCCGACGGAATAAAAATCCCTCGGAACTTATAGGCTTTCCTACGGAATTTTGTGTCCATCAGAAGATTTCCGTCGGAATCTGGCCTTTTTCTTGTAGTGTATCTTGTAAGTTTTTGTCTAAGGCAGTCATGTTAGAAGATATTTTGTGAAGGGACTCAATATGTAGCTAATTTTAAAATGGTATGAAGTCTTCTTAGTAGTATTTTGTATGAAAGTCACCTTTTCTTCTTTGCACATTTACAAGCATTCATACATTACTTCCAAGTCACATTTAAAAAAGGGTGGATAATCCATTAGAGGGTGTCATTTTTTCTCAAAAAAAAAAAGCCTAAACCATGTTACCTCAACAGTAAGTGCACAACACTAAAACTGGAGCAACCCATAGTTTGGACCAGCTAGTTTTAATCAATTAAGTCCCTTCATCATATGGATTACTAATGGGCATGACAATCTGAAATAGGGACTTATTCCACTAGGGACAAATACCCAAAAAAAGGGACTGAATAGGCAAGAAGGAGGGACTGAATTAGAACTAGGGAGGGACTCAATGCACTGCATACTCACTTGCAAATAGAGTGTTCTCTCAAATATTGTCATCGAGAACAAGAATTAAAATTGCTCATACACATCATTCATCAATAACAGTCCCTCATATGCAAGACATCAGGCATCAAGCAACACTGATCATGCATTGAACACTACACAACATGCATTCAAGAGCAAGCAACTTAACAAAAACTAATAGTCAGCATGCAACCACAATGGCAGGGGGCTCATTCATCACCATCATCTAACAACAAAGGCAACATCAGCATAAACTATCAACAAAGGCAACATCAGCATAAACTACCAACAAAGGCAACACCAACATAACCTACCAAAAACATCAACATATTAAACATAACCAACCAACAACAGCAACATCAGCATAATCCAATCATAACAGCAACAACATCTTAATCTACCACCCTGCTGGCATCCATTGTCATTCACACAAACAACACTTCACCAATCAACCCAGTACATAACAAAAAAACAAAAACGAGAATTTATGGATCAGAAATTGTTACTCTCAGGCCAAATTTCGTTCGCTTACTCTCAGGTCAATAAGTAGGAAGGCCAAATTTCATTCGCTTACTCTCAGGCGCAGCAATAGATTCACCAACAGCAGGAGGGGACTCATGTTTTTCATCATCCTCGTAAATTGGTGTTATCTTCGCACCAATCCCATACATTCTTCTCATTTGTGCGACAGAGACCCTAGGAATCATCTAAGGATAGTGGTTAGGTCTGGTTTGGTAAGGGACTGTGATTTGGGTTTTTTAGCACGACCCAACCCAAATTTTGCACCCATCAAGGAAATAGATCCGAGTCCTTTTGAAGGATCCAAACTCGAAACAACATTGTTCTCAGAAAAAGTAATGAGTTGTTGTGAAGAACAACCCGACCCAAACATTCCGGCAACCTTAACAAGTTCGGATTTCACCTCCCCTTCCCCAACATTCGAGGCAACCGCACTTACTTTCTGAGCGGCTTCCTCATCTTTAATAGATCCGAGTACTTTACCAATCGCATCGAAGGTTCGTTGGCTGAAAATTTCGCCACCTTTGCCTGACATAAAGAACAAATTAGGCTACGAAGCCCGTTCTTCAAAGCTTCGACGAGAGCAACAATGAAACCCTGCTTAATTTCATCGTCAGTCGCGTATAGGGCTTCGTGTAGTGGAGATAGATCCATTCAAGAAGGAAGAGAGGAAAAAGAAGGAGGCAAGCTCTATTCAAGAGGAGAAAGAATGAGCCAAGATCGATTGTTCAAGGAGGAAGATGAAGAAACTTCAAGAACTGGGGTTTCAATTCATGAGATATGATGAATTGTTGCTTTAATCAAAGGGATTTAATTTGGTAGGTGGGAGAATAATAAGTGGGCTCATTATGTTATAGTAATAAGGGTAAAAAAGAAATTGTACAAGGAAAAAACTGTCAAATAAGGAATTGATGCAATAAATAGGAAACTTGCTAAAGTAGTAAGTGATGCGATAAAAAAACAACGGAGGAAATAAATATAAAGGACTTTAGTCAGCACATGAATGGGGTCATTAAATAATTAAATTTCATTGCAGTCCCCCACATGCAACCATGCAAAACAACAATGAAATATAGATTCCAAAAAGAAGGAAAAAATAAAAGTAGCAGTAGACTTTAATTTGATGGTATAGCTAGGCAAATTGACAAAATGGAAATATATGTGATTTGATGCGTTGGAAAAATCACTTGCTGTTGTTCATTCATAGGTTGGTTGATAAAATCACAACCACTTTATCCAGTTAAGGTTAGATGAGAAGCCTTAGACTAGAAACTTAAAATGGCATCATTTTTTTGACAAAATTTCTTTGAAAGATAGACTCTATTTTGTAAATCCTGACATTTGTGGGTCTGACCTTTTTTTATTATCATCATATGCCTCAATCTTTCAATTATTTTCACATCTATATATTTTGCAAATTTTTGTTGTGAGATTAAGCTTGTCTTCTCTACAATTATTTATGGATCTAAGAATAAAAATATTTGTTACTCAGAATTGCAGGTTAATTCATTGATGGATGTGTGTAAATTGTCTTATACAAGTCAAATAATTTGTTACTAAATTATTTTTCTTGCAAATCATAGATGGATGTTTAATTTCGCAAGAGCAACATACATCCTATATAACTATTGGAATATAAAACTTTTTGAATAGGGAATTTAACAATTTGTTATAGTTGTCTATTAGGATGATATTCAATTGAATCACCTTATTATACGGAGTATATGAAAAGTTGAGAAATGTTGCAATCTTGCATAACTCTTTAACAACAACTAATTTTATGATATTCCATTTCACCAATAAATAAAAAACCCCCGCAAAACTTAAATAAAATTATTGTCTTATGGAAAATCACACTCAAATGATAGAAGTACTTGTATTGAAATTTATTTACTAATAGCATAAACCTAAACTAAAATTAACATATGTTGTTTATAAAAAAAAAAAAAAAAAACGTCAAATGTGACAAGTCAAGCTACAAATATTTTGTCATATGGAGCCTAATAAATTTTTTTGGTTATATTTATGCTATCGCACAGGCACTAACTTAGTACTTCATTATACTCGAGCCACCGATCACATCACCAGCCTTCGATCGAATTCCAGCCACCAACATCATTTCTTGTAAGTTTCCCCTTCCTCTCCGTTTAGTGTGCTTTTTCTTCTTCTTAATTGTTCTGTTTTGGTTACTTGATTCCGATTTCTTTTAGACGATTTAGAGGAAATTTGACAAATCAAAAGTAGGCTCCTTGTAATTTTTTATTTTTTATAATTTATAGGAGATAATCGCTAGGGAAATCGCCAAGTCTAGTAAGAACTTGGTCGATAGTTCGGGAAATATGAAAAAGCAGCCATAGTTATGGAATGGAAGCATTTGCTAGCTAAATTGTGGGAAATCATTACAATACTTTTTAGTGTTTGAAGCAGTTATCAAGTTTAATGGAAAAGGTCTGTGACCTGGAGAGGGACGGCGGTGATGTGCAGGAGGTGTCGATGACGGAATGTGGGTGTTGAAACTGAACACGGCACTGCTGAGGAGGCGGAGGCGACGACGGTTATGCGGAATGTGGACTCCTCCCTCTCAGACACAACCTTTCTGGAATTGCCTTTGGTACTCTGTTACTCGGCCATTGCGTGTCTATGACTGATAGGTAATTAATATTGTAAAGATATCAAGAATATCAATTAATGGAGTTAATTCATTTATTTTCCTTACTTATATTTTATTTACGTATAATAAGCTTTGATTTGTATCCTTGTAATCTTTTTAATTATTAGTTATTAATTTTCCCTCACAGTGATATTATTATTTTCCTTAGGTGATTTCTTGCACATATTTAGGCTATAGTTCACGTTACTATTGAATATATATAAATATATAATCAATTAATCACCCTTCATTCCTTCTTACAATTCCACAAATATTGGTTGATATAGATTATTTGTGATTTGCAGTGAGGCTCGGTTTCATACAATCCGTGGATTGTTCAAAATTCCCAAACCGAAAAGTTCAGGGTTCGTTTGGCACTTTTTTCAGTTTTCTGTTTTATGTTTTAATGAAGCTATAAATAAAAAAAATTGAAAAAAAAACCCATTAAAACTAAACCCAAATTCATCAACTGATTCCTCAATTTTAACAACGGAAAAAGTTTCAAGCAGTTCAATTTACAACATGATATAATTATTCCACATGCAATATAATTTACACTAATTGATGATGATCCGTTTATTTCAGAAAAAAAAAAATCCAAAATATAAAAACCCAAAAAAAATGAAAAAATTGCGAGGAAGGTCTTTTTAAGAAGTCGATCTTATGAGGAAAGTCCTTTTATGAAAAAGGTGGCACAAAAGGTCCTTTTATGAACTTTGGGTTGTGAGGAGGGTCCTTTGACCAAACTCCAGTGTTAAAAAAAAGTCACGTGTGCACGTGACTACTTTAGATTTTTTTTTCTTTTTTTCCCTTTCCCTGTTCTTCTGCCAGAACAGCTAGACCCATGTGACTTTACGGGCTTACGGATTACACTATATCATTTGGCGCGAAAATTAAGAAACTCTTAAACTAATTATTTTATTAGGGTTTTTATCTCCTTTAATTTATGGTTAAATTCGAGCACATTTTAGCATGTAACTGCTATGTATTTACAAAGCATATAGGAGTGCATAAATGTAAATTATTGGAAAAAAGCTAACTTTATGGTATATTATAATTTTTCATAATGTACCATTATGCATTTATGAAATATACTATTAAAGTATAAAAGTATAAGTTATCTTAATAGTACTTTTTCTGTACTATTATGCATGTAGTGATACCTTTTCTATAGGTTGAATAATTTCTCCCAAAATACTTACCATATGTTTTACATTTTTCCGTTCTATATATTTGTTAACAAAATAACAGCTATGCGCTAAGGATTAACCGTTAAATTCTCCAGAATTAAACTCAGCAACAATGGCGGATTCATTCCCGTCGTCAAAACGCCGTCGCACTGACCAGCTAGAAGCCCCAAACGACGCCGTTGAATCGCCGAAGCTCAAGAATTTGTCACCACTGGTTGTCTTCGCTCATGGTGCTGGTGCTCCTTCCTCTTCCGATTGGATGATCAGGTTTTCTCTCTCTTTCTTTCATCTTTCTCATTTTGTTTCAGATTTTAGTTAATTAGTTGAAATTACTATATGTAACAACATTTGATTTAAAATTTTTGAAAATTAGTGGTGATTCTCTTTATACTGCTCTCATTTTTGTTTGCATGAATTAATAGTGTAATTTTAATGAATTTTGCATGTAATTTTACTCAAAATGATGGTGTATATCTTCTATTTAGTAATACTTAAGATTGTTAAAGTTATTGTTTCGGGTGAAAACAATGGACCTTGTCGAAGGTCCGATGAAGTGGAGAAGACTGGATTCGGTCCAAGTGATGTTGGGCCGAAGGTTTCCTGCACAGTAAACACACGTAAACTAGCCTCGGGGGTGTTGCCAAGGAAGACCCCTCCGATGCTAAAGTGAGTACAGTGTGTAGAAAGAGAACACTATGCAAGAGAACTAATTGCTTGAGCCTTTTCTTGAATGAATGTACAAATGTAATATTGATGGCTTTTATACCTTTGCATATATGGAGAAGTTGGGCCTTAGCCCAATTGGCTTGCCTTGAGGACTGATCTTTGACTTTAACACAATTGGAGAGATGAACCTTGACCTTGGGCTTTTAATTGGATCATTTAATGCCTAGGCCCAATTGGACTAAATTGGACCCAAACAGTTATGATTGTGAATTTTATGTTGAACAATTTATATGTTTTGTGTAGATGGAAAGAGATGCTAGGACAGGCCTTGGATGCTGTTGAGGTTGTTACATTTGACTATCCTTGTGAGTTCAATGCTTCAATCTCTTTAATTTTCAAAATCAAAAGGGCTTTACAGATTTGATTTCATCAGTTTTTCGATTTCGAGCCTGAAATGCATTGAGGTCTCTGTATAGGAAGAGTTGTCTATGCTGTTTTTGACTCTTGGAAAATTTATGTGTTGGTAGATTTGGCCGATGGAAAGAAGAGACCGCCTCCGAAGGCGGAGAAGTTAGTGGATTTTCATGCTGATATTGTTAAGAAGGCGGTTGATAAATACCCCGGTCATCCTTTAATTTTGGCCGGAAAATCGATGGGCTCAAGGTGATAATTGATTTTTGATGTATGCCAAATAGATAACTTTTTTTTTGGTCATTTTGTATTGTTGTTTTACATATGGTAAATCATGCCGAACAATATGAACTCTATGAGGTTTTGTGCTAAAAATCTGTTTAAGTTCCTTGCAAATTTCGGCTTCTTTGTTTGTTTATGGAATCAGCCAATCAGGTATGGTTTTAGGAACAGGTTGAATGTACTCTGTAGCTGTTTTTATATCAGTGAAGTCACTATTGAAATAATCAGATAAAATGAATGGTACATTTAAAATTTTATTGGTGAATTAGTTGCACCTTCTTCGACAAATAATATTTCTGTATCTAACTGTAGAATTAGCTGCATGGTGGCCAGCCAAAAGGACATTTCTGCATCAGCAGTAGTCTGTCTGGGATACCCATTGAAGGTTCATCTTTAACTTTTGATCCCTGATTTTTATTTATTACATTGATTATTTTGTTGATGTAGCTCAAGATGATGAATCACAGTAAATTTTTGATGAAGGCAACTCATGGTTATGTAGAAAAAAGCCACATTACTGACACTAGTACTTTCAGGGATCGAATGGAGCAATACGAGATGAGATACTGGTTCAGCTCACAGTTCCTGTAATGTTTGTGCAGGTATTGTTTACTAGTCATTGTCTCCGTGACCAGGTTTCTGTGATCTATAAGATGTTAGAAATTAATAGTATTGTGAGAACATTGTTTGACAGGTTTTATATTTCTGTTTTTTTTTGGGGGATTGGGATATGGTTGTTCTGTTGCAGGGTAGCAAAGATGGATTATGCCCTCTGGGTAAGCTGGAAGCTGTTCGGAAAAGGATCAAAGCAGTCAACGACTTGCATGTCATTGAAGGAGGAGATCACTCCTTCAAAATTGCTAAGAAGCATCTGCAATTAACTGTAACTACTCAAAATGATGTTGAGGAGTCTGCTGTCCAGTCTATCGCCTTATTTGTTTACAATAGTCTTTGTGAATTGTGATAGTCTCAGGTAGTCCAGCTCTTTCAGTATTAGCGGTGAGAAGCTTTTCTGATATGATGATTTTCGTAGTGAGTGTCATACATGATGAGGTCAATCCAATTTTGATATAAAGTTCTGGTTGGCATAAATCACGATCAGTCTCCTTTTGTACTCTAAATAGTTGTTGTATAATATAACCAGTATAGGTATGCTGCTTCATGGCACTTCCCTTTTGTTTAATGCTCTATGTTCATATGCTTGTGTAAATTAGTTTCGGAGACTGTTGCTAGTTCTTCCTGTTCATGTAACTTGTAAATCTTTCATATGCGTAGTGATATTTCATGCAGAAGTATAGTTATGCCTTTGGACTCTTCTTGTTGACTTTTGTGAATTCTTACAAGTTACATAAACGGATAAATATGGAGATGGCCTCCATGTCCTGTACTATTCTTACAAGTTACAGGAAATGGAGGTAGTCTTCATTTTGACCGCTGCTAAAGTAATAACCAAGCTACACACTTGGCTGCCAAATAATTCCTTTGTAAAGCTATGTGATAATTCTATATTTTTTTAAATAATTACAAAGTATTATGCTATGTTACATAAAGTCAAAATCTGATGAAATTTTGAAGATTTTGTTTTAACTGACCATATTGGTCTCCCTATTTAGTTCCATTCGTAGCTACTTTTAGCAATAAATGTTTTTTCAAGGATTATTTTTGCTCCGTATAATTTTATCTAGTCAATGTTTTCATTACAAGCCGTGCACAACCGGGTTATCAACTAGTAGTACTAATACTCATATTATGATATAGCATGCTCAAATGTAGTTGGATCAACCAATTCAAGTGTCATGTATCAAACTGACCATAATGTAAAGCTTTTGCAAACTAAAAACCAATGCCAAAGCTATAGAAAATTTCATCCTAAAAGGAAGAGGGGCTTATTGTTGGAAAGTAACATTTCAACCTTGTACTATAGCAACACTACATTGTTCATACTTATCATCTTTTTCCTTGCCGATTCTTCAGAAGTCTCTCTCATTTAGATGAGGTTTTGGTCCCTTGGGAATGTCTCTTCACTCTCTTGTCAGTCTGCAAGAATAAGGTGAAAAAAAATAAAAAATCAAATTGTATGTATTGGACTGTCAAGCATGCCAGTATACCGCATAACCTTTTTCTGGGCGGATCTGGGGGGGGGGGGGAGGGGGGTTAAAGGGGGTAGATGGGAATGGACTTATGCTAATAGACTACAAAAGACAAACATCTATAATCTCTTTTTAAGTATTTTCTTCTCTATGTCAGGCATGTCTGCTATGGATAATTATGTGAGAATCATGCTGGAAAGTTAGTGTAAACAGGGAGATATATCTGATAAAATATCTTCATTTGAATATATACCTTCATTATCCCACAGGACTCATCTTCACTGTTGCTGTCACTGCTGCTGCTGCTATCTTTGCACTTGCCTTCCTTGGGCTTCTTCATCATCATCATCCTCTCCTTCCAATGATCTGCCATGGTTGAAAAGCAGTGGTTGGTTGGTTCTTCCTTGTTCTGAATGTGCACTTTATTGCTTATTTTGTTGCATGCGTTGGCTGTGTTGCTTTTTGCATGTTGCTCCTTTTCTTTCTTCCTCATCTCAGCATGAGCAGGCTGCTTAGAATCCTTAATTTGGACATTTGTTGTATGTTGTTTTGCCTTCTTCCTCAGCTCAATGCAAGTCGTATGTTTGGCATCCTTATTGACTGTACTTGAGTGCTCTTCCTTCTCCTCCTTTGTCTCCGTGCATACCCCATATTTAATATTTTTGACAGGTATGGTGTCAGCACGTTCTTTCTTCTGTATATGAGTACATTTTGGTTTTGTATCCTTGGATGCCGAGCATTGGCATGTAGTACAGCGTTTGGCCACTGCTTGGTGTTCTTGTTGTTTGTGTCTGAACACTCTGCCTCCCCAAGCGGTCACCTCGGATATCTTCTGGGTAAACTTGTGTTCTTCATTTGTGGGTTTTTGCAGTTTGGTTGAGGCCATTATATTGAGAATGTTGAAAATTATTCAAGGAGAATTTCCTTTGAGTTCTCTTGCTTGATGCTTTGAGGGAATTGCAACACCTAACTATATAGAAGGCACAAAGTAGTTAGATTCTCTGTTTTTTTTTTTTTTTTTTTTTTTTAATTTTTTATTTATTTATTTATTTATTTTTTAATTTAATGGTGTAAAATCACAAGTGGGTGGAATAACTGCAAGTTTGCAAGACATCAGCTGCTGCAGAGGATCATTGTAATGGAAAAGAGGAATATATCAGTTTGGACGGTGGAGATAAAAAGCATGAGCAGCCATATTGGAGAACAGCTTTAAATTTTGGTCTTAAAGAATAAGAAACATTAAAACACAATGTTTAGACATTAACATTAACCCAATACTTCTGATGAAACTTTTGTTTTATGTCAGAATCTGCTTTCGTGCTATAACAGTGGTCATTTCTAGTTGATTTTTATTTGATACGATAGAACTGTCTGTTGAATTAGGTTATGTGGAGAGTTCAATGAGCCACTTATTAATTAAGATCATTATAGTCCATTTTTTTTTAAAAATTTCTTATTTAATAACTGTCACCTTTTTGCCTAGAAGGGTTTAGGAACCACTTTGGGCTATACTAAGGCCAGCTGATTGTGATCTACTATTAAGGAGTATATTGTTAAGAACTTAAGATTCAGGTGAGGAATTATTATTATTAGACTAGAGAAGATCTGGGCTATATGAATTCTTGAATGAATGAAAATGACTGGAACATTTATAATCTTGATATTGTACAAGAATCAAAATAGTATGTAATGAACTAATGGCTAGTCCATTAGTAGACGATTTACTTTTTCTTTGTTTCCTCCCCTTTTTTTTGAGAAGGATGTGAGGCAATGGGGTTATGGAGGAGTAAAGAAAGGGATAAAACATATGGTTTGGAACGTTTCAACCTATGGATCATGTTTCCACTTAAGACGTGAGTTCTAATCCCAGTTTAAAGATAGGATATTACATTAATAATTTTTGATGCATCTCTCTCTCTCTCTATGTGTGTGTGTGTGTGTGTTGGGGGGGGGGGGAGAGTGCTGTAATTAGAACTTCACATAATCTCATTATGGTCATAAGTGCCGCTGGGAAATGAAAGCTACTCAGAACTTCAGAAGTGACAATAATGCTGGTTTACAGTCATTACTTCTGTTGCTTTCTTAACTTCTGCCTCCATAAGATTTTTTTAGCTGCTAAAATTTGTTCAAAGCCATTGAACTAAAAAATGATATTGGTTGGCCAACTATGGGTTTGCAGTTTAAGTTGGGATATACAATTTGCATGGAGCTGTCATGGTTGCTACTTGAAAAGGGGAACAGTATCAATTTTTCCTTAATATGTGCTGTAAGTTAGGGAGATAAATGGTCTGTCTTAAGACATACCTATCTTTGATATTGATACTCTTAAGTCTTAACCCTTCAACCGTGGAACTGCATAACTCCATAAATGCCATTGGTTTTGGATAATATTTACCGTTAATTTTTACCCAAAAAAAAAATTATATATATAATTAGTGACATTTAAGTGTTTACTTTTATTATATTACCCAATTCGTATTTTACGAACTTTATTGATTTCCTTTGCTAAAATTTTCTCAAACCTTTATGCTTTTTACTCACACGCTTTTACCACTCCTTTAAAACTTTCTTAAATTTTATTCTTGGTTCCCTTTTAAAACTCTCTTAATTTTTACTTGGTGCTCTTTCTTTTTCTCACTTTACACACCTTTTTTTTAAAACTGTTTCAACTGATTATTTTGTTATGTCCCTTAGCCTCATTTTGGGACTATGGCTTTGTTGTTGTTTAGTTACATTTTAGTGTTATAACCTGGTATGGATTATGGAGAGATTGTAGATCTACTTGATTTCTATCCCATTGGCTCTGTTAACTTTTGTTTGAAAGCCATTTCAGTATTTAGTACTAATTTCGTGCTCTGTAATGACAAGAGGATTAGGTGAATTACAAATGAAGCAGAGGTATTTGCAACTTGCAATGTTTTAGGTGATACTCCAATTTTAAGGATATTTGTGTTCTTATGTTGTTTATATAGTTTGATAGAATTTTAATGAAGAGCTCTAGATATTTATCCCTTTTCCTTGATAATTTGATGGTCGTTTTCAATAGTTTTAGTTTCATGATATACATATTCTTTGAAAGGTCTAGAGGAGCTTATTTAATAGCAGTGCACCACTGCATATCATGCACTGTTAATTTATAAGGAAACACACATATACAATAGGGACAATTATTTATACTTGGATAACATGCACTAAACCATATCCACTAGGAGATGGTGCCTCAGCTATGCTTGTATTTGGGCATCTATTCTCCAGTCTCTGGCCATGGATTAGCTGCTGCTAACTGCTGAGATCTGCTTGTTTAGCACTTCTGTAAACAATTTAAAAAAAAATTAGCAAATCCTGTTATTTTATTAGAAACCAAGGTTAAGAAATTTTTGAATTGTGTTTGAGACAATATAATCAAACACTTGCCTTCCCATAGCCTTCATTGTCACTCTCGCTGTCACTGCTGTCAACACTGCACTTCTTGGATGATTTCTTCTTGATCTTCATCTCACTCTTATTGTGTCCTGATTTGTAGACTTTGTATTCTTCTTTCTTCTCTTCACAGCTGACATGGTGTGAAGAGTGGTGGTGGGTAGTGCCATGATGAGCAGAGTTATGGTGGTTGATTTCATGATGGATAGTGCCATGCTGGCTAGAGCTATGATTGGCACAGCCATGGCCGTGGTGGCCAGATCCATGGCTGACATGGCCGTGGTGGCCAGAGCCATGGATGACATGGCCGTGGTGGCCAGAGCCATGGCTGACATGGCCAAGGTGACCAGTGCCATGGCTGGCATGGCCGTGGTGACCATTGCCATAGCTGGTATGGCCGTGATGGCCAGAAGAGTGGTTGTTGTGGTTAGGATGGTTGTGCATTGTGCCTCCCATGTTGTGACCAACTTGGTTGGTTGCACATCCAGCAAAGCCTCCACTGTTGTGGTTTGGAACTTGGGAAACTGAACACCCAGCTGCTTTGTGCACTTCTTTGTAACCCTGAGAGCCATTGTTGCACTTCATGTTTTCAGCTTCGCTCCTGGACATCTGCATGCAAGCCATGGTGGTTGTGAATTTGGTGGCCACTTGAGTTTGTACTCTTTAGTGCAAAGGATATTTTATTTTTCCTGAGCTTGGATTTTGATGATCAATGTGAGTTAATCATGCAGTCTTATATAGAAATCTGTAGTGTGCTGACCCCACCCTCTTTTGTTGCAAGATGCTTGATAGTTGGTAGTGAGGTGCTTGCTTATCAGTTATCACCTTTGAATCTGCTTCCCTTTCTTCCTTTGTTTTGTCTTGTCTTTTTCTTTTTGGAAGTGGAGTTGAGTGACATTGATTCTGTTTTCCACTGGCGTTCTGATTCAAATGATACCATTAGGTTGTGCATGCAAAACCTTTACATTTTTTTTTTTGGTATTGTTTGACCTCTACCACAGTCCTTGATTTGCATATATCCTCCCTCTTGTGCTTTGTTGCATCAGTTCCTTAAATTTATGGTCTTAGTCCCTTTTGCCAAAGGTAAAAGCATTATGGAGTATATTTTCTCATGAAAATGATTGTAATAATTTTTTTGGTGATTTGTCTCTAGCTACTGCTATTTATGGAACTGGAATAAAGTGTTTGATTTATATGATATCTGTATCGAATTACAGGCATTGAAACTGCTTATATCGTCAACTTCATAGAGTTTTGTATCACATTTTCTTTTTCAAGAAGAAGGGACATAATTTAAGTGTTCATTGTGTTGGTATATTGTCGGTTATGTTAGGAACAAGATAAATTACGACAACTTCCAAGGGCGTAGGGACATGAGGCTTGTCTACTGTGTAGCTGTGATATGCTATGCATCCATATCATGGGTGATTTTTTGGGACTTACAGGTACCATGGTCTTCATGGAGGTATAGTATGGGGTATATTTTGGTAATTTGGGGCTGTGATATGCAAAATTTTACATGTAGCAATAAAAAATATGGAGTTTCTTGGCCGATTTAACAAAGTTAGAAGTTTGAGATGATTAACTGGTATGCTACATCCTTATAGTTCAGTTGAGCACAAAAGTTACAAATCAAGTATTTTACAACTCTTAGGTTTATTTGGAGATGAAACTTTTCTTTTGGAGTTTTGGATTAAGGGTTCACTGGCCATGGTATGGGAATGTCTCACTTTTTAAGCTTCTGAAAATTAAGAGTGCATATTTCATGCCCCTTAATTCTGATAGGATGATCAGGTTTTTGTAATTCTGCAGCTACCTTTTCATTTGCTGTGACTGTCTGATTTACTGCCTGTTAGGTTTAGTGATCTGCAATAAGATTGTGAAATTATAGTTTTATTCGCCGTAAATGGTAATGGGAAACAATTGATTTGCTTTATGTTTCTTTTTTGTCTATTTGAACGTTAGATTTGGAAGTACAACTGTACAAGTGATCAAGTTTCCACTTGGACTAGCCATCGCAAGCACAGGGTTGTTGTGACGGACTAATTTTAGATACTCAAATTGGATATGACATTTTGACTGATTTGAAATCAAGTAGTTTGATGTCAACCTAAATTTAGATTATTGTGACTGGGATATAATTATCCCTTATTTAAATTGGGTATTTAATGGTTTGAATATGAGCTCAATGAATTAAATTTGAACTGAATAAAATGTTAGGCTGCTCATTCATATAGGCATAATTCTCTTTAGAGTAATACGTTATTTCAATATTTATGGGGAATCATAGATGATAATGCATTTTAACTTACGGTGTATTAGCCTATTATGGGTGATCAATCCAACCCTTTTCTAAAGCTGGGTAATAGTCAGCAATGATTCCATATTCTGTATTTTGTAATGACATGAGGGTTAGGCTAACCACACTCTCCAAAGGTGGTTGCAGTGTGCAGAATTTTAGTGGTCCACCAATTTTTAAGAAATTTATATATTAAGTTAAATTCATGGAGTGATGACTTCTATATGGATAGCTCTGATCTCATTTCTAGATGGTTCGATGATGAGTGTCCATAGTTTATGATTCGTTGGTTACATGCTTAAAAAAGTCCGGAGGATTTTTAGTAGCAACATTCATCATAAGAAACGGCATGTAGTACAATTAGGAAAGTCATCCATTCTTTCATAACACACACTGAGCCAATCCAGCTATGCTAGTAATTGGGCATTATTTATTACATACTATATTTTTAGCAGTAGCATATGATCTCAAGTCTGGTCCTGGGTTAGCTGATGCTAACTGCTGAGTTCTTCCTGCTTAGCACTTCTGTAAGCAACAGAAAAAAGAATTAGCATTTCTTGTTACATGAAATCAAGGTTAAGAAATTTTTGAAATGGGATTGAGACAAGTTAAGCAAATTCTTGCCTTCCCACAGCCTTCATTGTCACTCTCGCTGTCACTGCTGTCATCGCTGCACTTCTTGGATGACTTCTTCTTGATCTTCATCTCACTCTTGTTGTGTCCTGATTTGTAAACTTTGTATTCTTCCTTCTTCTCATCGCAGCTTGCATGGTGTGAAGAGTGGTGGTGGGTACCGCTATGGTGGGCAGAGTTGTGGTGGTTGATTGCATGATGGGCAGAGCCATGTTGTCCACAACCATGGCTGGCATGGCCGTGGTGGCCAGAGCCATGGCTGGCATGGCCATTGTGGCCAGAGCCATGGCTGGCATGGCCATTGTGGCCAGAGCCTTGGCAGGCATGGCCGTGGTGGCCAGTGCCTTGGCTGGCATGGCCATGGTGGCCAGTGCCTTGGCTGGCATGGCCGTGGTGGCCAGTGCCTTGGCTGGCATGGCCGTGGTGGCCAGTGCCTTGGATGGCATGGCCATAGTGGCCAGAGGAGTGGTTGCCTCCCTTGTTGTGACCAATTTGGTTAGCTGCACATCCAGTATTGCCTACAATGTTGTGGTTCCCAGCCTGGGGCACTGCACACCCTGCTACTTTGTGGACCTCTTGCTTGTGATCAGATGAGTAGTAACCCTGAGAGACATCGCTGCACTTCTTCTCTGTAGATTCACTCCTGGACATTTGCATGCAAGCCATGATGGTGGTGACTGGGCTGTGGGCACTTTGATTATTAGTGTAAAGGAGGGTTTTATAATGAGCTTGATGATCATAGTGAGCTATCAAGTACTCTTATATAGCAATCAGATTAGTGCCCCCCTCCGTCTTCCTTTGGTGTCTGGATACTTGGTGGTGCAATGCTTGCATTATCGCCTTTGAATATGCTGCCTTTTCTCTGTTTTTAATCTTATCTTTCTTTTTTTTGGTGGTAGTGGAATATATTGGCATTGGTGTTCTAATTCAAACGATACCATTTGTGACTATTTCCTATTATTTTCTATGTTATCTTATTTTGTATGATGTTAAAAATTGCAGGACAGGCTTTGCAAGATGTTAATACTGTTTTTCCTATATATTAAGATCTGAATTCGAATGGAACAGTGGTACATACAAAGGTTTGACACTATATGGTGATTTTTCTGCAATTTGAATTGCTTATTCTCCACCACTTGATATGATGTTATTATCCTTTTGACTGCCCATCACTTGCTGATATTCTTCTTATTGTGTGCTTTGCAGCATCAGTTTCTAAAGTTTGTTATCTTTGTCCCTTTGAAGGTAAAGCATTATGTATTCTTATGCGAATGACTATAATAATATTTTTGAAGATTTATCAGACTTGTGCTATATTTTGAATTGGAATAAAGTGTGTGATTTTTATAATTGCTGCATAGAACAACAGGCGTTGAAACTGCAAACATTTCTATCTCCATACCTTTTAATCTCATATTTAATATTTATGAGGAAGAGGCATATTTCAAGTATTCTTGTGAGTAGTTTTTTATCGGTTTTTCTAGACAGGATAAAAATTGATAACTTTCTAGCCTATAGGGGCATCACGTGGCTTATGTATCGTGTAAATGTGATATGCTAACAGTTCACATTTACAGGGTATGCTGGAGACTTGTAGTGGGATATATTTGGATCTTAGGTATATAAGGGGTAGTTAGGTTATTTGGGGTTGTGCTACGCAAATTTTGCTCATATCAATTTGGGAAATTTGTATAGTAACCTTGTGTTATTGGACTTTCAGTTTGGTACACAATTTTTTCATTTTATTAATTTTCTACAGAGTACTTTTTAGTTTTAGGCTGAATTTCCACAGCAATTAATGTGTTACTTCACTGTTAAGTAGGAAAGAATTTTTGAAAAATACATCTTTAAAAAAGATAGACCCCACACGGTTTCCAATGCAATACTATAATTAAAATATCTCAAGCTACATATTACAAGAATTATAAAAATAGCATATTTGGAAACTTAAAAATCAAGACGAATCTAACAAGATCATACATGACTATGTTTTGGAGTGTAAAAAAAACCATTAAATTACTAGATTCTATTATCATTAGAATCTCTCAAGATTTTGATTGAGAAAACAAAAGAAAACAGAGGGAGTTACAAGTTAATACTATCAAAGAAATAGACTTTAGTGAACTAGAATCCCATTTTCCTTTGCAAGACATGACTTCAATTTAATCCATGATGAGATAAGGGTCTGGAAGTGTTAGTCATGGGTGGTGGGTGCAGGGAAGAGGAATTAGGACTCACAGTGTGGCTGAGATATTGATAGGACAAGAGGCTGGCATTGATGGGTGCGATGATGGTTGCAGTAGCTGAGCCATGGCAGTTGGGAAGAGCTGAGGAGAAAGGGGCGAAGGAGACGGAGGTTGGAAAAAGTCATGCATATAAATCAAAATTAAAATATAAACTAGATATAATGTCAGAATTTCCTTGAGCAATAATAGATTTTGAGTTTCTTGACATTATCCTTGTTTACGAAGTTAGAATTTCGAGACTGTCAACTGATGGGATATTTAATTACTTACATTTAGTTGGTGAGCTGAGCATAAAACTTTAAGAGTTATGACAAATCTAGATTCTTACATCCCTTGGTTTATTTGAAGATGATTTCTTGATAGAGCTAACACAAGTGAAACTCCAAAGCAGAGGGGGGGGGGGGGGGTTTAAAGTTTGCCTCTCCTTGGTGTGCACATATCTGACAGTCTAAGCTTCTGAAATTAAGAGTGCAGATTTAATTCTACAGCTACATTTTTATTTGCTGAAATTTAGAGTATTTAATTAATGCCTGTTGTTGGTCGGTGATTTGATTTTCAAATTTTGGTTTAATAATGGAAGAAATGGTAATAGATAAAATACACTTTGATTTGCTTCCCTTTCATTTCTTTCTCTTCTAATGCTATGTTGGACTTGATATAACAAAAGTAGGTTCAGTGTTTAACCCAAATGACACAATTATTCGAACCGGATTTGACCAATTTGTAGTTATGTACTACTTTGATTTCAACCCAAATTTGGATCAATGTGATTGAAACTCAACTTGCTCAAAATATGTTGCTGGCAAGCTCCATATTTACAGTTATAATTGGATTTTAATAACATGGAGCTGCCATGAGCCCATGATAGTTGTTTGATAGGGAAAGCCATTTTCAAATTTGCATTTATATTTAAGATATATTAGGGGGAGAAATGGTCAGTTCAAGCTACTAAAAGTCTAAAAATCTCCAAATTGATATTATTAACGCTTGTAGCCATGGAACGGCACTGCCACATAAATGCCATCTGTTTTGGTTGAATCTACTCTTAGTGATATTCTGTGTTAAAAGTGGTTATGAATTTTGGAGGGGTTGGAGATCAATATACTTTCTTTCTCTCAGTTTCTATGCTTTAACTTTGTATTAACGCCAGCACAGTAGTTGGTACTATTTTTATATTTTGTAATGACATTAAGGTTGAGCAAAGTTTGTTGCAGATTGCAAACTTTCTTTATGCCTATTGATTGGAGTGGAAAATTATATATGGAGAACTCTAGATAGTGATTCCGTTATCTAAATGGTTTGATGAAGATTGTCCATAGTTTTTGGTCAATTGGTAAACATATGCTTGAAATAGTCTGCTGGAGTTTCTAATAGCAGTGTATAACATTCACTGTTCATTGATAAGAAAACACAATTAGTACAATAAGTAAAGTCATCCATTCTTACATAACACACACTGAAGCATATCCACTAGGTAACGGTGACTCAGCTGGCTAGTAGTTGGACATTATTTATGGAAATAACAAATTTGTTAACATAATTATAATTTTTAAGAAGCACCTAATCATCAGTCTCTGGTCTTCAGTTGGCTGGTGCTAATTGCTGACTTCTGTTTGTTTAGCACTTCTGTAATGAACAGAAAAAAAAAGAGAATTATATCCTGTTATTTTATTAAAAATCAAGGTTTAGAAAATTGAATTGCATTTGAGACAAGTTAAAGCGATACTTGCCTTCTCACAGCCTTCATTGTCACTCTCACTGTCACTGCTGTCATCACTGCACTTCTTGGACGATTTCTTCTTGATCTTCCTCTCACTCATATTGTGCCCTGACTTGTAGACTTTGTATTCTTCTTTCTTCTCATTGCAGGTTGCATGGTGTGTAGAGTTGTGTTGGGTAGTGACAGGGGGGATGTAGTTATGGTTGTTGTAGTCAGGAGTGACAGAGGCATAGTGAACAGGCTGGAGGTGAGTAGGTCGATTCAGGGAGTTCTGGTCATTGTAGTCATAAATGGCATGGCCTTGTTGGCCAGACTGCTGGTGGGTAGTGCCATGGTGGACAGTGCTGTGGCCAGAGCTGTGGTTGACATAACCGTGTTGGGCAGAGCCATGGTTTGCATGACCGTGTTGGGCAGAGCCATGGCTGACATGGCCGTGATGGCCAGAGCCATGGGTGGCACAGCCATGGTGTCCTGAGCCATGGGTGGCGTAGCCTTGGTGGCCAGAGACATGGCTAGCATGTCCGTGGTGGCGTGAAGAGTGACTCCTCCCATGTTGTGTCCAACTTGGTTAGCTGCACATCCAGCATTGCCTCCAATGTTGTGGCTCCCAGCTTGGGGCACTGCACACCCTGTTGCTTTGTCTACCTCTTGCTTGTAATCAGATGAGTAGTAACCCTGAGTGCCATTGTTGCACTTCATCTTTTCAGCTTCGCTCCTGGACATCTGTATGCAAGCCATGATGGTGATGAATGTGCTGTGGTCACTTGATTTATTTTTAGTGTAAAGGAGGATTTTATGCTGAGATTGATGATCAAAGTGAGTAATCAAACGGTCTTATCTAGCAATCAGAAGAATGCTTCTCCCCCTTGGTGGTAAGATGCTTGCATTATTTTACCTTTAAATATGCTCCCTTTTCCTCTTTTCTTTTATCCTTTGCTTGGGGAAGTGGAGTAAAGGGAAAATGGTTCTACTTTCCATTGGCATTCGAATTCAAACAATACCATTTGGCCATTTGTGACCTGCAAATTGTTAAAACTGGTTCTATATGTCAAGCTCTAGATTCAATAGCACGGTGTTGGATGCATTTTACATCACTTGGTAATTTTTCTGCAATATGGATTATATGGCCTTTACGACTCGGGATGATATGTTTCTCCTTCTTGTTATCAGGCTCTTGATTCAGCCCATGACTTGCAGATATTCTCCCTATCCTTTGTGCCTTTTGACAAAGGTAAGGCATTATATCTTCTCAAGCAAAGATAATGCATAATAATTTTGGAGAATCATCACTACATAGTGCAATTTGTAACTAGAATAAAGTGTGATTTATATTTGCAATGGTAAACGTGCTTTCAAATTGCATATTTTTTGTTATCTCAGTATCCTTTTCGATAAGGGACATATTGTAATTGTTCATCTCAGTGTATTATTATTGCTCTTTTTTTTATAAATCACACCCCACTTGTGACTTTTTGTTGTTGTTGCTAATATATGTTAGTATGTAAGATGTTGGGTTTATTTAATGTGAAGTTACATATTAATATTATTATTATTACTGGTAGACAATATATGCTCGTATTGATGGTTGATGTCTTGATGATGCTTGTGACAGGGAATATAAATGCATATCATGGGGATATTTTATCTTTACAGACTTATAGAGGGGCATATTGGGATTTTAGAGATTTATAAGGGGAGTATTTTTGGGTTATTCGTGGTTGCGGTGTGCGAACTTTGCATATCATAATTTTAAATTCGGAGTTTCTTGACATTGGATTGATATGTGGATTTCAAAGTTTGAGACAATTAGCTAATGGACTACGGGGTACTTCATATGCAAGTAATTGTTTAGTTGAGCACAAAAGAGGTTTAAAGCCTTTAAAATCGTTTGGTTAATGCTTTCTTGACAGTGCTGAAACTCAGCAAAAATGAGTAGCTGTCTTCACCTTGGGTGTGCACATATTTTGTCGACTATGCTACTGCAAACGAGAGCACCAATGTCATGCCTCTTGAATCAGATGAGATGAACATGCTTGTAACTTTGCGGTTTGTTTTTATGTTTGCCTGAAATTGAGTGTCTAATTTCATGTTGAATGGTACATTGGTTGGGAAATTTAAGTTTGAATTGATTTCCCCTACTTTTCCATCTCTATGCAGATTTTGCTTCTAATGTTCCTACTTAGACTCAATGAACCAAGAAGCATGGGTTCAATGGTACACAAGTTCATCGCTTACTCTGCAATGCTAACTAGAATAAATTAACTTCAAGAATGGAACATACTGAACTTGTATGTGGTCGTTGCCTTTGCTCATCGTGTTCAGAAGTTTAGAACCACAAAATTATTGTGTTGATTATTTTTGCTTTCTTTGATAAGTTTAGATTCTGTAAGAGGGAAGATGATCCTAACTTTTTGTAATAGTTTATTTATAAACAATAAAGAAACTAAATTGGAAGCAACGAATATTTTCATTGCTCAATTGCTTGTTATCTATGATCAATTATTGTAATACAGAGGGAATAAGAATGAAGAACATCATACAATTAATTAAGAAGCCAACAATTATAAATAAATAAACAAAAAAAAGTATCATAAATAGTGGTAACAAAATATATTACTTTTTAATTAAAAAAAGTACAAAAAAAAACAATAGCCCAACAATTCTAAGCACGTTTTCGATCCATATTCTTTACAAGGTGGCCCATTTGCAATCTCCAAAAAGCAAAATAAGCCAAGCCCAGCCCAATCAACACAAACGGCCACAACCAACTCTCTTCTCCCTCACTCTCTCTCTTCGACTTTATCTCCTCAATCCTAAACCATTCTCTCTCCTCCGAAATTCCCTTTATAGCCTCCTGAATATACCCATATACCACATATACCCTTCCTCCACCTCCTACTGTTACTGACGTGGCATACCCTTCTTCGTCAAGGGCAATTTTGTCAATTACTACTCCCTGGGCCCAGCTGTCGTCACTCTTCAAGAACCACGCGCTGTTCATGGACACTACCACCACTACGCCGTCATCTCTAATGGTTATTCCGTCGGCTAACGGTAGATTTTCCGGCAAGATAACGGTTCTGGTGGTGCCGTCATCGGTGTCGATTTTGAACATTTTCCCAGTGTTACTTTGGACGGCTAGGATGTATTCTTTGGTGTTGACGTAAACGACGCCGTTTATGCCGCAGTAGGAGTACGGTGAGGTGTGATCTACTGGATATTGTGAGAAGAGTTTTGATTTTGAGAGGATTGAAACGGTGCCGTTTTCGGTGATTTTCCAGATGTAATTTTCGTCGGAGTTGGTGACGTAAGCGTTGCCGTAGGGGTCTAATGCGACGCCGTTTGCGATGCCGGAGGATGGAAGAGGAGAGAGGAAATGGAGGTCGAGGGAGAAGCGGTGGAGGTTGAAGGAGGCGAGGAAGGGTTGAGATCCGGAGTTGACGGCGGCGAGGAGACGGCGGCGGCGGTGGTCAAAGGCGAGGCCGAGAATGGTGGAGTTTGGGGGGATTGGTGAGGAAGTTAGGGTTAGGGTTTCGGTGACGCCGGCATCGGAAACGGAGATGAAGGTGGTGTCGCCGGTACTACGGAGGGAGGCGACGATGAAATGTTGGGAGGAAGCGTCGTAGGTTAGGCCTTCGGGGTAGAGGCCCGGTGATCGGAATTTAATTGTGTGGGGATCTTGCGCTTCGGAGGCGATGAATGATGAGAAGAGGGAGATGATGATGAGAAGGAGAGGGAAGGAATTGGATGAAAGGTTAGACATTGTTGATCTGAGGTTTAATTTGTTGTGAAGAGGAAGAAAGAGTAGTGTTTATATAGGTTAGGGATGTGTTTGGTTTGATGGAAAAAGTTTGCAGAAGACTTTGATCTTCTGGGAAAAACATGTCCAGTAAGATTCTTAATTTTGATATAAGATCATATATTTGGTCCAAAGATTGATGCATAGTAATTAGGAAATTGTGTAAATTTGGAATTATTTAAGTTGGGTTTTAGTAAGCATAATTTTATCGAATTAGTAAGATCTATCTTTTAAGAAGTAGAAAAATCGAAAATTTAGTCAAAGCTATGAAAATATCTGAAATTGCTCAATCTCATAACATGAATAGCAGAAATTGTTAGCTAGTTTCAGGCAAATTATAGCTTGAAACTAAAACGTTGATGAATAGTCCTCATAGGCTTCCTCAAGAATTCAAGATGATAGTTTCTTATTGGCAAATTCTGTCATTAAATGTGTTGAAGACTTGAAGTAATAATATAAATAGCTTAAGCATAATGAAAAATGACCATCAACCACATTTAATTTTGGTAAAATAATCTGATAATGGTCTCATACAATTTGTGTCATTGGTTTATTTAGCATATGCTTGCTTTGCTAATCAAGTTATTAGAGCTTCCCGTGATTCTACTGTACATCTATATTAACTACCTACGGAGTTGTACATATGAAGCACTGGTAGTTGTGATTTCTCTCACAAGCCTTGCCTTGGTGAGAGGAGTCTAAACTGGCGATCTAGCGTTTCCAGTAGCTACTATGAAGTAGATTTTTTTTTCAAGTGCTAAGCGTGAAGGGAAAAAAATCTCTTTTGTAACTTGTGCAATACTACTGTTAATCCAAGTGATTAAAGAAGAACTTACTACTAAAAGCTAATAGAGGTGGTTGGTAACAATCAAATTAATCTACCAAGTACTTTGTTTTAGCTCAATTGGTTTCTTAACATTTAAAGATGAATTGCGTTTGCTAAGACAAGGAAATTAATGTAGCATGTGGTATTGTAAGCTTGCGCTTCGGAACAATCATCAGTGCAGCTAGGCATGATTATATTGATTGAAGTACGGAGCATATCATAAGAGCAATTAGAACATAAGTGAATGACTTGACAACACAGTACAATTGTAAATTGTATCACACCACTAGCAAACTGCACGCCTCTGCTAAGTTGCCCTCGGCTTGTTGGGTATTTATTCTAGATATTACATAGTACATATTATTACCAGAATTCTGAATTCTAGATTACAAGATATTGGTTCCAGAATCCGAATTCTGGAACCTGATTAACGGGACATTCTTCGCCTCAGAAAAACTGCAAAACCACAATAAAAAGGACAAATAAGAAAATATGTTGGGACAATACACACATTAACAAGCTTATAATAGTTATAAATATGGAGTATTATGATTAAGTGAAATTACAAAATGTTTTCATGATAAAAAATTACCCTCTTGCATGGGTCGCAGGGATTATTGCCAGAGTAATAGCTACTCTCATGGTTCATGGCGTAGTTGGAAGCTAACCCACCACCACCATGGTTGTAGCCCTGCCCATAGTAATTCCCCATCCCATTGTGGTGTCCCATCCCGTATCCTGTATTGGCATGGCCATAGCTGGAGTAACCAGCCATCTGGCTACCGTACATACCATTCCCCAATCCATGGTGGCTGTTGTGGGCGCTGTGCTCCATGTACCCCATGCCCCCCATTGAGCTGTAAGAGTAGTTTTCATTCTCAGCCTCACTGTAGGAACTCTGGTAGCGGTAGGCCATGGTGATTGGTTGCTAGTTGAGGCTTTGCAAATTGATACTTTATTTGGCTTGACTCAATGCTGGAAGCGACTGCAAATTGGTATGCTTATATAGTGGGAAAAAATATAGTAAATAGCTTTTTTTTTGGTTTTGTTTACTCCAAATCATTTATGAACCTTATGCTCACAGAGTGAATCTCAAATAGTATTGCCCTTTTCCAACGAAATTCTACCCCAAATATTTAATATATGTCCACGTTTTAGGATCTGTTCAATATTTAACTACTGATAAAATTTGTGGTGCTGGCATGATATATTGTCTGGTAGAGAGTAGTGACTAAGGCGCAGGGTTTATTAATATATATACTACAATTAAAGTCATCTTTAGAACTTATTCTAGTCTAAATCTCTCTTGTGCTATATTGTGTAGTTGTGCTTGCCTTCTATCTTTGAATCTTATACTCACTGAGACTGAATTTTAAATTTGTAGCCTCTTTTAGTGGTCACTGGAATTATATCCAAATTATACCATATGTCAGCCCATATTACAGATTCTTTCCAGTTTCTTATTACTGAATGACTTTAGTGGATGATGGCACATAATCTTGTTTGGTGATCAGACCATTGTAAATGAAGGATCAAAATCAAGGTTAAATATAACACTTAGTATTTTTTGTAAAAAATTTAGTCTGGCACAGGGACAAAAAAAATTCAGGTTACTTATTTTAGGACTTTCCTATTTTACTTTTTCAGTTTGGAGGAGGGTCTTTGGTGGTAGTGACAGTTGGCGAGGTTGTGACTGTAAGTGGAGATGGTTCTGTGGATTGCAAGTATGCAACTTCCATTTGATACGCTTATAAAAAATACAAAATTGATGCATGTCTATCCTCCTTGACAGTATTCTGCTACAGCCTTCAAGAGTTTGCAGATATGCGCATATCTAGCATCATGGAAGGTCTTGTGGCCAAAGGAATTCAAGTGTCATGGCATCTCCCACAACATATTACCTTGGCCAGATTGTAAGCTTAGCATAATAAACTGCTTGGTCAAATTCTAGCTAAACATTTCACTATTAGTTGGACTGTTCAAAATTTCTGCCCCTTTGCATTGTTTAGTTTAGTTTGTAGGATCTAGTGGGCATCTGCAACTCTGCTTGAATAAGGACTAGCAAACACTCCCTAGATTTAGAACCGTGGAATAGCAGTGACAGGGCCTTCATCATATTACTCTTTTACTATGCCTCAAGGATATAACCAATCTAACAAGATTACTAGAAACCTTATTCCAGCAAGTGAAAACAGGATCCACAAATTTTGTAATTTTTTTTTAATGAAGGTAGAACAATAGAAGTTGAATTTAATAACATTAGTTTTCTACGTATGGGCTGTCTATTCTATAAATCAGCAAAGTGTCTGGGATTATACTTAAAAATACGGTGTTTTGTTTAAGACATGCTAAAGACTGAGTATTGTATGGAGCTGTGATTCATGGATCCTGCTTGCCTAGCTTGAGAAAATTAAACCTATCTCAAGTTTTATGTAGTACTAGCCATATGGCCGACATGAATAATCATGCCATGCATCTCGTTGATGGCTTATTAAGGTGCTTCATTGCATAATAATTAATAATTGGAACAACTTTTTTGCTGTTATATACAATGTACTATCTTGAATTGTATAATTGGTCAGTTGGAGAACTGAATTGTAGGTTGTTAAGGGATATTTCGAACAACTCGTAGGGTCCAATTACTTTTTTTGTTGAAAAATGTGGGATCTTTGAGGTCAAATTTCGTAGCTGGAAGAGCAGTTGTCAAATTTAATCCAGCTTATTTTCCTGGAGGAGGCAAATTCTGATGTGTTCTGCTGTACGGGAGTAGTAGGACATTTTTGCTTTTATTCTTAGGTGCTCATTATTATTTTTATAGTGAGGTTGTCTAGGCAGCTATACAAATTTGTTATCTGTCTCTATAGGTGTGGAACACATTCTTGAGGTAATGAAATCCAATCCATTAGGTTATTCAGGTGAACTCCTGTTTCTTCTGATACCTTTCTCCTTTCTCTTGGCATGCACCTAGAACTTTTGTACCATATATGCTGAGTAGTATGTGATCATGATTTAGTTGCATATTCTATATGGCGGGTTTATAACAAATGAAGGTGATGATTTATCAAGGATATTGGTTTTGTCAATATCAGGATAATCTCAGGATCTATTATATGATTGGCCTTATTAATAAACCTTGTGTCTTATCTAGCTATAGCTTTATGGTCTGATCTTTGATTTTTCCTTTTCATATATTCATAAAAAGATCAGTTCTGAATTTTGCTAGTTGTAATCTTTGTTGTCGTAAATTATTGGTAAATTAAGTTTTATTTAGTATTTTACTACTTAAATAAGTAATGCTGGGAACTAGAACGAAAACCAGTTAAGGCCCTGTTCTTTTGAGCTAAAATGAACTGAACTAAGATATAGTATCATGCAAGGAAAGGAAATATATGCATAGAATTTCTTCTAGGTATATCCAACGCAACCACTATTTGTTAATCTATAGATTGATTGCTTTCAGCCGTTGATCAATCTGTAAATTGTTTGAGACTTTGAGTTACAGTCTGACGAGTCTTTGTCCTTGATTGTTAGCTTAATTTAATTGATTGAATTGAGTTGAATTGGAGTATGACCTATAAGTCTTTATTTTACTGGTAGTTTCACTTTCTCTGTCTTCCTGTTGAGTATGAAGAATGTAAGCAAACTAGTATATCAGCACTTTTACAATCTCTTACCACAGTATGGTGCAGTGGGTATTCAGAATAAAAACTATTTGCAGATGATTATAATCTTGATGCTTAATGGGATATTCTGTAAAGAGTGAAATTAAGTCGTAAGTAGTTCTTGACCATTATTGTGTAGTAATTCTGTTTGTGAAGCTGCTGTCCTTAAGTCATGAGTCAACACATAATCCCTTTATAAGAAGAAAAACGCCACATTGATTCATTGGAACAATTGATTACATTACAAATCATATTACTTATACATTGTAGAGGCAAAGCATCCTGCCGATTTTAGTAGCAAACAGAACATATCTAATGTCTTAGAGGCAATTTATTGTACTAATCCCCATACTTGATGACTTCCTGTTAGATCTTACTGGCAGGAGCTGACTTGGTGCATTAATCTAGTACATCTGCAAATGAGAAAAAAAAAAAAAAAAAAAAAGAAGTTAGTATACGGAAATTGGGTGACAGAATAATTATGAGATAGAAAATTTGAAGCCAGTTGAATAATAATGTTAAGAATTCATACCCTTCTGCATGGGTCAAATTCATTTTCATAAACAATCCGCTCTTCCTTCCTCTCAATAACCTCAGCACCACCATGGTGGTGGTGGTGGCCATAGCTTGGGATGGTGCTGGACTCATATATAACATCAGTTTCAGTTACCACATTGTGGGGGTTGTGGTGGTGGTTGTGATGGTGGCCTATTGGGTAGCTAGGCCTTCCATATCCACCCTCAACCCTGTTGAATTCAGAGTAAGAGTCACATGGGGTGTCACGGATGACCTCCCTCTCGTAGTAGTTGTTTCCGTAGTATGCCATTGAGAATTTTCTTAGTAGTACTTCTAGTATATGTTTTTTGTTGCTTGGTGAGATTATAAGGAGCAAGATCATGTGCTTATATAGAGGTAAAAATGGGAATATTGTGGGGTTCTTTTGCTTCTTTTATGCCTTGTTTGAATGCTTTTATTCTTTATTTATGGTGAAGATATATCAGAATAGTGCTAGATGCCTATTATCTTCATGCAGATGACTATGGCATCATTTAGATCAAGTTGCCAAGATGTCTTGCAGTTGTAAAATAGGGAATAATTGCCCATTTGCTTGCTTTATATCTTGCTCTAATCCCACTTTCTTTTCTTGAAGTAGGCAAATACTGACTTATTCTATTTGCTTGGTGTAGGACATTTTGAATCGCTCCTTTGGCTCTTATTGCCTTCACACTGATTAATGATGATTATGACATCTGAAGTTAAGTTGCAGAGTGCCAAGACTCGCACTTGAAACCTGTCACTATTCAGAACCAATTCTTAACTTGAGGTAATAAAAGAAGCTTTCAGTCACCCTTCTGATCAGATAGATCAATAGATGATTTAATGTGTTCCATATTTATGTCCTTAATGATAATTAACCAAGTCCTGCTGCAAAATGCTGCTCTACTTGGCATTATGGGTCCAGAATAATGATCCAAAATGTGTTATTTCACCAATCATGCGACATAAAATTTCGACTTGTTCAAAAGACATAATACTAGTAATAAAACTTTAAAAATTTATTGAAATGTTATTTGCTCAGTATGGTCATATATGTCTTCTCTTGGGGATCGTCTATGCAAAAATTCAGCTTAGTAGCCTACTTTGTTGACCAAAAATCTTCACTGTTTGATGGACTAGTAAATCAATTTTTCAGCATCACATTGATGAAGTGATCAAAGTTGAATCATTGTATTGAAATCTATTCCATTCAGATTAGCTAATATAGGCGCTTTGTAAAAGAGTTGTGAAAGATGCACCCACTATCTCAGCTACAAAGAATCAAGAACATTATAGCTTGCAGGATTCTCTACAACTCTCTAGTACTTCAAATCTATCAGGTAAGTATACAGTCTTCAATATCAATTTTTTCACTCATTGTTGCCTGTAATTTTAATTTTAATCAAATACAATACTCCTACCACTCCTTTCAGAATATTATCTCTTTGGTCTTTGGAAGAGGGGTATAATCATAGAAGTCTTGACTAATCTATATCCATAGATGATGCATGTGTTTTTGTGATATCATAGTTGAGGAATATGGCTTGTTACATCTAATTAAGTATGCTAATTAATGAGGAAACATTCTGATCCTCTCATTATTAGGGCATATATCAGGAAATATACACAGAAGAACGCGTATAATTACTTTAATTGTTCTTAGCTTTGTGACCAGTCTAGCTCCAAGTTTGTGATCTGCTTTTATCACTTTTCCCTTCATGTTTTGGTTAGATAAACAGAATCTTAGGTTTGCAAACCAGTAGGTGTAATTGCTGTCTTTTCTATTTTTTTCACTCATAAAATCCTCGCAAATAGTACCTGTACCAGAACTGCAGAAATAATACCAAATGCCAAAATAAAGCATAATTAGGCCTCGTTCTCTTCACCTAATTATTGCTGATCAACTTAAATTATTTTTGCTGAACTTAAATTTATTGAAATTAAATTATTTTTGCTAATCTTAAATTATTTTTACACTAAGCTTAAATTAATTTCCTCAATATTATTTGAATACGATGGAGATACAGGGCCTTAGTGGTAGAAGTCAAGCTCAAGGACCACAATGATTGTCCACCTTATCAAACATGTTTATGGAAGTCAATATAGCTAAATTTGTAAAGGAAGAGCAAAAAAAGTACAGATTTGCAAGTTCGATATGTTCAAGTTGATGAGGTTAGAACGAGACGATTAAATGTTCAACTTCTCAAGTTTAAAATCAGATAGATTCAAATTAAGGGGGAAAGCAAATGATAGGGAGAGAATGAACTTTGAGTGGAATACTCACCCGATCAAACCTACCTACATCAAACTACTTGAGGCTACACTTGTCAGCTTATATCAAGAATTTGATAATAACCTGATTATTTGTTCATTTACTGATCATCATCTCACCTTCTGCATCCAATAGGCTTCCTTTTTTAGTTGCTCTTCACTTACAAGTTTCAAATTAGTTTCTCCATTTGACATTTTAAGGTCGAAGTTTATCGATTTTGACCGCATTTTTTTACTTATATGTACAAAAATGCAACTATTATCATATGGGATATTGTTAGATTTTTTAATGCGTGTTTTCAAAAATATCAAATTTTTACTTTTATTTGTACATAATTAAAGATACTTATGAGTAAACACACTGAGAGAAAAGCTCTTAGAACATGTGTGATTGATAAGATCACTTCTTTTCTAGACAATACGCCTTTCCGCTTCCTAGGCCTTTTTTCTCTGGAATGTCTAACAATTGATTTTTGTATTGATTACACTGCTTATCTAGGGATAACATTGTGTACATCTTGTCCTCTCTAGACTTCATGTCCTCATTACTGACAGGAAATATGCTAATTATTGCTGTTGAGTTAGAGAACTGATATTTTGTTAACTCTGAGCTTCATGATACAATTTTTTTTGTAGGCATAGTAATCATAAGATTAGTCCAACGTGATTTATCTGTATATGTTTTTTTTTTTTAATAACGTATAGCACTTATATTGAAAACTTTATAAAAACTGGACAAGAATTAATCCATTTCTATAGGTAAACTATTATATTAAAACTTCATTAAAAGTACGTAGGGTACATCATCAAACAAACATAAAGTAAAGTTACAGCACAATACCAAACCCTAAAGACTAGCCCATGCCAAGAGGCTAAGGGGTGATTGTTATTTTACTAATAGTTGCTGTCACTTTCCCAGAATCATGTAGGCAGCAGGCATTACTTAGTACATCTGCAGATCATAAAAGAGCCATATGAATAGAGCAAGTTAGGCGACAATATAATAATACAGGAATCTTTAGATATCATTATGAGCTTTTAGAGTCAAATATCTTGAAAAACAAAAACCATATTTTATGAGTGATTCCATGGTTCCTTTAGTTTCCCTGTTCAATTTTTTTTTTTTTTTTTTTTTTTTTTTTTTTTTTTTTTTTTTTTTTAATTCTTAGTAGAAGTGTTTGTAATATAGACCAGCGCTTGAGACTTGTAAAAAGTAGTTGAAACCAAAAAATTGAACACCTATAAGTAAACCCTAAATAAATTAGTAGAAGCTAAGAAACACATACCCTCCTGTATGGATCATAGGTACTGTCAACAATACGCTCTTCCCTCCTCTCAATGTATTCAGTTGGACCATGGTGGTGGTGATGGTTTTCGTGGTTGTGTTTATGGCCCCCAGACATGACATCACTCACAATTTCCTTTACAACTCCGGCCACCCCGTTGTTGTGGTGGTGGTGGTTTTGGTTGTAACTGTGGTGGGGTACACGGTTTCCATATTCATCAATCCTGTACTCAGCTGAGTAGTTGCCATATTACGAATGACCTCTCTGTCAGCCTCGTAGTAGTTGCTTTCATAGGGACGGTTAAGGTATGACATTGTTGTTGGTTTGCTTAGGAGTGCTTTGGGATTAATGCAATGATATTTTTTTTCCTATGTTTCGGTAAGATGAAACTAACGTACTGACATGGAGGTCCTTATATAGTGGTGAATATGGGGATATCTTTACTTACATTTTCTCGTTTACATGCATATATCAATATATTTTTTTATTCTCCTCTTTTGGTAAAGGACTTATTGGATCAATCTTAGATGCTTTTAATGCTCATCTAGATGAATGTGGCATCTATAAGGCCGAGTTGTAGGTGTAAAAAAATAAGTGAATAAGCGTGTCCATTTGCACTTTAATGTCTTCTTCGAATCCAACTTTCCTTCCCTGAAGCAAATTCTTTTTTACTACAATATCTTGGTGAAGGGAAATTTGACTTGCTCCTTTGGCACCTAATATTTTCATGCTGAGAATTATGGAATCTTTGAGATGAAATTTCTGAGCTGTCAAATTATTAATGTTTAGAACCTATTCTTGACCCTCGATTTAGTGAAAGAAGCTTAAGGTCACCCTTTGGATCAGTCAAGTCGATTATTTTTCTTATTCATTATGTTCCTTGTCTTCCTTTCTTAGTATATTTTTCACAATGATTTATGTTTTATTTGAGCCCAAAATGCTATTGCAGACAGCCTTTTTCTGTCCAACAGGCTAATTCGAAATGTAATTCACCAAACATGTGAACTAACATATCAAATTGTGAAATAACTGAAAAGGCTCTTAGGCAAATAGAAGATATTGAAACATTGAGTGAGTAACATAGACTTGTAAATTTTTTCTTGTATATTGTTGTTGGCTCTATTTGCCAATCAGCTTAGGCAAACTAAAACTTACTGTTTTGGTTAATTGGTAAATAAACTTTAACTTTTAGTGTACTATTGATGATTAGTTTGTGTTGAACAGCTACTGGTGCAGAACCCATTTTGATAGTCTGAAATAGGTGCTTCATAAAAGCAGTGTTAAAGAAGCAGAACTTTTTAGCAATCAAGATTCCTCACAACTCTCTTGGATTCGCCTGGTAAGTGTTCACTCTTTCATTTCAACCTTTTCAAATTTGTAATCATGATCAAGATAATAGGTATTTCTTGGAAAAGGGGGTACAGTGCTATAAAATTGATCAAAATATGATTTTTAACCATGTATATTTCATTCTCACGTCTTTATCCAGATATGATGGTTATGTTCTGTTGCTTCATGTCTTTGGAATTAGCTGAGAAGTATGAACTTTAAAAATTGAATTAATTGGTTTGAATATAAATCTATAAAATTCTATTGCTGTCATTAGTAGAAGATTAGAACATGGTTTCATGATTCATACATGAGAGATTGTGTTCCAATTTCTAAGTGTTTGGTCCCATGAATCCTATCCACTGCCATTTTATTATTTGCTCTTAACAAATTGCACATATATTTTTGTATGTCTGTAATGGGATTGGGTCTTCATTCAGTAATGAAACTTAGTAGTTGGGAAAGAAGACTGAAATTTGGTTGATGCTATTCAGTTTGCACATTGCAATATTTGGACTTTAGTTTATATGTGATTTTTTCTGCCTCTTTCATCTAAAGATTCTATACTAATAAGTCGTAGTCAATCAAAAGGGCTGTAATGGTTTTTTCCACCCTTTAAGCATATTTTTTTTCCGAAAGGCAAACTTTAACCAATTGATTGATTCATGAACAGATCAAGTTATGCTGTCTAAAAAGTACTTGCTCTTCACAACTAGTGATGCATAATAGGTTTGGTCTAGACTCTAGAGTGATTGAGTCTGGTAGTCTTTTAGCTAAATTTGAAATGGAGTAAAGATGAACCAAAATTTGCATATTAAATCCAAATATATTAAGTAAATAAGGTTAGAACAAGAAGGTTTATTTAAGGTTTTTGCTATTAAAAAAAAAAAGTCTGACTTTGATCACACTGCCTTCTGCTATTACTATAAAGGCTCAAATCAAGGATATTGATTAAAGACTGAAGTTCTTTTGCGTTTTGCCAGACTCCATGAGTTTTGAAAGCTATAAGTTCCAGAAGCTTATTCATGCACTATTCTTGTTGGTTGTCATTTTAATCATATACAGTCTAAGAGCCATCTTTTATGACCAGTTTCTTCATTAACACTATCTTCAGTCCGAAAGTCTGCACAGAAGAAGAGTTAATATTTATCAATTAAGATGGGCTGTTGCTTTCAAGTTTTACAGTCATCCTAATCTCATCACTTCGTAGTAGGAGGATTTTGCATTTTTGCCTATGCTGGTTGGGAGGGGGGGGGGGGTGAACCTTCTTATTTTCATTCTTTGTTCTTTATATCTATCTTGGATATTAAATAACACATTGAACTCTTTTTATTGCTTTATTATGATAGAAAGGAGATAGATCTGAATCAACCAGTAACCCAGTATTAAGAAACTGGTTTCATATGTAGTGCATATCCTTCAGCGTAATCGATAATTTTTTCTGTCTTGTAAGTGCAGATTATGAATAAGATTATATTTTGCTTATGAACAAATTCTGGGGAAAATTGATAGACATCTTGTTCCATCCTTTAAACATGCTTAGATGTAATATTACTAGTCTGAAAACCTCCTCAAGTTCGATCTGTACAATTCGATAATGATCTTGTAACTGCCTCTTGAATGTGCTTGTTGCTTTTGTGCTGTTCAAACACTTGAGAGTTGGGATCTGTCATTTGTGTAGTCTAATCCATATCTCCGTAATTACAGAATACATAAAAATTATTTTCTTGATTTATGTAAAGTGCATTATAGATTTATATCATATAATTGCTGGTTTAGGCAAAGTGTGTATGGCATAGAAATTGCAGCTGTTGTTCAAATTATTACTTCTAACTAATTTGTTCATAATTTTCAGATGATGAAAATGGAAGCAAAGAAAATTTGACAGACATGTTTGTTATATCCTCCTATTCTGAAGCCAGCTTAAACATCATATTTTCAGTCTGAAAGTGTCCAAAAAAGCTCTGTTCAGAAATTTATTCTGAATGTATATGACTAGCTTGCATTTGTGCTAATCAAACATATTGGTCATTGTAGTCTTATTCTTTAGTTCAGCATCAAGTACTATATATGAAATTAGGTTGCCATATTAGGCTTCTTTCCTGTCTACTGACTAGTGACTGATTGACTGCTTGTCACTACTTTTTAGAAACATCTGATTACTGATTATTTCAGCACTAGTTCCCTCTTAATACCAATAAATTCTTAAAATCCATTTGTTTCGGATCTTTCGCAATATAAACTCTCAAAATTGTATTCGGATAAGGTTGAGTACATCTTGTCCCTTTGGACTCGGCCATAGAGAAGAGAATTGTTAGTTCATGCTGTTATATTATAGTGTAATGGCATGGGATTGCTTTCTGAAGCAAGCTTTTATAGGTCCAGTTATGTAGATAACTGTTTTGCATGAATCAGGATCTGTAAGGAAGGCTAGTATTGATTTAGTGAAGTCTCATATCAATTAACAGGAAATGACTCCCTGTTTTAGAAAGCAAACACCATATATTATAACTATATAATGGAACCGAGATACAAAGTCAAACAACAGTAGGTTACATTACGAGGTAGATAAGCACACATTGTACCGAATACCATCCCGTAGCAACTAGCCTATGTCTAGAGGCTAAGGGGACATCTTATTATACTAATACTGTAAGGGTCATGAAGGTTTCAAGCCTTAGTACATCTGCAGAACAAAAAATAGTGAATTAGCTGATAGAATAATCATTCAGAAGAAGGAAGAGTAAAAACAATTAGCTAGACAAGTTACTTATGAAAATCATATAGTGCAACTAAAATGAACCTTTTCATTTCCCGGAAAAATAAATAAACTATTTCATGCTTTCATATAACTTGTTTTGAAAATATATTCAGAAATAAGTAGAAGTTTAAGAAACACATACCCTCCTGTATGGATCATAAGCGGCATCAACAATACGCTCTTCCCTCCTTTCAACGATCTCACCTGGTACACCAAGGTGTTGGTGGTGGTGGTGGTGGTGAGCAGGGACTTCACTCACAATCTCAGTTACGACGTTTCCCAAGCCATTGCGGTGGTGGTGGATGCGGTTTCCATATTCGTCCACCCTGTAGTCAGCTGCGTAGGAACCATATGGACCTTCACGGATGACCTCTCTCTCAGCCTCATAGTAGTTGTTTCCGTAGGGGCGGTTGACGTATGCCATTGCTGTTGGTTTGCTTAGGGAATTACTACTATGCCTGATGGTTTGCTTTGCCTTGCTTGAGTGAGAGATGCAAATCAGCAATGTCCATGGTGTGCTTATATAGTTGAGAAAATAGGAATAATATTACTTCGTGCTTTATTTGCATGCTTCATGACGTAACGAATTTTTTCCTTTTCTTTTTATGTCCTTCTATTATTACGATTTTACACTATTATTTTGGGTTTATTATGATTTAAAAAAAAAAATTATGATTTTGGCGGAGTCTTTTTGGTACAATCTATTCTAGAAGTTGATTTTGTCAGAGATTAATTTTCTTTTAATTACTAATATTATAAATCATGAAAAATATGATATTTGGATATTACACATTACAATGATTCTACCAAGGTACAAATGATAATTGTTTATTTATTTATTTATTTTTATTTGTGCAAGTAACAATAGATGGTCAAAATTACTTTAGTTTGGCTAAATGAATAGTAGGAGTAAGTAATGAGTTGAACAAAAAGAACGAAAGCAGCACATGACTTTTTTTTATGTGTATTATAAACACATTTTATTACAACTTATAATCCTTGTCCCAAAAAAAAAGAAAAAAAAGAAAGAAAAAAAAAAAACTACGTATAAAATATACTAATATGCAGCAATTTTGCATGAATTTTATACGGAGTAAACTTTCTAACTGTAAAATATTCAATTATGAAGCTATTTTTTTTTTTTTTTAAAAAAAAAAAAAGTTTTTTACAAGTAAAATTTTCTTTTTCCTCTTAATCGGAATTTATCTTGCTATTGTAGATATTCAAAAACTTTCGAAGGATATTCAAAAACGCGTAATTTTGATAATAGATCAAATAAGAACCGTATCAACATAGATGTTTGGACCTTTGATAATGTATATTACTCGGTACTCTCATTTGTTTATTGAAAAACGAAAATATGGTTTGTATATACTATATAGACATATACTCTAGTACTCTACCCCATGATCTTTCGTGTTATATTGCATACCTTGCATTTTTTTTACAGAGCGAGACTTAGTTTATTGAAGATATTTACAATTCACAATTAACCAAAACCAGGATCAGTTACCACGTACTTGAAATCTTAGGGAGTACTTTGAAAAATCTCAGGGAGTACATTGAGGATCTCCTAAAGCTTCCCTCCCACCCGGAACTTCTTTTTGCCTTAAAAAAGTAAACACCATTTTTCTTAAGTTTTATTTCCTTTAATATTTTCTTTGAACATAATTTTGTAAACTTAGATTATATAAAAAAAAAAATAAAAAAAAAAGTTAATAAAACTTGGAAGCTAACTAGAAACTCATTATCGAATATAACTTTCTTTTCCTAAGTAGACAAAAGTGGAATTTTATTCCTTAGATATTTCTTGTTAAGATGTATGAACATACACTTGGAGCTATGCTAAATTGCGATGCTATAGGCACCAATTCTACAAGATATAGTATCTTTCTTGGTTGGTCTGAACTGTCTGAAGATGTCTGATGATCCTTTTGCCATTGTATTAGAACTTGTTCTCAGATTATGAAAACTACTTCCACTTAATTTGCTCCCTTTTTCATCTTTAATTTGTCGTATTATTAGTGCTAAAGTTTATTTGATGGATTGTTCTCATTTTATTTTCTTACTTTTATTGTACGAGAAGGTCGATCAAGATGCTATTTCAATTTAGGGGTGAGACGTGTAACTTTTTAATTATTTCGCAATAGATAGTGTAAATCAAATCTAATCTCATTAGACATTTTAAACTTAGGAAGATGCTATTTTAGAAACCTTTACGGTTTTACTAGTTTGAACTGTGTTTTTTTTTTTTTTGTTCATACTAGTTTGAAATGTAAAGTTGATTTGACTGTGCTATTTGAACCAGTAAGGTAATTACTCATTTAATTGTTAAATTAGTGTGTGATCCGCACGTTGTCCTAGGATGTTACTTTGAGTATTTTTTTTATTAGTTTGCCTTAGGCCGCTTGGGCAAATTACTACTGTCGTATTACCTATTTGGTAGAGTTAGTGATATGAGATCATGTATTAATCTATTAGAGTTTATCTATACGAATATACTTTGTTTGTACTCCTCGTTTATTATAGATTATAAAATTATAGTTAATCATAGATTGTGAATTGCACTCGTGAATTTCATTTTACTTGATTGGTGGAGTTTTGTTCTTTTAGTGGTGGGGGTATTCAAAGACGTCAAATCTCGTCTACATCAATATTATATGTGGCTTCTTAGACTCCAAAGGAAATGAAATCAATGTAGACGAAATTTGACTAATATGAATTTGGAACGAGTATAATTTTTTCAAACATACATTTAAGGTTCAATAATTAGGCCTTAGACAAGATAGTCAAAACTACAACTAGTTAGAAAGAAGGGAGGGAAAAATTCTAGATAAATATGGTACAAATAAATAGGTACAAAATTGGTTTGTAATTACATACGGAAATTTCTAACTTCTAAGTGTCACAAATTATTGTTGGGAGAGAAATAGGACGAATGTCGTTCCACAGTGAACACCTACAAATAGGAGTATTTACTATGTCTTAGAAAATTCAATTAGTGAAAGAGTAGTCAAATACTACGTAAAATACTTCGAACCGAGTATAGTTGTAAAATTATACTTCGTATAAGCTTAGGGAAGTGCTGAGTGCATGTATTAGTACTCGTATAATATTGACGTACATTGAAAAATTACTCGTTTTTACAGAAGTGAGTTCAAAAAATTATAACTAAGAGATGAACTGAAATGTACTCATAGTATACATTTGTTTATCTTACACTTCTAATTCTAATTTACCTATTGATTTCAAATCTTAAATGAAAGTTGAAGATTGTGTACTTGAAATAGTGGATCCAAACGAACCCAAAAAATGCAAGTTTGATTGGTCAAGTTGTTGATAAATAATAACCAATATTATCATGAACATAAACAAAACAAAATATAGAGACTTGACCATCATATCAATGCCTTAAGAATTTTCAAGTATCCTAGTTGTACCTTGTACGTGTTAGGTTTATGAATACCATGATATATATGTTTAATCGTCTTCCTAGTAAAGCTAGGTATATCCATATTAGTAATATGGACTAGTCTAAATACCTGATGAATGTGAATATAAAACCTAAGCTCCCTACTCCTAATTTTGTTTCGCATGTACTAGTACAACATAATAAACCCAAAGAAAAGGTTCGAAATGCATAAAAGTTATTTTTTTCATAATTGGATAAATAGTAACATAAGTATTATTGCTACCATGAAAAGGGTCAAGAATTGTCGAGATCAGACAGAATTTACCATGCACCAAGAGATGGGCTAAAGAATGAAAAATTTGGAAAGTACCTAATTGAAAAACCCAACCTAATTCAATTCATAGAAGATTTGAGACAATAACGTAGAGGAAGGAGCCATGATGTGCTCCACGTACTTGGGTTGTTGGGTAAAAACATGCACTTAATAGGGTTATCAATTATCATTGATTATTACAGGCCAGGTGGCTAATCGGTCATTAGTTTCGGATTTAGGACTATTATGTCCAAATCGAATTGATAATATAGCGATATGTTAGTTTATTTACGAGAAAATTCAAGTTTATCTCCTGGATAAACTTGAATACATTTGCGTGGTAAAGTGAGGGTATATTTGTAACATCCCTGTCTACTGTAACAACAATGATTTCTGCCAATATCACCCATTTTAAGAAGAAAGACACATGAATGGAGAAACTGACATCCATCTTCAATGGTGAAAACGTGAAATCAGAGGGAAAGAGAAACCTTACAAACAAACACAACACGCACCTATCCTATAGGGTTAACAATTCCCCTAATTTATACATTTTTCCTTAGGGTTTTCTTTAATTTCGGCGGAATATAGCTGTACTTTCTCCATTGAAGCTTAGCTCGGTATCCTCCATTGAAGCTGTACTACTCTGATCTCTCCATTCATACAAATTACGAGCTTTCTCCAGGCCAATTTGCGGATATAGTGGCCATGGGAGGGAGGAGAGAGAAAGAAATAATTATAATTCCTCCATTGAATTTGCTTATGAGCTTTCTACATTGTGGAGGGGAGAGAAAACTCAACAATGGTGGGTATGGGAAGGAGAGAGAAAGCTGAAAGGAAGAGGAACTATCCATATTCATGAAAGAGTAGCTCAAAATTTTTATTTTTCTTTTATTTTTTGGTTTTTAATGAGGTGGCACGTTGAGGTAAACATAGAGTATATACCCGGGTGTATCGTACACCCAACTAACCAAAGGTTAGTTTTTGTTCTTCATTTGATGATAAAATGAAAAGCAATCATCACAATGAGAACAAATACTCATGAGTATACGGTACACCCAAGTGTATATAACAAGTTAACAACCTCTCACGTTTATGTTGGAGATAAATGAGAACTGCCTCTTTATTTATTGGTAAATACAAAGTACTCATTTTTACATTTATTTTTAACTATCAGCCAATTAAAAGTTCATATATGTTCGAAATTCCACCATCATTAATCATCAACAAATGAAAATGTGAGCTTTTAGCTTGTAAAACAATTTTTTTGGGGGGCGTAATTCTAACTGTATTATCTCTAAACTAGTGAGTAGCACGGACGTTGCCCGAATTACTACTTTTACAGTTGTGTAACTGCTAATTTTAAATACATTTAATAGTTTGTACATTTTGTGTGCAATATTAAAGCATAATTGGCAATCAGCCTAGATGGATAAACAATAATGTTTCTTCTAAGTGGTTAGGTGTTCGAACCTTAGTATAAATAGATATTATGGAGTAATAACTATTTTTCTTTAAATATAAATCATTAAGGCCCTTTTTAATTGAAGGAATTTTGATGGAAAAGAAAAGAAAGGAAAGGATTTTAATCATATTCCCATATTTGGTTGAGTTAATAACATGAGAATCAAAGGAAAGGAAGGGAAGTGGAAGGAAAGTCCCATTACAAATTTGTAGCTTTCCTTTCCTCTCAAATTTGGAGGAATTCGACTGAAAAGAGAAAAAAAAATGAAGTTTTCCTTTATAAATTTTCTTTCTCTTCCCTTCATTTCCTTTCATTAACCAAAGATTGAAATATAAAACACGTTTCTTTCCCTTCTTTTCCTTTCTTTTCCCTTCCCTTCTCTTCTTTTCCTTTACTTAAAGAGATTTAAAGTGAAGTGTGTTAATATATAATCAATCAAATAAACACAAATCGAGTTAGCGTTTCATATTTGTTATTAATTTAGGTCATTTCAAACATTGATCATCAGATTCATCATATATGTCTAAATTCATCTTGAGCTCTAGATAATAGAAGCTATTTCGGAACTTCACATCACTAATTTCGGATATCAATAAATAAAGTCTTGTTTTACCACTAGAGAACAATGGGTTTGTTCAAAAAAAAAAAAAAATTCTAGAACAAGGGGTCAACAAGACAATAACAAACCACAAAAAATAAAAGAAGAAAGAAAAATATGATATAGGAAGTCATTGTCTAGGAGGACCCATAAATCATTTAGCCTTAGAAAAAAACATTGCACAATATTTTCTGATTCATAATTTCATAGTACATAAATTAATAAATTAATACAACCTTAAAAATACTAGTCCTAATCATTTCTCAATGTAAGAAAATTCAATTATCCCATGAATTATTTTTTATTTTTTTAGAAAAAAAAAATACACGCGGAAACGAAAGTTTGAACGAGTCCAAGCCCTTTTTTATTCAACACTTAAATTAAAATCAAAACTATTTTTTTCAATAATTGACCAATCAAAACAAAGTTTGAAAAAGTCAGCACTATATACAACACTTATAGACCCCTCCAATTTTTAACTCATTTTTCATCCCTTGTTCTTTACTCTCAATTTCTATTGACCATAGACTATTCAGCAGAAAATTTATACTTTCATCTGTCAACAACTTGCTTTTCAGTCAAATTCTCTCTCTTTCCTACCACTTTATAATCTTTCCTATATAAACCAACTTCAATTTACACCCTTTTGAGCATAAACTCAGCACTTCTCTTTCTTTATCCTGCTTCAGAGTCCCAGACGCATTTTTGAAACAGTTAAACTTCCACTCTGCCTTTTTAACAGAAAAATACGGCAATTTAAACTTTCCCGGTTCTTTTTTTTTTTTTTTTTTTTTTTTTGTTATTTGATCATTCTCTTCTTGTAAGTGTATGTTTTAATACGTATTCGTGTTACGCCCTGTAACACAGCTGAAACATGCAATTTACATCAAGAGGGTAATAAGAGTAGCTGGTGATCTGGTATACGACTGTACAACAGGCAGTTCAGATTACCAGAGCAGCATTTCTTTCTCTCTGAAGAATTACAAGAAAGGGAAATGGAAAACGGTTGTGGCAATTACGAGCAAGAATCGTTGGTCATGGAGCTAAACCAGGGGGTAGCACTAGCTAAACAGCTGAAGGCTCAAATGAGTTCAGAAATACTTACAGGTGAAACTAAAGGAATGTTGGCAGAACGGATACATTCTTGCCTCGAGAAGGCTCTTTTGATTCTGAGATTGGGTGGGTCAATGGAACAGTTTCACCAGCATTTAGTCCCATCAACCACAGCGCCTGAATCACCACTTTCGGTCATTGGAAGTCCTAAGAGTGAAGATTTGAACCCTGGGATTCATGTTCAACAAGATGGCAGAGAGCCTTCAAGAAAAAGGTAAGACTTTCAAGCTGAGTTTAAATGCAATAGACCTTGAGAACTGTACTACATTTCCTGGTTACAAAGAGACCTTGAGAAGTTTCGAATAATTTTGGGATACTTGTTGCAGAAAGATGATGCCAACTTGGACAGACCAAGTCAGGGCATGCTCTGAGAATGCAGCCGAAGGGCCACCCGAGGACGGGTATAGCTGGAGGAAGTATGGTCAGAAAGATATCCTCGGAGCCAAACATCCTAGGTAAGGGTTCTGCTTCTCAAGATAAAACTAATACAGTAAAAAGTCCATCAGACCATGCATATATATCATCAGACAAGGTCTTTGTCAGAAAATCTTAAACGTGTCCAAATAGATCCCAAGGTCTCTAGAAAGCTAAGAATTGATCTGATGTAGACCAATCCTTTTTTGTGTATTTGCCATCCACTCTGTTTCAACTAGAAACTTAAGAGAAGACTCGTGCAATTCCTGTTTGAAAAAGTAGGAATAATATACAAAACCTGACCGATAAAAGGACTTTTTTTTTCAAAAGTCAAACTACTACAATTTTGACTATAAATGTACAAAGTGTACATCATATCAAAGGTAGGACTACAATGAAATCTCAGATCCCTATTAAATTTAAAATAATAAACTTAATACTTATATCATAACAATCAGCCTTTTAGGTGATCAAGGAGTAATAAAAGTAGAGCAAATTACTAGAATCCGAATCTAATAGCAAGATTAATTTCTGCATTTACAGAAGCTACTACAGATGCACGTACCGGAACATTCAAGGCTGTTACGCTACCAAGCAGGTGCAACGAGATGATGAAGATCCCATGCAATTCAAAGTCACCTATAAAGGAACTCATACTTGTACACTAGCACCACGTTCAAAGTCTGCACCAACATCACCACAAAAACAAGAGCGCAACAAACAAAACAATTTTTCCATCACGCACTACCAGCAGCCGCCAGATATGCTGCTAAATTTTCAGACAGGGCTAAGAGTTGACATTCAGAACTTAGAAAATCAAGAGACAGGATTTTTCTTTCCTACAAGAGACTTTGGATATGAAAACCATGCCTTTACACCGTCAACAGTCAATAACAGTCACCCTAGTAACAGTTTTCCTCAGTCGTTCATACAATCGCCAGCCACCTCAGAATCAACCTACTTCTCCACATCACCTTGCAAGGTGAGCACCTTTGGAGGACTTAACTATGGACAACATTTTGAATCAGATATCACAGAGATAATTTCAGCCACTACCTCAGGAACCAACTCCCCGATAATAGGCATTGATTATTCAATGGATCCATGGGAAGGTTTTCTGTCTGATAACCAAGCATTTCCTAATAGCTTCTCTCAAGCTAAAGAATAATGCCATCAACAGCAAGAAAACAACCCAACATGTAATCCCATGGTTGGCTATTTTTGGGAAAGTTCAATTTGAGCATTTCATTTAATTAGACAAGACAGGCAGAAATGATAAACAATAGATCATAATTTACGTGTAAATTATCTGAGAACTAGCATCTAGGAAACAAACAGGGATAGTACCTGATATAACAAAATAGGGGGAAGCTTGGGCTAGGTTTATAAGGAGTCAGTGGTACAAGCAAAGAGCTTCATGCTAGTTGACGAAAATTTAATTATTTAGTTTTTTTTTTTTTTCCCTTCCCTTGTAACCTACTCCGTAAATTCTTTAGTTAACTACAACAGTCCTTCAGTCAACTTTTATGAAAACAAAGTGAATATTGCAGTACAGAAAAGTATCTCACCTTCAATTCACTTCCTTTTTTAGCAAGACAGATGATGTCTAGTTCAAGCCCAAAATCCTTGCTCTATCCAAAGGCTTACTCCTCCTGTATGAAACAAAAATTTTGCAATGTCTCGGAAAGATTTCACGTAATCTAGATTAAAAGTAGTTTATGATTCAATTCTCTGGCTTACCCCAGCTTACATTTTATGGTGGAAACTTTCCAGAGAGAATGGGAAGTATACAACTATGACAAATGTTGGACAATGTTACAACTAGATCTGGACGAAGAGAGTAGTTGTTTAAGGTTTGAGTATTTGTTAACTATAATATTGGTATCTATTTAAGACAAACAAAATTGCACGGGTACTCTAGAATGACAAGTAATATAAAACTTAAGTGACTAGAATTATGTATGAAAAAGATAAAGTTGGTTAATTTAACAAATTAGTACTGAGCCATAGCTTATAAGTCTAGGACTATTTTCTCTTCACCTTAGTTTGGAAATTATTACCATTTCTTATTTTTAACATCTCCAACCATGTCAGACCAAAAAAATCACAATAGACCAAACCAGATCTTATTTGCGTCTGTCTATTTCCATATTTTGGGAAGTTCATGTAAAAAAAAAAAAAAAAAGAAAGAAAAAAAAAAAAAAAAAAGAAAAAACAGCTATGAAGAGAAATCACTTGATAAGTGTTTCTTAGAGTATATTTTAGTATACAAATGCAATCAAAGTTCAATCAAACCACAGAAATAAAATAATAGATCAGACCAGAAAATTTAGATCAAACCATATCAGACATTAAGAAATTCAAGCCAAAACACATTATTTCAGGTGAAGAGTGCATAGTTGGGCTCTTCGCTTGTACTAGTATTCTAGTAAACACATTATAAAAAAAAAAAAAAAATAAATAAAAAGGGATAACAGCTAGGCTCTGACCTGCGATGGGAATTATCTGGGATGAAGGTTAAAGCTGATCACAAGCAAAATCTGAAGAACTTGACAGAGCTGGATTAGAGGGGGGAAGGCCTTGAAATTTTTATTTTTTTTTTAAATGGGGGCTTTAGAGCTGGAAAAGCGAGGGGAAGGCCTAAAATTTTTTTTGAGGATTGGGGCTGGAAATCGGCTAGTGATCCAGATCTTTAGGAAAATAAGCTAAAAAGAATGTGAATTGAGGAGCTCTAGAAGATTACTAGAAAAGAAAGGGCCGTTTAGCCGTATTCTCACATTGAGAAAAAGGGTGGCAGCTTGGGTAGTTTTGTAAGGGTTAGGATTTGAGCCTTTATCTCTAGAAACTCACATAAACAGATTGGAAAAAAAAAATACTTCACTATTAAAGAAGATCCTTGTGAATAATTATCATACCCAAGTTATAGAAATTGAATTACACAACTAAAAGGAAACAGGGAATCAAAAAAAAAATTCACAGTCCTATGTAAGTTCCACTGAATTTAGAGACTACTGAAACCCTATTTGAAGATACAGGCAAAAAAAAGTAGATAATCATATATTATCTGAGTAAGAGTGTGGAGAACAAATGGAAGAGAAGATGGATAATTGTAACATAAGCAACATGCATAGTAATAAAAATAAATTTACAACAAAATGAGCTCAGGAAAATCCCATCTTCCCTGCACGATATTTACAAGATGCACCATGTGGCAACATTTGGCAGTTGAGGTAACATTAACCTTCAAATTCATTAGTTGCAGCAGCAATTGCATTAGTATATCTGCAAATGTAATATGCTTATTACTCAAGACACGATCTAAATTGGGAAAACATTATAATGTTGTCAACTAAACAGCAAGACAATACATACCTATGAGGAAGGGTTCTCCTCTTTGAATCTTGAAACTTCTTTAGATTGGTTCTCTTCAGAATGTATAGGTTTCTTTAGAGCCCTTCTCAACCCCAGCACAACAAATAGGTTTGACAAAGTGAGCAGAGACTCGGCCCCACCATGCAACCAATCCACATTAGAGAGGGATGTTCCATAGTGTATCTTTGCTATCACCAAAAACTTACTAGAATTCAGGCATCAATTCAATATCTAGTCCTTATAAACCATAAAGGATTATTAATTAATCTTGATAAAGTAACTTACCATAGATTCCAGCAGGAACTACCAATGAGGAAGACCGAGCAACAAAAATCCAACAAGGGACAATTAGTAGACGTAAATCAGAAAGAATGAAATGCTAAAATCAAATCCATAAGGACTACAATGAAAACAATCGACAAACAAAAGGCCTCAATAGAACCAATAATGTCTGGACAGTTAGGTAATCTCCCAAATGGCCAGCTTTTATTTCTGGCAATAACAGATAGCACACTCAAAATAGAAATATATCATACATGTGAGTTTCTTTACAAAGGACAATATAAAGTACAGAAAAAATTGACGGGAAAATACAGCCATAGAAGTCCAAAAGGCAAAAACCTAAATATCTATTTTTTAAGTTTATAACTCACATTTGTAAGACACTTCCAGGAAGCCAGTCGCTAATGATTACCAGGATCATAGATAACAATAGATTCAAATCTTTCAATAACTGTTGACATTATGAAAGGCCAAGCTTTTTTATAGTTCAATGTAGCATAGAAACCAAATTTGTATGGAGCTCATCACAGTCAACAAATACCTCTCAAGTATCCAGGTTTGAGGTTTTATGCCCACAAGAATCACAATGATATACAAAGTATAACTAAGAATCAGCCAAGAATTTCCATATAAAAGGTTTTGACTATATATTAAGGTCAGCAAAATTTATCAAAGGATTCTTGAGGGAAGTTTACTTGAGTCCTCAAAAGCCACATGAACAATGAATGGCAAACCTAAGATCTTTTCACACATCAAAAGCCGCAAATTATGTTATTGAGACCCTTCCTGGTGGCCCACGGAACATGTGACAGAAGGTGGTCACAGTATCCCCACTGCCACTGATAGCATAGATTTCACTGGATCAACATCAGGCATGGATGCGTGGTAACAGTTTCCCTTTGTCAGAGTTGTAACTCTTCCCTTCAGAACTAACTTGCAGGCCAACAGAAAATTTCTCCACAAAGAGAAAATAAACCTTCTATTGATCGTGACTTCGTGAGACCTCGAGTGTTAAGCATTTTTCAAGGAACCCTAAAGACATATTGTTGCTATATAAAACCTACTGATCATCGTGTATTAAAGCCTGCGACTTAAGTATTTCATAGCATTATGTATGACCTTCCAACGTCTTCACAATTCATTTTCTTACTACCAGTTGCCACCACAGCGAACACAGCCATTTGATATTCATCTGATTAGCCATTCCCACTCATGAGTGAAGCCGGAAAATAATCAACACAATGCTTGAAGGAAATCTGGATGTAGATTTTGATATTTGACATATAACAGTGCTTTAAGCAAAAAGAGAAAACAGGTTTGGCATCATATCAATGTCCTCTAAAATGGTTGTTAAACCAAATGCCCGTATAGGAAAAACACCAACATGGCTGAAGGGAAGGGGAGGACCGGAGGATAGACTTCTATAAAACATAAAGGATATGATTTTATCAAAAAAGGAGGCTTTTATTCAAACAAATCATAAAGCTACAAAGTCATCGAGGTTAAGATGACATAGATACATATTTATTTTTACTTTCTAGCGTATATTGGACACACGAAATGTTCAGAAGAACCAGAACATAGAAGCCTCAATCAAGCGTATAACCATAATCCACAGCATAAGCCACTAGGTGATCAATCTCCTCTTCATTTATGACTCCATCAATATCAATATCAGTGTAATAGATTGCACGATCTGCTCTCCAACTAGGCATAAATGAACCCAATCTCCGAAAGGCTTCCTTCAGTTCTTCCTTATTCAAGTGGCCATCACCATTGACATCGTGTTTCCTGAATATTGCCCTCAGCTGCACTTCATCAAGAGTTGCCTTATGGAGCTTGGACTGTGAGTCATTCATGTTCAACCTAGACCTAGGTGGATTTCAATACAAAGATCTAACTGCACTATATCAAGAACGTTGCCGAGTGATGTTATATAGGACCTTAATATATCCTGCTTGTTAGAACTCTGACTCTTATAATATTCTATCAGCACCTAGCCCAAAATAATTAGCTGTCTAAAACCAAACGAACCGCCTTTTCTGCAATGCCAGGAAATTTCCAATTTCTTGTACAGACCACAGAGGGAATCAGATTCCATTCACCTTACGCAAAGTAAGCGAATCTCTGATGATAATATAATTTTCCTAATCCCTTTCCTTTTCAACCACAAAGCCACAATGCAAGCATCAATCCACACATCACTTTATATCGTGAGGTGTATTATGGTCCACCAAACTACAAACATTTTTAAGAGTTTGATAATCAGCACTTAACAGGACAACAAACACAAACCAGCAAGTAACTAGTTATCTCTTCTTCCTCAGTTCAAGCATTCTTGACCTCTTTTCTACTTATTCAAAAGCGCCTCCTATAGTTTGCTGATCACCAGGAAGTTTTATAACCAGTATAATCAAACACAAAACAGTGATTAGCTATCTCTATCTCTAGTCCTCAGTTTCGACTTTCGAGCTTTCTCAATCACATTCCTACCTATCCAGAACAAATGTTTAGTTTAAATGGCCCTCGGGAATCATCCTAACTTCATCTTCTTAACCTATCAAACTAATCTAATTCAGCTAAACAAACACCTAATCTAATTTGAATGAATTCTCATAAACAGCAACAGTAACAGAAAAACCCTCAAATCAACAAATGTCAATCATATCAGCAAATTCCTTATAATTGCAACAAGGAATATAATCAAAACCCATGAAACAAAACATTAAATAAAAATTATAACAGCAGAATTTAAATTAAAAAATGAAGAATAAACAGGAGGAAGAAGAACATACTGGTGGCACCGACAAAAGCAAGCAAGAAATAGAACCCAAAAACGGTGAGTTTAGGAGCAGACTTAGACTTGGTGATGAAGTAGAGAAAACCCAGATAAGGAAAGAGAGAGAAAGCGAAAAGCTGAGAAGCAATGCTTTGAGAATCAATGGTGGGTGCCCATGGATCTACTGGTAGAAATCCGCAGACAATTCCTCCCTTTCTTCTTCCAATTGTGCTGGTAAAAACGCCATTGTTGAATTTGGTGTTATCCCTAATCTTCAGAAATGAAGAGGATGGAGTTTGAAGGGAGTTTGAAGGAGTTGAGGGGAAGAGTGAAGTTGGGGTTGAATTGCTATGAATTGAGAGAATGCAATTGGCTGCCATTGTTGTTTGATTTTCTCAGCTTTTCGGTTTTTATCGTTTGGGGAAGAGTGCAGCCTAAATGCCTAGGCGTTTGTTTGGAGGGATAGAAGGAGGAGGATATGGACAAAAGAAAAGGGATTCAAATATTTTCTGGTTTGTTTAGAGGATAGAGATAACATACAATAGGGAGATAGGAATAAAAATCCAAGTTATCCCTCTAAAATAATAAGTAGGGAAGGTGGTATAAGGGTTAGGGACAAAATAAATGAGGTAAAATATATTTTTACCCTTAATGAAAGAATGAATGAAGAAAGAGGAGAAATTTGAGTAAGGGTAGTTAAGTAACTTTCCTACTTACCTAATATAATTCCCAATTCATACCAAATAAAAGACAACCTCTTTTTAATCCTTATCCCACTTACTAATCCTCAAAAATTTTCCCACCCTTTAATCCTCCTTATCCCTATCCCTATCCCTATCCCTCATACCAAACACCCCGCTAATGTATACTCGGTAATAGTATAACAAGCCACCAGTGTTTCTTTTGAGTGGTCACCGTAGTATGTGACAATAACCAACGTTCGGTGGCTGGGTGCTGATAAATTTACAATTGGGTCTTTTGTTATTGTATCGTTTTTGTTTTCAGTTTACGGTTTGCAAAATAAAAAACAAAAATAAGGAATAATAAATAAAATTTGACACAAAAGGAAAAAAAAATTAAGGATCCGTTTAATATCGTCGTGATTTTCTGTTTTTTGATTTTTTATTTTTTATTTTTTTTTCAAAATCATTAGATATACTTCGTATGTTATATAATGAATAAAAAATTGATTAAAAACTTATTAAAACCGTTATAATGACAAAAAAAAGTGAAAATATATTTTTTCTTGTTTCAAGTTTTTGATTTTTTATATTAGAAAACAAAAACAAAAAACGATGTCAAACAAGCCCTAAAAGAGTTATTTTTACTTTTTCTGTTGCCAGTCTTCTTTTAAAAAAACAAGTTGCGGATTTCATTAAATAAGATGTTTCCTAGTTTTTTGCTAGGGTTTTCCCTCTAGATTTCTCCTTGGGATGGAGTTTTTCCTAGTATTTTGCTATGGTTTTTCCAGTTTTTTTAGGGTTTTCCTTCAATCTTCTCCCATTCTCTCTTTTTCCTCCTTCATTCTTCTCTCCTTGATCTCCATTGTGATTATTGGTAGAGGCTACCACTGGTTCCTTGATTAGTGGTAAGCCCCAAAATCCCTTTTTAATCGCTTATAATAATAGATCTCATCCTTACGATGGTCTTGATCGTTGTAGATGTTTTCTCTGAAGTTCTAATTTTTTGTGGTGGTTCATGCGGCGTTGAATCAGTTGTCAGATCAACGACTACAATTAATTGAATCAAGTTTTGTTCAATTCAAAAACTATCAAAAATCATAAGGCCCCCTTGTAGAAGAAGGCTATAGAGGACAGCGATTCAAGAGACGAGAGTATTCATCAATGTCAAATCTCACTTGCGATCGTAGTTCTACAGAATTAGAATTGTTATTTGAATCAATTTTCATTGTATTTATCGTTTCTGATCTCTTTTGTAGATGTCGTATGGCTTCTTATTAATGAATTGATCTTCCCTTCAAGAAAAAAAAAAAAATCCGCTAAAGTTGTCAAGCTTTGGGGGAAAAGGACTGAAAGATACAAACTCATTACAACCTTTAGTGTCTCATCTTGCAACACTATGAGCTAGAGTATTACCCGCTCGCTTGATATGGGAGAAATAACATGAACTAAAACAGGAAGCAAGATGGAACACTAGAGGTTGTAATGAGTTTGTATCTCATAAAGCAAAAAAAGGGGGGAAAAGCCTACTGCCTTTATCTTAACAGTCTGTAGTACTGTCGCTGCATCACTCTCAATTTGGACTTTTGTATATCCTAGCCTCCACGCAATAATCAATCCAAATCGACATGTAGCTGCCTCGTCGCCTCAACATTCCACCCTCCATACTCCTCACGAATTGCAGCGCCTAGAAGATGTCCATGCTCGCTTTTAATCACCACCCCTAGACCGGTTTTTGCACCAAGATAAGCATCACAATTTACTTTAACCGTGCCCGCACTAGGACAACTCCATGAGCTAGGGGAAGGGCCAACAGTTGGGGCAGTCCTATTAATCACTTTTATCGCATATGCATTGCTTTCATACGCCAGATCCACCCAGCTCTTTGCTACCTCCACGACATTGAATCCATCTTGCTCAAAGATGTGTTTATTTCTACAGTACCATGACGCCCAAGCAAGTGCTGCCTTGGTGACTAACTCATTCTTCAAAATCCACATAAATCTTTCCACAAAGCTTCGAGCAGGAGCAACATTAATCTGAGCCATAAATGAACTAGCAGCCCATATTTCCTTTGCTGTAGCACACTTGAATGTAGAGTGGATGATAGTCTCATCCAGGGAGCTACAGATTGAGCATGATTTCTCTGATACAACGTGACGATAGAAAAGGCGGCGTTCCTTGACAGCAAGGAAGCCTTTGCAAGCCCTCCATAAGAAGTGTTTCAGCTTCGGTGGTCTTTGCAAGGCCATTGTCAGTCTTCTTAATAATGACGATTCTATTAAATTTGGTTATTTTTTGTGTTCTTTTTATGAAACATCTCATACTCCGTATACTCCATACGGAGTATGATTTTCAAAAAAAATTTTAAAAAAAAAATCAAAAGATGAAAACCACAGTGATACATTGATGTCGAATGGACCTTTAGCTTTCAATTTGGTTAAAAGCGAAAGAATACCAAAAAATTAGGTGTTTAATTCAAGTTATGCTCAAATGTGACTCGAATGGGAACTTTTAACTAAAAAATAAGAGTACTCACAAACTTTAAATGTTGATAGTCGATCTGAGCTAGACTCAAACAAGGCTCAAACTTAACTGAAAAGGAACATTTAAAAAAATTACTAAATTGAAGTAAAAATATAATTAAAGATAATAATGGATTTCAAATTACTAAATTGAAGTTAAAAAAAAAATCACATAAATTTCAAAATATCATTTCAAATTTGAAAATTTCAAGTTGAGCTCATGCAATGAAGTAGATTTAATAAAGGTATCAATTTGGAAATATGGGTCAGGTTTGATGAGGCAAACTTAAATTATGTCTATTTTAAAATTGGATCATACTAAATTACTCGCTTCGTTTCTTATTAATCGCAAAATTAGGGTGTTCACAAAGTTTAAAATTTATAGGGTGGGGCCTAAAAGAGATTTTTTTATAATATAATGTATTGTTGATAGGACAGAGAAATAATAAAAAGGTAGTATAAGTGGGGTTAATAAGAAGGAAAATGATAAACATAACCCTAAGGGCTATGTGTAAGAAGCTAAAAAGGGAAATATTGAGGATAAATTAACATTTATTACACCGATTTGCACGTGATTTTATCATGAATTCCTAACTTAATTCCATTTTAAGAAGTATATTTAATGCTTATATATAGCTTTAAGGGCTACATATATCAGTACCTTAATAGGAAAGAATATTTGTAAAAGTGAGGTTAGTGGGAGAGAGAAAATATAAAATAATAGTAAGCCTTTTTCAAATATAAAAGTGTTGTAATTAATATAAAAAGGATGTTAAAAGAAAAATGTTGCGATTAATATGAAATAAAGAGAGTGTTGTGATTATGCGACTCAAAATCTAAATTTTTTGACATCTCTAGGCTGTGGCCTGGGCTGTAGCGCACAGTTGAGTTGGTTTAAAAAAAATAAAAAAAGAAGGCTTCTCCGAAAAATTGGTGAAAACTAAAGAGGAGGAGCGGGAAGTTAAACCCTACACTACGGTGGCCGAGAAATTAGAGACAGAGAAAAAAAAAATGGAGAAAACAGTGGCGACATTGGAGACTGGAACTGTATGTTCTGCTTGGAATTACAACGCTCAAAGATTAGCTACTGGTTCTATCAATGGCCTCCTCACTATCTTCGATTCTCCTGACCCTGCTTCTTCTTCACCCTTCTCTCCTTCTTCCTCCTTTCAGGTATACTCCTCCCTCTTTCCGAATCAATTGGCTTCATACTTGCTAATATATGTCCTTTCTTTCTAGTTTATGTTTTTGTGCTATGTATTACTTCAATTTATAATGAAAGTTTGCAAATTTCGGTCTTATTATATTTGTACTACTCAATTTATGATTAAAATTTGTAAATTTCAGTCATAATATTTTGGGATAACAATTGTATATTTAGAACTGTCGAATAGGGTTTTTGGGTCGTTTGTGTTGGGTTAATTGGTTGGTTAGTCATGCTACTATGTGGGTTTTTGATTGAATTTCAAATTATGGTTGAACTGTAATTTTTAGGCTGGACAATATGTGATCATCCAAATTGTTCATTGTGAAGGTACATGAGAGTAGCATTGTGAAGGTGTTATGGGTTCCTCCAGAGTATGGAGATGCTGTCGCGTGCGTTTTGGATGATGGTACTTTGTCATTGTGGGAAGAAGTCGCAGGAGGTAACTCTAATTATTGTTGCATTCATATGAAAGAATCATATCGTTGCTCACATTATATGTTATTTTGTATTGGTTGTACTTCCCCGGTGAATGATTTAATTGCAAAACTTGATGCTGACTATTGCGTTGATTATTGAGAATTACGTCTTTATCAAGTTTCAGATGTTTGTTTCATAAGTAGAGTAATATTGTACATATTGGCCATCGTACTACATTACTAATAAGTGAGACACTACTTTCAGAATAGTTATGATAGTGGTGCTTAGTTTCAGTTAGACTATGAAATCTAAAACATATGTTTATTCCTATTCTATACAGATGGGCAATCGCTTCAGTGGAAGATTTGCACTAAGTTTCTGAATAAAAATGCCCGTGTATTAGATATCCAATTTGGAGGTTCCTCTACTTGTTTGAAGTTGGTAAGTGTTAGCTTCTGTTGCAAATTATCATTTTAATGTAACGTAACTTACTGAATGCGTTCTTTTTGGAGCATGATGAACTCCTCGGAGTTATATAAATATGCCCTATATCCCTTTCTTGTAGGTTGCTGCATATTCAGATGGTTATGTCAAAGTCTATGAGCTTCATAATCCCTTGGACCTGAACACTTGGCAACTTCAGGTAACTTACCGCTTGAATATATAAGTGAATACTTCATTAACATGATGACTACTTAGCTAAAGAGCTTTTATTTAGTTAGGAATTTAGGAGTATATATGTAACAGTAGGATCTCTATGTGGTAAACGTGAATACAAGTTTGAAATCAGCTAACAAACTTTTTATTGCCAAATTGTAATGTATAGGCCGAGTTCCAGAATGTTATTGACTCGGTATCTAAATTTGCAAAAGCTTCATGCTTATCAGCATCCATATCGTGGATTCCACAAAAAGGTGAAAGCCAGCAATTGAGCTTTGTTCTGGGGTTCAATTCAGATATACCACAACTCAATTCTTCGAAGGTACTGTGTTTCACTACATTTTTCATTTTGGGTACAATTCAGATATACCGCAACTCAATTCTTCCAGGGTACTGTTGAGTCTAAAATGTGTTTCACAAATTTTCATTTACATGGAGCATCTAAATTTTCCTGACAAGTGACGATTTGATCAGCATGTAGTTATTGCTGCTGTGCTCATGTAGTTGGTCCACATCCCCCCCCCCCCCCCTTTCTTGTTTGTTACTTTTCATTGTGTGGTTGCTATTACTGTCCTGAGCCTTTTGTCTGTTATGGTGATCTTAATTATTAATCACTCTTTTTCCACTATGTTGTGATTTCATTCTTGCTAATAGAGTAGTACTACATTATGTGCTTTTCTCATGCTGACTGGTTAAAGGTCGGCTATATTAATTTTACTTCCTAGGTACCTAACGGGATCCATTATTGGTTTCGTTTTTGTTAGTATTGTTTGCTGTAATGCTCAGGCTTCTTGCAACTCAGATCAAACATTCTGCTCACTGAAAATTTATAGGCATTGCATATACATTAGATACATCACATACATGAAAGGCATGTACTATCTCTGTATCAAATTATTAACAACATTTATCGTAAATGGATACTACAAATTATTTGCAACAAATGTTTTCTTTCTTTTTTTTTTCTTTTTTTTTTACTTCTCATTTCTTTCTATCTCTCTCCTCATCACATGCAACTTTATTTTTCTCTCTCTATCTACTACTCACAAACAAATTTTGCCTAAACGTTGGTGAACGTCACATCGTTGCAAATAAATTGAAACAGAGGTAGTATATAAAATTATAGAAACCTCTTATGAACCCAATGAATATGTATGAGAATCATAGCCAATACGATTTTATGGCATTCCAAATCGCCAGATCTTAAGAAAGTTATGCTACTACTATATTATCATCTACTAATCCGGCTACTTAGAATTGATGTCTTGGTTGCTAAGTCACAGCATACCGAATATAGGGTTTATAAGAGTCTATTTTTCTTTTGTTACATTTCGTTTCTAATAAGATAAAATCTTAAGAAATTACCTTATGTCTTGATCTATATATCTTCCTAGAGATCTCTGATTTTCCACAAGTTTCCTTCAAATCTTTGATAAAAGGGTTTTTTTTCCCCTGAATGTTGATTTAGTTCTTGGTTGGAAATATGTGTGATGAAGTGACCTGCTTGATTGAATAACTTATCCAAATCAATCTCATGTTAGATGATATCAGGTCTGGGAGTTTGATCAATTACATCAAAGGTGGTTTACTGTTGCTGAGTTAGCTTTACCTGAAAACAGAGGTGATCCAGTGCATGCTGTTGCTTGGGCTCCAAATATTTGCAGGTAGCCCTCACCCAAGCTAGTTTTTTTTTTCCTTAATGTCAATACTTAAAAATCGTATTTCCTGATTGTTGGTTGATCGTCTTGAGCCTTTGCTGGTGTGTGGCATCTTGATCTATGGCCATGCAGGGTTGAACTTCACATTCATGGTCTCTAGCCTGTAGTATTATTACTTGGCATTAACCCTGTAAATTTGAAATATGCAGAAACAATGTGCCAGTATTTCTGTTGATTATAATTATATTCCTGCTGAATATTCATTTACAGGCCGTATGAAATAATCTCTGTTGCAACTCAAATGGGTATAGCAATATGGCATGTTGGTTTGAACCCTGATGTTGACGGGCATCTCTCGGTTGAGAAGTTAGCTTTGCTATCAGGTCACCACGGCGAGGTATGACAGCACTTTTCTTTCGTTTGGCATTTAGTTCTCCGAAATATGTTTCAGACTAGATCCTTATCCATGTTTAGCTTGTAAAAATGCACATAATGGAAACACCAAAAATAAAACTCGTGAAGGTTGTCAATTCGAACAGATATTTACTTCAAGTGTTAGTCCCTCCGTCCCTGAAAGATTGACCCATTTCCATTTTAGTTAACATGGTTCCTACAATCTCTACATACTAATAACATACTTAGTATCTGGTTATCTGCTCAACTCAACTCGTAATAAAGTGGAATGTGTGGATGGTGCAAACTTTAAGGTGTGGTGAGGATATCCTTTTGTGATGCATATGAAACACTCTTTTTCACCAAACTGCTAATTGGTGAGGTTCTTGTGTGACAATAGGTATGGCAAACGGAATGGGACATGAGCGGAATGACATTGGCAACCACTGGTAGTGATGGGGTGGTCAGGCTGTGGCAATCTAATCTGAATGGTGTCTGGCATGAACAGGCAGTCTTGGAACCTACTTCGTAATCTTGTAACCGTCCCCTGTATTACGGAGTATCTCAGTTGACCTGCAGGGCCGTATTATATTGTTAGAGTGCTGTATGTTTTGGATTGGCCTGAAATTTGGCTGGCATTCTTTTGGCAACCAAATTCTAGAGAAGATTATATCAAAATTATGCCTCATTTTGTGACAGATGTGAGTAGATGATAGAATTTTTGAAATACTGTAGAGGTTTTTCGTGAGTCTTGCAGTCTTGGCTATTTGTATTGCATCTTACCTACAGTAGTTGCTAATACTTGTAATACTCATTTTGTAGAGGTTTTAACAAGCCGTTTTCGTTTTAGCAACATTAGCAATTTTCCTTGTAATAGTCTTCCTTGCTCTCCTTGCATCATTCATTGTGCACAACCTTTAAATCTTTGGTTGATGATATGGAACTAAAACCTTTGCTCGATAAAAAGCGACCAAGCAACTAAGGGCATGCCATGGGCTATAATTTACGTAGATGTGAAATTATAGTTATTTCTAGGTTCAGTATATTTCGGAACCGAACAGGCGAAAATCTTAAGGAGACGTAGTAAATTGATTAGCTATAACCATATTTGTTTTTTATTTTTATTTTTATTTTTATTTTATTTTATTTTTTGACATTTGCTATAACCAAATATTAGTGTGTACTAAATTAGTGCCTATGTGATGCATGGTAGTAATAGTCTTTTTCCCATAATGGAATACAATATAAAAATGAGGCAACTCATGTGAAATAAACAAATGCAATGCATATAGAAAAATAAAATAATAAGGCAAAATTCATTAAAACTACTATCGAGAAAGAAAAAAAATTATTGTTGATTAGTTGAGTTGAAAATATTTAAAAGTAGTATACATTATATTACATTAATAATGCATATTATTCCCAATAAAACTATATAATCTAGTGACTATATATGACTAAAGACTTATTTATAAATGTCTTTTAATAAACATCAAAACATTAATCAAACAACAAACTAAAATCTATAGTAAAACTATTGACACAACATACATGTAAATATATAAATTACAAATTAAATAATATATCATCTTTATATCCAATAAAATAATTTCAATGGAAATATATACTACTTAGATCATTAAAGGCAATAACAATCAATAATTAGGCAACACTAACTTATATTATAAGTAGTACATTTTCTATTTATGGATTGATGCTTTACATGATATCGTCACTCTTTATTACTATATAAAAATGTGTTTCAAAGCTATCTAATAATTCTAGTTTGATCATTGTTTGTTTATTGCCTTAAAATTTTATTTGTCGATGATAGCTATTTATCCAAAAAAAAAAAAAAGAAACACAAGAATATGTCACTTGTAACTATGTCCGACGTGTTTTTTAAAATGCAGCTTATTTATGAATGTCGAATGTGATAAAATTATCATCTCAATAAAGTGTTTCAGCAAAAGATAATAACTTTTTTGTATTTACTAAGATATTAACTTTTTTTTTAATAATGTAATAACAAAAAATTGATTGATATTTTACATTTTCGAATTAAACATATAATATAGTTGTCAAACACCTGGTCATATATAATACTCCATTAGTCTAATAAACAAAATAAAAAGGAATTTGAAAAAAAAAATTAAAGTGATGTTTTAAAGTAATTTCTTTAATATCAATTACATCGATATGAATCAATTTTTTTATTATTTTTTCGGTAAAACTCAATATTACTCGTTTAAAAGATAATTAAAAAAGAGTTGGAAAACTATTTTAGGTAAATGTGCATGGAAAATTTTAGAACACAATAAAAAGGAATACATTTTATATAGAGATAATATATAAGTTTGGAATAATATTATTATAGTTTTATTATAAAAATATTCCAAAAATAATTTTTTTTTGCTAAAAGGGGAGGGAGAGTTTTAGAGGGAAAAAACAGCACCAGAATGTGATACATGTCACTCCCGGTGTCTGTTTTAGTATTAAGTTATTGATTGAATGCATAATTATCAACGTGATTATTGAATTAGTTTATCTAATTATATATCATGATTTGTCATTACAAATTCAAAAGGAATAACAATCTTATTTTCTTGATTTGGTGATCTGTCTGCAGTGACGATAAATTATTGGGAGTTGAATAACAAATAATCTTGTCTGGTGTGCATGGGCTCACTGACTATTTTACAATTGTCTGATTTTCTAGTTTTCATGCATTGGTTTATGATTATGAATTTGTGGGCTGCTATTAATTTTTTTTTTTGTTTCCTTCGTAGTATTTAAGAAATAATAATTGCGATCGAAATTGTTGTGACTTTTTTGAATGAATTATTAGATGCAATCATGCAACACTACATAGTTTGATAGTTGATACCTGTATGAAAGAGTGGCTCTATTATAAATGGAATAAAAACTACTTGTTTTCGTAGTATTCGTATCGAGCAAATGAAATCAATAGTTACGTAAATCGTTCTTATTATTATCACTAATAAGAATTATAATATAAAAAATGCCTGGAGTATTGTTTTTGGTAATTGTCGGAATAAAAGTATTCTATTTTATTACATGCTTTTTGACAAAATTTTGATGGAATGATATATTGATATGTTACAACGAATCTATAATTTTTTTTTTAGTTGACAGAAACGAATCTATAATAGAGTACTCCAATAGTCATTTTCCAAAAAAAAAAAAAAAAAAAAAAAAAAAAAAAAAAAAAAGAAGTACTCCAATAGTCATAGGTAGGTAAGATACGTGATATGTTGGCTAATCGATATGGACAATGCAATATATACAATTTGTCTTTTTTTAATGATGTACTCCCACCGTATTTTAATAAGTGTTACATTTTAACTTTTTTCACTATTTATATAACGGTTTTGACTTGATTAATTTACTAATATATAAAATACAAATTTTACTGTATAATACATTATTGGATTTGTTATAATGTTTACTTTTATAATATCAAATTTTTTTTTATAATTTTACCAACATATACTTCCTCCGTTCTTTTTACTTGACCTGTTTCTTTTATCACGCTAGTCAATACATAATTTTAACGATCAATAACTTTAAATCTACATAAGTAAAAATTATAAAAGTATATATTATGATAGTACTTATTAAGATGAATTTAAAAACATCCCACGTGAATATGTTTTTCCTTACATATAATTCACAAAAGACGGTCAAAGGAGGGGTGGTTAAAAGTGTAAAAGTCAAAGCGGGTCAAGTGAAAAAGAACGGAGTAAGTAATTACCATAATTAATGGTAAAAGTCATGTCTCAACATGCGTTTTTGGTCAAACTATAACACTTATTAAAACACAGAGGGAGTAATGGTTTAATGATCGAGATTGAGGGTTTGTACGAAAAGGTGGTCAGAACAAGCCATGTTCATTTAAATGCATGTAGTTGTATGTAAGGATTAGGAGTTAGGGATGTCAATGGGGCAGGGTGGGTCGGATGTTGGCTTTTCCATCCCCATCCCGCCTAAAATTTTCATCCCCATCCCCACCCCCATCCCCGCGTTGGGTCCAAAATTCATCCCCATCCCTGCCCCGGCGGGTACAAACCCAAAACCATCCACGCCCCACCTTTCACTTGAATATCCATTCCCACATAAGACACGCTTAATCCCACCTTCCAAATACAACTATACTACATAATAATGATTAAAAAAATCATTGTTAAGTTATACATTTTTTTTAATAATATAATTAAGTCTATTACAGAGTATTATACTTTTACTATATTATTATACTTAATTCTTATATAAAATGGTATAAAAAATATATATTTTTATGTAATAAAATATATGGATGTGGGTATAGGGCGGGTGGGCGGGACAGGTATGAAGTGGGGATGGGGCGGGTATAACCTAAACTCAACCCCGCCCCATCACCCATGGCGGGTATGGTTTTTATCTCCATCCCCGCCCCACCACCCGCTAAACCGGGACTCATCCTCTTAACCCGCCCCACTGACATTCCTATTAGGAGTACAAATGAATACTTCGTATTAACTACCTGCCCCTCCCCCCCCAAAAAAAAATAAAAAAAATAAAAAAAACTACAAGAGCTTATAACTTTATGAACTCGTCGATTGAAAATGAAATTAAACTTGTAATTATAACTATACGCAACATTAAAACATAATCATACATTAATTAGACAATAATTGAAATTCTAAAACATCATTAATCAAGATAAATAGGCTAATCACAACTATTTTTATATGATCTTGTGATTCTTCATCTCTTCAACCACCTTTGCTAATGATTGTTTTGACGATCCATCTTCATCTAAAGCAGCAACAGCTGCATGCTTCAAAGCTCTCATTTTCTCTCGTAGTATTTTTCCTTGTTCTCCTTGCATCAAACATTTTGCATATTCAGCAATTTGTTCCCTATCAATCAAACCCTTCTCATTTGGTTTCACCCTCAATGCAACGTTCAAATCATCAGCTACCAGCACGGAATTCAACTTTTGTTCGGCATAAAGCGGCCAAGCAATCAAGGGCACGCCATGGACTATACTCTCTAGAGTCGAGTTCCACCCACAATGAGTCAGAAACCCACCCGTCGAACCATGACTCAATATTTGAACTTGAGGGGCCCAATTAGGCACCACTAAACCTAACCCTTTGGTCCTATCTAGAAACCCTTGAGGCAAATACTCAAGTGGGTTATCAATATTATTAGCAACACCAAAAAAAGAAGCATTAGATTTATTATTTGGGGTTTTAACAACCCACAAAAATCTTTGCCCACTTAACTCAAGCCCTAATGCTAACTCAACTACTTGCTCATATGAAAGGTTCCCACCACTACCAAATGACACAAACAAAACCGAATCACTTGGTTGCTCATCCAACCATTTTATAGAACCCGACCCATCTATCAACCCGTCTTCTGAACCGGACCGAATTACCGGTCCAATGGGGGTAAACCGGAGGAATATTAGCTTCTCGACCACGATCACTCATTAAGTATTTTAAGGCAACCGGTTCAAGATCATTAAAACTATTGATCAAAATCCCAGTGGCATCAGAATAGCTTCCTACCAAGTTAATAAACAACTGATAGACTCCATGCTTTCTATCTTGAACCGGGTCAGGAAAATCAGCCCCATGAACCGGAACTAAACCGGGTACAAAATGAACCGGGTCGGGCAAATCCCTGTATTCACAAGAGTGTATCTTATCCAATTTTGGTAGAGTACAAGCACAGCAAAATCCCAAAGCACTAGTAAGGAAAAACACGTACGACAACGCGCCAAACTCTTGAGCCATATGTAGGATACTTGAGCCCAAGAGATCAACAACAACTGAAACTAATCGTGTTGCCTTTGACAAGACTCGGAGGGAGTCACGAATCCCCAGAATGGACCGAGTAATGGTGAGAGTAATCCGACTCTCAATGGTGCAATCGGATTGAAGATCAGAAACATCAATGGGAGAAACATGGATGTAGGAGATGGAGGGTGGGAGGTTTTGGAGAAGAGACAGTTGGGATTTCGAAGGTGGTGAACCGTCGTTGAGAATGAGAATGGTTATGGTAAAGTTGAAGTGAGTGAGCCGGGTTGCTAGCTCTATGAGTGGGATGAGATGACCCATCCCTGGTGTGGGGATTATGGCTATGTGTGGTGTTTCTTGCATGTTGAAAGGGTTGTACAATGTTTATGAGTGTGTTGATAGAGTTAGTGTTGGAAGGGTTTATATAGAGTGAATAAAGGGGATTGAATAAGGGAGGAAATCCGTTGGTATTAAACTAGCAAGAAAACAAATTAGTTGTTGGAAAAAAATTAACACATTAATTACAAAGGCTATGTTCATTTTACATGATCTGATCATATTCTAATTTTTCTAATTTAATTTGATCTTATGTGATTTGGTCTGATTTTTATATTAGACTTATTTAATTATCATTTGAAATGTCATTAGATTCGTATTAATATAATAATAATATGATTTTTCAAATGTAAAATTTGCATATTTTATTTACAAAATTAAAGATATTTAAGAATAAATAAATGCAAATAAAAAGATAAGATAAAATTTGATTTAATTTGATTATTTCTAGTATGAGAAAATACGAGTATCAAATTATAATAGTTGAAATGAACTAATTTGACCAATACTAGTTTACATTTACATATATCATTTTTGCTAATGTAAAATAGGTTCACATATATCACTTTGATCAATAATACTAGAGTATAACTGTATAATACATTTATGTTTCATAAATGAAAGGGAATCCATTAGTAATTAATGTAGCAGGGAAACAAATCAGTTGCTAATAAAAACACAAATACGTTTTATTCAAAAATTACTCTGTATTAAATTTTAAAAAAGTTAATATCACTTCTTCTCTACAAATAAAAGTCATAACTCATAATTGTTTCAAAATAAGTGTCTCATTTCTAATTTTACACTATTTACATGCATTACTTGACAAATTTTGGTGTAAGACTATACATTATCACATATTCTACCAAATAAACTTTGTATAATAATATTTGTTCTTTATATGATAGTATAAAATTAAGTTAAAGTTAATACATGATTAGTGTAAAAGACAAACTAATGTAAGTCAATACATACAATATTTTTTAGTCATATAAAAAAGGTGTATAAGTCAATTAAATCATCTTAAACTATACGTTAATTAAAGTATAACTAGTGTGTGGCCCGTGCGTTGCACCGGGTTGCTACTTTAATTAAACCTTGTTATTATATATATGTATTTAACCTTTTTGGTGTTTTTTTTCCTTTTTTTATTAGTCCTTGTGACTAGCACTTATATACATTTATTTTCATATTTATAACATGGTTGCTAATTGGCTTAGATGGTTAAATAACCATCTTTCCTACAAGAGGTTAGGTGTTCGAATGTTCTTATATGGAGTAACAATGACGTGGCGTAATGATTGAGTGGTGATGTGGCATATGAGAGATTGAGTAGGTGACATGGCGTAAGTGAAAAGATCTACGTGGGTAGGGAGTGTTAGGATATAATTACGTTGTGAGATATATTTTGTGATTATATTTGTATATATCTTGTTAGGAGTTTTTGGCATGTTAGGTTAATGTTGTAAGCCTATATATGTGTGTTTAATGGTAAAGGCTCATTAAGCCATTTTCTCCTAATTGTTTTTATTGAAGTTTAACATGGTATAAGAGCCCTCCAAATTAGAGTTTTTTTTTTTTTTTTTTTTTTTTTTTTTTTTTTACGTTCTTTTCCCAGTTTTTTTTTTTTTTTTTCCAAACACAAACCCTAGCTTTGTTCTTCTTTTCCAGATTGTTTGCGTGTGTTCCTAGTTTGTGCTTCCGCTTTGTGTGCTCTTTATTGTTCTTCTTGAGTTGTGATGACTGGTGGTGATGATGTTCAGCCCCCTAAGGGCCCTCGCTATGAACCGTTTTCAGCCTACTATCTCCATCCGAGTGAAGGTACAGGGGCTGTGATAAGCCCTATTATGTTGAAAGGAGACAACTATGAGGAGTGGTCTCGTTCTTTACGCAATAACCTCCGTGCGAAGAACAAACTCGGTTTTATTGATGGTACTATTAAGGTGTCGGATGCTAAGTCTCCTGATTTTGATCAATGGGGCATTGTTAATTCAATGCTTGTTGCTTGGATTGTTAATACATTGGATGTTTCTGTGCGATCAACTGTTCGATTTCCAGACCATGTCAAATCTTTGTGGGATGATCTACGTGATAGATATTCCCTTGGCAATGGCCCTCATATTCTAGAGTTAAAGGCTCAAATTGTAGATTGCAAGCAACGTGGTAGGCCGGTGGCGGTGTATTTTGGTGAGTTACATAAATTACAAGATGAGTTGGCTAGTTATGTTAAAATTCCCAAGTGTACGTGTACGGCTGCTCCTGAATATGCTAAAATTGTTGAGAGTGAATTACTCCATCAAATTTTTATTGGTTTAGACCCAAAGAAATTTGGCAGTGTGGTGTCTACTCTCCTCATGATGGACCCTATTCCTTCTCTCAATGTGGCGTATGCAAAGGTTTTGTCGGATGAACGCAAGCAAACCGTCTCGGATGTCACAATAATCGTCCAGATGGTGCTGTTGGGTTTGCTGCGTCTGGTACGGCTCAGGGTCGGACTAATTGGTCGAGTAGTGGTGAATCTTGTGTATGTGATCATTGTGGCAAAAAGGGTCATGTGAAGGAGAAATGTTTTGATCTACATGGCTGGCCCGAATCTTTTAATTCTAGTGGTCAGCGTGGTGGTCGTGGGTCAAGTAGAGGTGGCCGTGGTGGTTGTGCGCAAGGTTCTAGTGGTCGTGTGTTTGCTGGCAGTGTGAGTAGTAGCTCAAAGCAAAATAATGGTGATGATATTAATAATGTTGACCGTACAAGTGCTCCAACTTTGAGTAATGAACAGTGGGCTCAATTTATGAGTGCTACTAAGGGTGTAAAAACCCCTCCTTCAACTGACAATAATTCTCACGGTATGTATAATTCGGATGAGTGGATAATTGATATCGGAGCATCAAATCATATGTCGGGTGACTTAAATTTGTTTTATAATTTGCGTGATATTTTATCTCCCGTTAGTTTGCCTAATGAGAAAAGTACTACGGCCACTAAAGAAGGGAAAATAAAATTGAGTGATGGTTTAATATTAGACAATGTTTTATTTGTTCCTGAATTAAATTGTAATTTATTGTCAGTGTCTCAATTATTAGAAAAGCAAAAATATATTGTTCTTTTCACTAACAAGCTATGTACTATTCAGGTCCGCACTTTGGAGAACCTGATTGGAGCGGGGGTGCAGTATAATGGGGTCTATCTCTTCCGGCCGGTCCGTGCTCGTAGTTTTCAAGTCAATTCTTTGGTGGTCAAGATGCAAGTATGTTATGGCATAGGCGTTTAGGTCATCTTTCTATGAAAGTAGTTTCTTCTTTACTTGGAGTAGCTAGTAGTAGTATGAATAAAAAGTGTGGTGTGTTTGATTGTCATATTTGTTTTATGGGTAAACAACCCCGACTCTTTTCCTTTGAGTATGAATAAAGCATATGGTTTGTTTGACTTGATACATTGTGATATTTGGGGTCCGAATAGACTATCGTCTAGTTGTAATGCTAGATATTTTCTTACTATTGTGGATGATTATTCTCGTGCAACATGGGTATATTTGATGATTGGAAAACATGAAGAGGGAAATTTGGTTCGTAATTTTTATTCTTTGATTAAAAATCAATTTAATAAAAAGATTAAAATTTTGAGAAGTGATAATGGGCAAGAGTTCTTGAGTTTAAGGTCCTTTTTCGATAAAAAAGGAATATTGCATCAAACATCGTGTGTTGATACTGCACAACAAAATGGTCGTGTTGAGAGAAAACATAAGCACATCTTAAATGTTGCACGGGCTTTACGTTTTCAAGCTAAATTACCTAAGTATTTTTGGGGGGAATGTGTTTTAGCTGCGGTTCATCTTATCAATTTGACTCCGACTCCCATCTTACAAGGAAAATCCCCTCATGAATGTTTATTTGGTAAACCTCCTTCTTATGATGAAGTGCGTGTTTTTGGTTGTTTGAGTTATGTTGTGAATAATTCGCGTGCTAAGGACAAATTTGACTCAAAGTCTCGACGGTGTATTTTTGTTGGTTATCCATATGGAAAAAAAGGATGGAGGTTTTATGATTTAGAGACTAATGAGTTTTTAATAAGCCGAGATGTGCACTTTTCCTTTTATTGATATATTTGATGAGGCGGAGAAAGTGCAATGGGAAAATTATTTTAATCAAGTTAGATTGTGGGATGATGAAGACTTTGATAATGATTTGCATGTGCCTACACCTGTTCGTGAGATTGTTAGTGCTTCTGATGTGGCCTCTTTGCAAGATATGCATGCTACTGTGGAGGTTAATAATTTGCATGGTAGTAGTGATTCTTTGCATGGTGATGTTAACAATATGCATGTGCCTGATAATGATTCAATTGGTGATGGTGTTGCTACTGCCTCTCTTGAGTTGAGGGGGAGAACCAGTGCTCATAGTGACGTGGCAGGGGGTAATACTCCTAACAATGTTGAGGTTTTGGGTCGTGGTCATCGTACAAAAATCCCATCCTCGAAGCTCCGTGGTTATGTGACTAATACGGTTGTTCGATAGGCAATAGACCCCACTCCATCAACAATTACTGCTCCCGTCTCTCAATCACGTTCTTCAGGTAAACAATTTTGATATAGCTTGTTATGTTGATTATAACAATTTTTCTATGAGACACAAGTGTTTTCTGACATCAGCTTCAAAGGGTAAAAGAACCTTCCTCGTTTAGTGAAGCTGTGAAACATGTAGGGTGGCGTAAGGCGATGAAAAAAGAAATTAATGCTTTTGAACGAAATGGCACGTGGACATTGGAGGACTTACCTCCAGGTAAGAAGGATATTGGTAGTGGTTGGGTGTATAAAATTAAATATACATTTACAGGTGAAGTAGAACGACTTAAAGGTCGTCTTGTTGAGTATGGCAATCCATAGGCTGCATGTGTTGATTATAACGAGACTTTTGCACTTGTGGCAAAAATGGGGATTGCTAGACTTTTCTTTCTGTTGCTGCTTCTTTAAATTGGAAGGTGCATCAAATGGATGTTCATAATGCCTTTCTTCATGGTGATTTGAAGGAGCAGGTGTATATGCAGTTACCTCCAGGTTATAACTGTCCTACTCCAGGGAAGGTTTGTAGGTTGCGTAAGTCTCTATATGGTCTGAAACAGGCTCCTTGGCATTGGTTTTCTAAATTGACTAATGCCTTGAAATCGTATGGTTTCAAGCAATCGTATGCAGATTATTCATTATTCAGTTATATTCAGGGATCAGTCTCTCTGCATGTACTTGTCTATGTTGATGATCTTATTATTGCTGGTTCTTCTCATGATGCGATTATTCGTTTTAAATCGTATTTGAGTACATGTTTTCATATGAAAGATCTTGGTGTGTTGAAGTATTTTTTGGGCATTGAAATTGCTCATGGTTCGGAAGATATATTTTTATCTCAGCGTAAATATGCTTTAGATGTATTATCTAAGGCAGGTATGTTAGGTTGTAAGCCTATTGATACACCTATGGAGCAAAACCATCGCCTGGTATATGCCGAGGGGAGCCATTCTCTCAACCTGATTAGTATCGTCGCTACTAATCGTCGCTTAGTTGGTCGACTTGTTTATTTATCTGTAACTCGTCCAGAGTTGAGTTACTCTGTTCATACTCTTGCACAGTTTTTGAGTAACCCGTAGGTGCAACATTTGGATGCGGCAATCAGGGTACTTCACTATATCAAAGGTAGTCTTGGTCAGGGTATATTGTTACGTCCTATGAAGGACATGTGTTTGACGGCTTTCTGTGATAGTGATTGGGCAGCGTGTCCTTTGACTCGTCATTCTTTGTTAGGTTATATGGTTTTTCTTGGTCGTTCCTTTGTCTCGTGGAAGACTAAGAAACAACCGACAGTATCTCGTTCTTCTGCTGAACCTGAGTATCGTGCTATGGCAGTTCCAACTTGTGAATTAAAGTGGTTGAAATCTTTGTTATCCTCTCTTGGTATTTTGCATCCCAAGCCTATGAAGTTGTCTTGTGACAGTCAATCTGCTCTCCATATTGCTAAAAATCCTGTTTTTCATTATCGTACTAAGCATATAGAGGCAGATTGTCACTTTGTTCGTGATGAGTTGGTGAATAGTAATCTAGCTACTGCGTATGTTCCTATAGGTCATCAATTAGCAGATATTTTGATGAAGGCACTTAGGAAACGACAGTTTGGTTTTCTTCTTAACAAGTTGGGCATTCGTGATTTACATGCTCCAACTTGAGGAGGAGTGTTAGGATATAATTATCTTGTGAGATATATTTTGTGATTATATTAGTATATATCTTGTTAAGAGTTTTTAGCATGTTAGGTTAATGTTGTAAGCCTATATATATATGTGCTTAATGGTAAAGGCTCATCAAGGCGTTTTCTCCTAATTGTTTTTATTGAAGTTTAACAATTTCAGGTTCATATGGATGTAGCTTCCTCGAGTATATCAATTTCTTCTAGAGTGTGGTCTCCTCCGCAAAGAGGATATTTTAAACTTAACACGGATGGCTCTTGGATAAGCTTGGGTGATGCGGGTGCTGGTGGTATCATCCGTTGTGATAAGGGGAAGTGGCACATTGGCTTCTCCATGTGTATCAAGACCCTAGGGGCGGCCTCTGCTGAGTTGCTTGCCATTAGGGAAGGCCTGAATACAGCTTGGGAGAGAGGCATTAGGTTCTTGGAGCTGGAAACCGATGCCCAAGCTCTCACCTATATGATCCAAAACCCATCCTATTACAATGATCACCTTCTCTCCAACATCATCAGAGATGTTTCTGAACTCCTACAAAGAGATTGGCAGGTCACTGTGCTTCATGTAAAGAGGACTGCAAACAAGATAGCCCACGGCTTGGCTGACATAGGCAGAAACTCACAACATCCTGGCCTCACTGCTTCCTACACCAAGGAACTTGCTCACGCCCTTGCCATGATTAATGGCGAATAATCTGATGACTGCTGCTGTTCTAGAGCCATGGCTTGGCTCCCCTACTACTATCTATTTATTGCCTTCGGTAGTAGCAGCCTCCTGATTTGCAATTTTCTATCTTTGAGCAATCATGGAAGACCCTTTTGATCTCAAACAATGATTTTCCTAGATGTTTTAATCATCTAGTAGTAATATAGTTTCCCTTTCCTTGTTAGTAGTAATATAGTTTCCTACATTATTTAGCAATTCTTACGGAGTATCAATAATTGCACAGTCAGAGCTAAGAGGCCCAAGTTTGGGTGATCAAGTAGCCCATTTATAGCTTTGAAATTTGGGCATAACGAATAAGGAACCCAAGATAAGGAATATAGGCCTATTCTGCTCCTGTGTATGAATAGCCTCTTTCTACGGCCCACCAATTCTCTGGATATTCATTTTCAGGCCCGATTATATGAAATGAGCTAAAAAGGATCCTAGTTTTTTGGTAAGGAAAATCGCATTGCCAAACGAAACCTCGCATAGGTCAACCAACCTTGTTTAGTTGCTTAGTAGACTGATAGGATAGTACCTCATTCCGAAATGTCCCTAAATCCTAATATGATTTGATTCTCAAATGTTGTGAGCGTGAAGTGGAATACGTGCTGGTTGTTTGGTGTTCGCTTGGGGTAGAAACTAGCTAGAAAGAAGCCCTAAGTTGTGGTTGTATTAGTGAGTTATCTGGAAATTTATGAGAAGTGCTGTAGGCTCTCAGAACAATGACTTGAGAGTAAGGGTGCACCATCTAGGGGGAGCTAGGCTGTTGGGATATTCCATGTTTGTGTGTTACTTCTCTTATAATTACGTTCATCTACCTTGGATAGTTGCATTGGGTTGTTAAGTCATGTTCTCTTCATCTCATATATATTTATTTTTTAAAGCTTGTAATTGTGACATTAGAATCTTAATTAATAGACAATGTAACTCTAAGTACATGATACGTAAATGGCTTTAAAAAAAAAGTACATGATATGTAAATTATTGCAATTGTACAACACGACCAACGTAAACCACAATCTGGCTCTAAGTATTGAGCAACATACATAAAGCTTGGGCTTTACCCACACGATATGTCGCGGTACCTTGTTATTCCAATTTCAACCCTTATTACAACTTATTATTGTACGACGTTATAATTGTTTTCTGATAAAAATTGTACACATTATGTTAATGAAAACACCCACAAGCAAGAAGAAGATCGAGATAGTTCACTTCATAAGACCAAAGGAATTTAAGTCTTATCTTTAAGATTATAACCAACATTACTCTGTATAAATTATTTTATTCAACCAATTGCTACTATGTGTGATTGTGCAACTTTTCATTAATTTGAACTTTTTTCAAGAGCTTTAATTTACTGTGGAAAAAAGATGCACGTTGTGAAAGTAAATATATCCATACAATACTCGAGACTCTTTCACCAAGTACACAATTTATCGTGTTCATTTTGATTTTTAGTCCTCATTTAAGCAAGTTCTACTTCGTTAAAGAGTAATTTTCTAAGTCAAAATTAATGCATGTGAACTTATAAAAATTGAAATCAATTATAGTAACAAAACAACCAGAATCACGAAATTTAAAAGGTATGGAAATAAATGATAGGATCAAAATTAATCATAGGAAATTCCAAATTAAATTTTTACTATTGTACCTTTGCCCTAGTGATGTTATGAAATTTGAAAAGTCTTGTAAAGATATCCAGTATTTAATATAGGTCTGTTATATGGCATAGATCAATCACAATTCACAACTAATGCCATGCTTTGCATTGCCTTTTTAAAAAAATATTTTGGTCCACCATGAAAGAATGAAGTGATGCTCAACAAATATATTTATTGCTATACTATATGAGACATATCGCAAACGTTAGTTATTGCAAATCAAGCTCCGTAAAAGCAATTATGCATAGCTGAAAAGACACATCAATACAAGTATATTTGATCAATACTCGTGGATCAACTCTCAAACATATATTCATCGATCACGTACTACTTTAACACGCATCTACTTCATTTAACATACATTTAAGTTACATAACACCTAACTTCAGGTGTACTGTACCCGGAACAACCAAGAATTTGTAACCGAGTTAAAATGAAAAAAAAAAAAAAAAAACTATAAAAATATTAGCAACTATTCATAAAAGAAGGAAAATTAATAATACAAGTTCTTAAAAAGTTAATATACTCGATTTTACTTTATGTATTTATATACCTTAATTTATATACTAAATACAGTAAATACCCGTAGAAGCAGCCGTGAATCGATCCGACATCGTTTTCCTAACCAACGAACTAATCTCAGGCGAAAAGCAAACTTCCGGAACTTCAGGAATACTAGAAAGCCCATTGGGCTTTTCATAGACAACAAAATACCTACCACCATCAACCACCTTGTCTTTTTCTTGGACCTCATGATCCAAAAACCATGGATCAGGGCTGCTACTACTACTATCATAATTGGGCTTCGAATTATTATTATTGGGCTTGGAAGCCCTAAAAACAGACCTTAGAAGCTTCTGGAAAGATCTGGATACCTTCGAGGTTATCGGCTTCTTCGACGGCGGCGGTGGTGGTGGTGCACGGCGGTGTTCGGAGGGAAGACGAGGCATGGAGTAGGTTCTAGATGAGTTGATGATGGCGGAGTCGAGTTGTCTTTGGAACGAGGTGAGCTCGAATGAGTCGTAGAGGGTGCTCCCACAATCCCATATTGGTTTCTTATTGGTGTTATGGTTGGTTTTTTGAAGGTTTGGTAATTTTTGTTGATCATTTTTTTGTGAATTTGTTTGAGTTTGAGTTTGAGGTTTTTGCTCCATTTTTGAGAGAAAATTGAGGAGAAAATAAGGTGGGTAGGAAAGTATGAGGGTGTTTATTAAGCAATAGGGCACCACAATATGCGGTTTATTCATATGGAAGAATGGGACCAATTATATATTTTACGTACGGCGTGTTTATTTTCGTGTATGGTGCAAGGGATTCTCATGTTCATAGTTGACTAGATGCTCCTAGCTGAGTTGGGTTCCCGGGGAGTAGTTCGACTCGGATTCTTTATTCGGCAATCAGTTGTTGGTTGATGTTTAGTTGTATTTATTTGACCAATATTAATTAGAAAAATAAGACATATACTTAAGGTGGAACAAGTTTTCTAGTATTAAATTTTAAAAAATAAAATTAAAGGAGTAGTTACTTATTGGGATTATACGTGGTCAGACAGTCAGACTCTTTCTTATCATGAACTAAGTATCTTTCAACAAAGTCACATATGTCTATATTTTCTTTTATATATGGGTTAATAATTTTAATTTATGGTCAACATGTTTAAAGTTTGACCTTAAAAAGAGAAATGATGAAATTAATTAATTAGTAACAAAAAAAAGTTAATACTCAGATTTGTTAAATTTAATTGCAAATTTACAAGAGATGAATAATTGTACCAATATATATTAGCTACACTTATTTTGTACTCTTATTTATTACTCCGTAAAGATTAAAGAAGAAGAATGCGTCGCTATTTTATTTAATTATAATTTCACTTTTGGTAATCCGCTTTTAACCTAACATTGATACATGCATTTATGCATAGTATTGTATTAAATGAAGAAACTGGATGAAATATTGTAATGTACGGGCTAAGATTTTGACGCGTAAAAAGTGATAGCGATAAGGATTAGTTTTTTTTTACGTATACATTGGATCCACTAACTTGAAAATGGGTTTGGAGAATGCATTAAATACTTAAATGGTTACCCTCAATTGAACACGTTACATATAAATTTACCATGTAATATTATAAGAAAAAAAATGTATGCAACTAATCGAGTGGGATTATTAGGGAATGTTTGAGCAACATATTATAGTGATTTTAGATTCAAATTAATATGACAATATTGTGACCGGAGAAGGTTTTTTTTTTTTTTTTTTGTATTAAAAAATTAAAGTTGGTTAAATCATCCATAATCACTCGCTCTATAATACTGTATAAAGTAAAGTTAGTACACAACTACATATAATATTATTTCAGATAAAATAAGTTAAACTAATGCCAAACAAAGCATTAATGTACTTGCAAGATATAATTAATAGTTGGAGTATGTATAGGATATTTATTAATATGTTGAAACAAAAGAAAGCAAAATAAGAGGAAAAGATTTTTCAAATTTTTTTTAATACAATTTAATTAAAAAGACATACACATGTGATGAATATATTATAGGTTTTCAAACATAATTATTTTAATAAAATTTCATGCAAATATCGCGTGGAATATAGTCATATAGTACAATCACCAAGGATGCACGGACACGCCAAAAATCTGAAGAGTCCGAGTCGACACGCGTGTCGGACACGGACACGGATGAGACACGGGGCGACACGTGTCCGACACGCAGAAAACCGTGTCCGATTTTTTTTAACCGTTTTTGATTTTTGGACACGGGCCGTGTCTTGGGCTGACACGGGCCGTTTTGGTATGGACACGCGAAATACCTAAATTCCTATGCTTTGCCTCTCTACCTCTTTCCAAGTTTCCAGTTCTCAAACTCTCAATCCTCTCATCCTCTCAAGTCTCAACTGAACCCCTTGCTGCTCACTTGCTCAGTCGCCGACTTGTAGATCTCACCGTACCGCCGGCTTGCTGTCTCCGTCACCGCCACTCGCCTCCTTGCCGGTTGTCAGGGTTGCTGGCCTGGCCCTTGCTGCTCGTGGCCTTCATCTCTCATTGTTGCGGGGGTTGCTGGAGTTGCTGGCCTGGCCCTTGCTGTTCGCCTGCTCGTCCTCAGCCACCACCTATCACTCCACCGCCCACCTTGTCGCCCGTCGTCCGTGTCAGCCACCAGGTATGGTTCTTCTCTACTTTTTTTTTTAAATTCAATTAAAGTTCTGAATATGCATCCTTGGATGTCGAGAAGTGAGAGAATGTCGGTGAGAATGGAGTCTGGGAGAGAACTTAATCGGTCTTCATTTTCTGAGTCTCCGCCATTGTTGTCTTTAATGGAGCTCAATTTCAGCCTTTTCGTGCTTATTTCTTGGTGTTCTGTCATTCAACAATTGAGCTCCATTGTTATCTTTACTGGAGCTCAATTTCTGCCATTCAACAATTGCTGTGATTCTGAAGTGAATTCGAGTAATGCTAATTTGGGGAATTTTTTAGGGTTTTAATCAGTGTAAGTGTGTAAGAACTTCTGATTTTCTGAAATTCAATTGCTTCAATAATTCAATTTGTTGTTCGTCGTCAGCCAGACAACCACCGCCCACCACCGTGTTTTGACAGTTTTGTTGATTACTTGATGAGATGTTTGATTTTGTGTTATGTTTCTAGTTTTGTTTGATTACTTGAAGAGTACTATTAAGACATGTCTGGTTTGATGGTTTCTTGATATGTATCCGACTATGTCCGTACACTTTGTTCATTTACTTGTTTAATTAAAATTGTGTGTTTTGAGGCTAATTATTTAGTGTTTTATTGAATTAGTTGTCAAATTCTCGTTTTTTTAATATATTATATGCCTAGTTATACACCGTACCCGTGTCCCCTATTTTAGGATTGCCGTTTTCCCGTATCCATATCGTGTCCGTGTCCGTGTCCGAATCTGTTTCCGTGCATCCTAGACAATCACTAGTTTAACTCACGTGCAATACATGGTTGTTATTAAATCTTATAACGGGCTGTTATATATTGAATTTATAAAAAAAATATACTCGTATTACTAATTTAAAAATAAATATAACTTGAATTTTAACCTATATCCATGTCAAGATCATAAACACTAAGACTTGATTTTTTTTTTTCTAAAAAAAAAAGGATCTATGAGGTTTTATTTAAATAAATAAAAATCTAAGGATAGTATCCGCGTGCGGTGCATTGTTATTATTGATACGACTTTTAAGAGTAGAAAAATAAAGTATATACATATACGAAGTATATTTAACAAAATGATTTTATTTTTAATTGAATTTAACATTATTGCAAAAAATAAAATTGGAAGAAAAAAAAAAGTTGGTATTATTATTGTACAGGGTAGTATAGTTTAATATTATTTGCCTAAAATATGTTCATTTTCTAAAATATACCTAACATAAAATACTATGTATATGTTAAAATATACTCCATATTACTTTAGTGTAGATGAGAATTATTATTGTTAATAATGTTAAATGGAAAGAAGATATTTTTTATTATTATAAAATAATTTCATTTAAGAATCCGAGGAAAAAAAAAGGAAAGTAAAATGGGTGGAAAAATTTTTAACCAAGAGATGACATGTGTCATTCTTAATTTCGCTTTTAGTATATAATTATTATTGATGAAGAAATTGCCCTACCCCCGAAATGAAATAAAAGATATGTGTCTTCAAAAAAAAAAAAAAAAAAAAAAAAAATTGATATGTGTCAAATTCAACTTATCTACGCTTAATTAAGGAAAGGCCTAGATAATCTTCATTGTGAACGAATTGTGATTATGACCCATATATTAAATTATAGTCCAGTATGAACTATGACACCTAAATGATTTTTTAATTTAAATTAACATGCACGTTATATATGTATCTTAATAATAGTCAATTCTTTTTTTTCTTTTTTTTTTTTTTTAAGTTAATAATAGTCAATTCTGACCAATAATAATGCAACTGATCGAGCATATTTAATTAATCTGTAATTCAGTATCGTACACTTGTTAGTTGTTAGACATGATCTATATTATTCGCAGCATTTAATTATTTCTGATAGATATTTTAATTAGGGCCTTGGATTAATTAAACATTTATAGATTTTAAGATTTATATAATAATGTCGATAATCGATAGAATGGAAAAAGTCAATATCATGTCATTTACTGATCGCCAACTTTGATTATAATAAACCAAAATCCTAATCTCCATGATCTGAGGATAATTTAACCGATGCAAATGTACTCGTTGGTTGTTTGGCATTTACCACTGCCAAATATACTTGGAAATTAAAGTTGGATTAAGGGTTACTCCCATGGTCAAATAATATACTTAGAGTATTGCTTATTACTCCCTCTGAAATTTCCAAAATCTTTAATTTATACTTTGAATATTTTTCTCTTAGGAAAAAATATTTAAATGTAAAGTTTAAAAAGTGACGAAGGGAGTACTATTTTCATAGAATCATAGTCAAACTTATACTAGAATTTTGAACAAAATTTCTCACTGAAACATACATAAATCATAATCGATCATGTGAGAATGTGAAATATATTTAGATTAATTCGTCAATTTATGTGTAATTTTATAATATCAACTACTTCGTTTTTACGTTTTTATTTAAGATATTATGTTTTAAAAAAAAAGGAAAAATTGTAAAAAATAATCCTAACTTTGCTGTATTTTTTTTTAATCTCAGTTTTGGATTATTCTGGAATAATTCGAACTTTAGGGGTTTTTTACTTTCTTCAATTCCAATTACCGGTGACCGGTTGAATAGGTTATTATTTTTTTTAAGTGACACGTGTCACAAGTTAATTGATTAAAATAATTTTAAAAACAAACAAAATAAAAAAAAAACAACAACCAAACCCAAATTTCGGCCACCCAACGTCGGCGACGACTGCTACTATTCCCCCTCCCCCTGTGCCCGCTAATTCCCCTCCCCCCGCGCTAGTGCTACAATCCTTCATTGGGCTTCATTCTTCTACCCACCTTCAAACCTCAAGTCCTCAACAATAATCTCCACCATGAAAACCAAAGCCACAAGCCAACCACATCAAAATTGGGACTTAGGAGGAGAAAGAAATCTGGGTGGAGAAAGGAGAGAGAATTAAGGGAGGAGATGAGAACTTGTGGTAGAGGGTGAGAGAGGAGAAAGAATAATTGTGGCGCTGGTCGGAGCTAAGGGCGGTGGTGGGAGCTAAGGGGCGGTGGTCGTGAGGGGAGAAAGAGAACGGTGGCGTCGCCGTTTCCCCCCACCCTTGAAAATTCCGTTTTCCTTGGTGGTTTTTGGGGTTTTGGCTGCGATTTCCTTGGTGGTTTTTAGGTTTTTGGCTGCGATTTTGGTGGTTGCGTGGGGAATGGGAGGGGGTTTTCGAGGAGGGGGGAAAACGGCCACGCCAAGGTTGGGGGAGACGCGGCATTCCGACGAGGGAGGAGCGGCGGGCTTGGCAATGGTGGTGGAGGTTAGGGTGGACCGGTGGGGGAAGGGGAAC